CAGCCCCAGCCTGCGGCCGCCGCCCCCGCGCAGCCCGCCCCCGAGACCAAGACTACCTAAAGGACAGTAGGATCAGCAGACAATTTTTGAAGTAGAGTAGTTTTTCCCCCTTTTCCCCCTTCGTTTTTCGCTCTTCTTGTGCACCCTCCCCGAGGGGTGCGTGGTAGCTCCGTAGGCATGAGATGTTATGAGTATGGCACAAACTGGGTACAGCCAGGTCGGGAGTCAGCGACAAGAAGTAGTAGCATAGTCTAAGCGATCTACTGCGCCAGCGCCTTCTCGACGGCCTCCTCCTCGCCCGGCCCCCACTTGCCCTCGACCTTGGCCATGAACCGGCCCCTCGCACCACCACCTTTAACCCTGCTCTTATCCTCTTTGGTCAGTTCCCCCTTAAGCGCATCGAAGACCTTCTTCGCCTCTCCCTCATTCTTGCTCTGCACGACGACAAGCGCCGGCTTCTCCGCACAGCTGACGGCGACCACGACGCCCTGTGGCCGAGCGTCGCAATAAGCCCCCGCGACCCCGCTGAGCGCGTCATAGTCGTGCGTGGCCGGTGCACTCCGCACCACCTTGGCTCTATCCCCCTGCTCAGCCGCCCTCTGGCCCAGGAGGCGGGTGAGTTCGATCTTGAGTGCCTTCTCCCTTTCGGCGGTCTCGAAGCGCACCTTTTCCGTGCGCTGTAGGCGCTCGGTCAGGTCCGTGCGGCCCACGCCCATGACCTGGGCTGAGCGGGAGAGCGCGCGGCTCGCCTCGCGCAGGTGACGCGCGGCGCGGGGGCCGGCGACGAAGAAGAGGCGTGTGGGCGTGCTCGTCGTCTTGGCGCTGTCCCATGGCGTCGAGGGCGGGAGGACGTGGATGAAGGAGATGGGCGAGAGACTGGGCAGCTGTGTGCCGCAGCACGCGTTCCGGTCTATAGCGGTGATGTTGCAGTGTCGAATGACGCCCTGCCCGTTAGCAAATGGCCCGGTGGTCGCCCTCCCGCCCTCCCGCAACTCGAGCTCGCCAGAACTCACCCCCGAGTAATCCTTCGGAACCCCCCTGTTCTCCCTTTCCTCCTCCTCCGTCGTCGCCGACCCCTGCACGCTAAAGTCGATCCAGACCTTGACGTCCTCGCCGATATATCTGTTACACTCGTCCTCGACCTCCTGCGCCTCTTGCCACGTGAGTCCGCGCGGCAGCTCGACATACGGCGCCTCCGTGGACGGATACGCCGGCATGCCCCAGGAGAGCGTGTTCAGCCCCCTCTTGTCAAGCACAGCGCTGAGGAGATGCTGCCCCGTATGTGTCGCCATGTGGTCGAGGCGGCGCTCCCAGTCCACCTCGGCTGTCGCTTCTTGGCCCACGACGGTGCCAAAGTCGATTGCAGCGGAACTGGGCACACGCACAATGTGTACGGCGTCAAGGCCGCGGCGGACTACGCCCTCGACAGCAAACGATTGCGAAGAGCCATTCGCGTCCACCAGGGAGAGACGGCCCGTGTCCCACGGCTGGCCCCCGCCCTCGGGGAACAGCACCGTGTCCTCGAGCATGACTTCCCAGAGCTTGCCCTCGGGCTCGGCGGGCTCTGCTGGCGTGGTGGGAGTGGCCGTCCCGCTCTCGGCGGGCGTCGCAGGCGTCGCAGAACCAGACTTGATCTTCTTCTTCGCGCGGCCCTTTTGGGCCACCGGCGCCGTCTTGGCCTGCTCGGAGCGCACGATCTTGCGTGTCAGAGAGCGGAGAAGCGGGTCGCCTGCCGAGGTTAGCTACTCGCAGACCCGGCAGCTGTGTTCTCCAAGCCCCTTCCGTATCGTGGATCTTGGAGGGGAACCTTGTCACCTTTGCCCCGAAGGCTCTCCTTGGGCTCGCTGCGCTCGCTGCGCTCGCCTTCGCCGCTCGCCCTTGGTTACTCACGCTGACAAGCCAGCAGGCCCACGATACGCGTCTCGGGCACCTGGGCCGGGTCGAAGTGGATGCGCGCATAGTCCTTTGGCGTCTGGGTCGCTGGGAGCGCGGGCGCGAGGTCGTAGGTCATTTTGCGCGAGGGTGAGTGGGCAATGGTCACAACATGACGACAACCGAGACATCGGCTTCTACCGAGTCGCGAGTTATTGGACACCACGTGTGGTCGCCGAGTTGTCCCCGTCTTCCGTCTTCACCTCTCCGGCTTCCTCGACTATGGGGGAACAGGGATGCATGGAGGATTAGCTCCGCGCTCAGCTCGCCAACGCTGGCCGCGCTCGCCGCACTCGCCGCACTCGCCGTTCGAATCATGACTGTATGCATGCGTGGTACATTAAAGGGATCCTGGTTCTAGTTCCGACTAACCCAAAGCTTAAACGCTCACAACCTGCGAGACCTGTTTGTGAGCAGACCCGGCGCCAGAGGGCACGCCGAGCGCTCCATCTCTCCTGCTCCGAGAGCGACGTGATACGACGCCGTTGTACGGCTCCGTTTCCAAGTCATTTCTGCACTCACTCGCTCTACCGCTTCGCGGCAGAGCTCGCTTACGCGCTCTTCTTGTGCTTCGTGAGCGCGCCCAGACGACGCCTCTCACGACGCTCGACGCTCCTGTCGCTGTCCCAGTCGACATCGGCTGCGAGGAGGTCCGTCTGGCCGTTCTTCTCCAGCTTAGAGTCGAAGAAACCATCACGGTATCCGCGGACGATGCGCTCGAGGAGATCGCTCGTCGAGATGCTCGGCGTGCGGCGTGTCGGGAGGAACTTGCCCGATGCCTTGATGTACTTGTACACGTCGTCGTAGTCCTTGGAGGGGTAGACGGCCTCGTCGTGCGCAATGTAGTCGATCTGGTAGCGCTCAATGAACTCCTCGTCGACGACCCAGGGTGCGTCGGGGATCACCTCGTCGACCCAACGGCAGTGGCGGACCGCCTCGCAGCGCTCCGCGTGCGTCATTGCCGGGGCAGACTTGTGCTCGGCGCAGAGCGCGTCGGAGCACACACCGACCATGAGGTAGACGTGAGGGAAGGAGAGCTTGGCCTGGCGGTGCTGCAGAGCGTGGCCAAAGTGGAAGAGGTCGTACGCACCGTCGGCGTAGATGCGGACCGGGCGGTCCTGCGGCGGAGGCGCCGTCCGCCAGTCGCGCTCAAAGCCGTCAACCGCTCCCTCACCGTCGATCGCACGCTGCACAAACGCCCGGATGTCCTCGACCGACAGCTCCGGCTGACGCTTCCACATGCGCGGAGGTCCATCGGCACTCGCCTTCTTGCCCGTCAGGTGGGCCTTGTACGGGTGCGCCAGCGAGACGCTGTCCGCGACGGGCACGTCACGAGGCGGCTCACATGGTCCCTCCTGCTCGATCAGCTGGCGCATAGTGCGCGCCTTGGGCGTGGGAGCGCGAGCGAGCGACGACGAGTTGCCTTGCGGCGTGGGACTCGGGGACGAGTTGCGGCGCTGCTGCGGTCCGTTTGAGCGAACAGGCGTGCCGATCGTCGAGGAAGACTCAATGTCGCCGTCGTATCTGGGGTCAGTTTACGATGACACCATAGCAACTCACGTTGGTGACTCGAGACCTTCGCTCTCGCTGGGGTCGTTGAAGCGCTCGTTCCGGCGGAGCATCGCGTTCAGAGAGAGCCCGACGGGGGGAGCAGTCGTGTTGCGGTGGTTGCTGGTGCCAAGACGGGGGCTGCTGGCAGTGGACGGGGTGAGGCTGGGTGTTTTCACCGAGATCAGAGATCCCACGTCGGAAACGTCGTTGTCTGCAGAGTATCAAGATAATTTCCGTGGCGCAGGTACCGGTCGAGATGATACCGAGGTGAGGAGGGGGTCGCGGCGAGAGACAGAAGGATGGAACGATAGGAAGTGGTGAAGAGTGAAGAAGCGAGAGAAGCAGCGTGTGGTTTGAGATAGGCAAGTTCGGAGCAAATGAGAAGTGGGAGGCGAGCGACGGCATGGCGATTCAATGACGAAACGGGGTGTGTCAGTGATGTTTTCGGGGTATGTCCAAACTATCCAACGTACCTTCCTCGCTAGCGTCCTGCGAGCTATTTGGGTCCCGGCCTTCGCGGCGGCGAGCCTGATCTGCCCGCCTGCTCCTCGGGTGCTTCTGCTGGGGAGGCTGCATCGACATGGTGGTCGATAGGGCTGAAGTTGGTGTCGGGAAACGTCGACGTGAAGGGGATGGATGATCGGCTGCAATTGGCCGGTTGGGAGAGTTCGGATTGTGCGTGCGGCAACAGGGCCTTGCTTGTGGGATGGTCGTTTCTATGCGTGACGTGAGGCAGTGGTGGTAGATGGTCGAACTTTTACAGCGGTTGGCGTCTATTTAGCAGGGGCCTAGGGGGAAGTGGGTGGATGTCGGGTTGGAAGAGAGTGATGGAGGGAAGGAAAGAAAGTTGGGGAAGGGGATAGGTGGAGGGCACACCTTGTTCGTCGACGGGTGGTGGTGGTGGTGGTGGTGGATGTCGAGGGCGTCTAGGAGAGTGGGTGAGCGGCGAGAGTGCGATTCTTGGCGTGTGCGTCGATGGAGGCGTTGGTGCAGCTAGCCGCTCTCTGACTGCTGTTCGCTCGGTGGCTCGGTTGGTGTCCAGTCTGTACTGCTTGGAGAGTGTTCGCGGGTGGGTCGCTCGGCGTGCGGCGCGCTGCGTGCGTGGGGATACAGGGCTATGACGCTGCCTGCACGCTGGTAGGCTCACCCTCACAACCCCGCGGAACCAGATTCATCCTCGTTTCACAAGCCAAAAGTGGGCCCAGCGAGCCTACCACAGAATGGGATAGGCCTGGCAGCTGCCCGCTGGCACATAATCACGTGATCGTCATAGCCGCGATGTCAACAACAACAACAATCAGCAGCAACAAGAACGACAAGGAAGACGACCGCACGGACACCACTCATCTCCATACCCCATCCACCATGACCATCGAAGAGTACGTCGGCAACGACTCGGTCGAATTAGCAACCCAGTTAGGAGTCCTCATGTGAGTAATCCTACATAGGGAGTATCTGTTGGAACTCGCAACTCGCTCCCAGTATGCAGAATTAGCCAGCTATTTGCACGAAGGCATCCTAGCTAACCGCAGCGATGTGATGAACGACGTCGGGACAAAGTTCGACCATGAGTCAGCGATCAATGAGCTCCTCGAGGTCTCCGATCTCGTGAACGTCCGGCAAGAGCAGTGGGACGCCGAGCTGGCCGTGAAGCGTGGCGAGCTGGAAACATTGCAAGCCACGCTGCAGCGGGCACGTGCCGCCGCGCAGCGACCAGCGGGTACGCCCTCCGCGGAGGAGCACGAAGCCTCCGTCCGCCGCCTGACTGAGGAGCAGTACGCAGCGCACAAGAGCCTGAACGAGGAAGAAGCCCAGACGAGCAGGCACGACGGCGAGCTGGCGCGTCTCCGCGCCGAGCGCGAGGACGTGAAGCAGCTCCGTGTCGAGGACAAGGGCCAGAACCACGCGCAGGTCCTCCGCCTCGGCCTCTTTGGCGGGATGGGCTTCAGCGTGCTCGAGGAGAAGCCGCCGAAGATCCTTGTTCGTGAGTACGAGCTATGCGTCTGAGAGCGAAGCTGATGACAGGCAATGACAGCAACAACGACGTGCATACCGTTACGGTGCTCGATGCGTCGAAGAAGGTGCACTACGCGAACCTCCTGTGGGAACTCGCGAGCTAGCCGGCGAGGGAGCGAGCGAGCGAGCGAAGCGAAGCGTAGCACGGAGCTCAGCGTAGTGCAGCGGAGCAGAGTACGACACGAACGGGCTGTCACTCCTCACACAGTGAGCCGACGCGTCGCGATCACCCCTCACGATATTCTGGGATGATCAGGCATGTCCCGCCCGTGCTTGGTGCTCGGTCGAGCAGAGTGCCAAGACATTGCACGGAGCGTTCGCGGCACTGCGGCAATGGACACCGCAAACCCGCAATGAACACCGCGCTTCACCGCGCTTATCGCCGTGCAATCTGCGGTTGCGGCAACACGAGCTCTTAACGACGGGAGACCCGGCCCCGGTGCCGGGGGCCGGTCCAGGCATCCGGTGTGCATCCGGCGTGCAGCAGTCGGAACTGGCGAGCATGCGAACAGCCTCGTCCCGGGGACGGAGTGTTGATCGGAGAGTCGAGAATCGGATCGTATCTCAAATGCATCAATACTCTGAGAAGCGGTGACACCATAGTAGCAGTGGAAAACAAGCAGTCTCTCAAATGAGCCTGGTGACATTTTCTCAAATGCAAGCCAGTCATGTTTCTCAAATCGACCCTTAGATCTCTCAAATACCGGCCCCAGGGGCAGGGTTGTAGGGTGGGGCGGAGCAATTTCTATGGCATGCGAGCCGTGTTCCAGTGATGGATGCAGTGACGTAACGTGGAAAATTCAGATCCTCCTTCCCCCTTGCCCTCTTGTTCACCAGTCGTCACCTTCGCGAAGGTTAGTGATGAGCGCATGCGCAGACATGTTTGAGAAGGAACGGTCAGATGTCAGAGCAAGCCACAGCATGTCAGCCAGCCAGCTCCAATGCAGCCACTGGCATCATCTCTGGCTTGTCATCATCCCCGTCAACTACGAGTCCGTCACCGGCGACACCAGCGACAGACTCCCACGACCCCAAGCAGCTGTCTACAGTCACCACCTGCGGCTCGAGTTAGTCGTCGAGTTAGTTACTGGAATGAAGTGGGAATGGACAATGCTATCATAATCGTACAGAAAACTATATGCTGATACTGTATACGTGGTTTTGTGGGGGAGATCGGGGAGATGGGTCTGGGCATGGGAGCCGAATGCTGTCGCAGCGAACGCTCGCTACCGCTCGCGTCCGGTTTAGACGGCGTGGGCCTTGTCCGAGCTGGCGTGCTCGTGCTCCTCCTTCTGCTCCTCCTTCTGCATCTTCTCTCCCGCCTTGCGCGCGGCATGGAGCTGGATGCGTTCCGCCTTGGTCAAGGATCCGTTCATGTCGAGCATGTCCTGCCACGAGTGGTCGACGGGCTTCTTCGGCTTCTCTCCCTTTGCATTAACGCCTGCGGCGACGGCAGACGCGACGAGCACGGCCACAGTGAGCCCCTGCGCCCACATACGCGCCTGCACAATCTTCTGCGGGAAGGTCTGGTACCTGTCCCTCGCGACGATGCCGAACGCGAGCGCCATGGACGCGACCCAGCTCCCGCCGATGATCGAGTACTGGTGCCGCGCGGCCCAGTCCTTCAGCTTGTCCGTCGTGCTGAGGCCCTGCCAGCGCTGCTCGGCCAGACGCGCCTCCTTGTCCAGCTCGTCCTTGCCCGCTCCTTGCCACTGGTTGCGCGCGATGAAGTGCTCGCCCGCCTTCTCGGCAAAGACGGTGCCGCACGGCACCACGAAGAGGAGGCCGAGGAAGGCCTTGCCCTGCAGCGGCAGGTTGCGGTAGTAGGGGAAGCGCCGCTTCAGGGCCCAGTTGGCGGGCACGAAGGCAGCGGCACCGACGAGCGCACCCTTCACCGCCTCGGTCACGACTTCCTTCATGTAGGCGTCCTGCTGGCGACCGGCCTGGATGTCAGCTGAGGTGCGGGAGAGAATCGAAGCTGGTCTCGACTAAACTCCTGTCCAGCTGGAGCTGGAGCACAGCTAGAGCCCAGCGGGAGCCCAGGTGGAGCAACTCACATCGAGGTAACGCGTCTCGGACTCAGGGTTGGCGACGGGGGCGGGCATGTTGAGTGAGTGTGGTGGTTGACTGGCGAGAGCCTTAGTAGTCGAGTAGTAGTAGAGATGAGAACGGGGTAGAGTTCTCAGAGGGAGATGGAGGTAGTGATGGAGGATGAAAGTGGTGGTGCGTGCATTCGCACAGTGTGATAATATACTTCGGCGGACGGGCACCTCGGCAACTTTTTCCTCCACCGGCTGGTCGGCCGGGAGCCTGGGTGTAGTGCTGACTAGACTACGAGGAGGGCCTAGGAGGGGACGGGTCCACCTTTGGTCCGCCCAGCGCAAGTCAAGCTGTCCCTGGCTTTGTCACCTCCCTTTGACCCCTTGAGTCCTCTTTGGCATGCATGCTCGGAGCAGCCGGGGCACGTCGTCGATGGTTCAATGGAATTCCGAACTCGGGTTGTAGTCCACGTTGAGAGGCCACGTGGAGTGACGCACCACACCCAAAGTTCTCACTGTAGCTTCACTCCGAGATCCCCCGTCTTGTCCCCGCCCTCCGAGCCCTCCCGCAATCATCCGACTATCAGTAATTATCAGCGACATGGACGCGGCTTGATTACTAAACATGCGACGTTGAAGCGGGGTGAATTCCGAACATCCTCCAGTATCGCAAGGCACATCTGTTATCGCGCCGCTGTGGCTCGCTTGCTCGTGCTTGACTCACTTGCATGGGGCCGCATAACCCGCAGAGTCCGCGGCTGGCTCTTGGGTTGATCCGTGGCGTACGCGAAGCGAGACGAAGCTCGACGCGACGCGCACACAGGCACCATAGTGGGCACTTCTGTCCTGCGCCGCGTACGCCGCCTGCGCCGTCAAGAGCAGACACCGGATCAAGCCACTTTCGTTTCGGGGCTGAGTGCTCTCGCCCGAGCGCCGCGGCCCCGCTTCCTGACTATGCAGCACTCCAGCGCTTACGCGCATCTTCCTCGTTAGCCCTCTGCAGAGCTGCAGCGAAGCCGCCCGCGCAAGGTTCAAAGGCCCAGAGCAAACACCGAAACATCCTAATTGTCTCCAACGACGATCCCCCGACTCACTCGCCCTGCGGCGTAAAGAGGCGGGTGTGGCTCCGCGCATTCCGTGCAGATCAGTTGCAGATCATTCTCGACTCGGGCCGGCGGCAACGGAAGATACTGGATACGTTTACATTTTGGTCTAGTCGCTGTCTACTGAGATCGTCCTCTGCCTCTTGCCACTCGATGCACTACGCCAGCTTCGACACTGATACACCCTCATTAATCATCCGCTGACTCCTACTCGCCACTCGCTCGTCACCCAGCTAGCTCACGCTTGCGCTCGCATTCGCTACCCTCGTGGTCGCGCTCATGCTCGCTTAGAACACACTTCCCGTCCTCAGCTGCTCCAGTTTCTTGAGCACTTCGCCAACGTTGCGGTCGAGGTCCGCCGCAATCGCCTGCTGCTGCGGGTACGGGAGCATGTTGAAGGACTCGCAGAGGTCGCCGTCGACGACCGCCTTGACAGGCGCATAGTACCCGCGGTACGCGAGGTGGTCGCGTCCCACGAGCGACGTGTTGAGGGAGCGGATGTGCATTTCGAGCGTTGTCATGAACTCGACGTCGTCGTTGCTGATGAACGGCACGAGGGCGCCGACGGCTCCGCTGATGGTCGTGTAAACCACGACGTCGCGGCCTCCAGGCGCGACACTGACCTTGGTCAGCGAGGTGACGACCGAGCCGACGTTGTAGTGCGCAATCAGGTCCGTCTTGTTCGCGCTGCCCATGAGGAAACCCTTCTCGTGCAGAATCACCGCGCCCGTCGGGTCGTCGTCGACCTTTTCGGATACACGCTCCTCGAGCCGGTTCACGAAAATGTTGCCAAACTTGTCCGCGCAGCACACCGTGTCGTAATCCACGTTGCAGACGGCCGTGAGGAAGCGCGGCTGGCTGTCGTCGGCAAAGATGAGAAGCTGTCGAGACGGAATCGAGCGATACACGCAGTAGAATGTCGACTCTTGCAAGTCGCCGACGATGATGCGCGCACCGACAACGTTGATCGTAGCGACGCCTGTTGGGAAACCGTTGTTCTCGCACTTGCGGAGCAGAGCTTTCTTGCCCATCTCGTACAGGCGGAGCGACTTGCCGACACCAGCGAGAAGGTAGCCCTGGAACGCCGCGACGGCGAGTGGCACATCGTCCGTCTTCGTCTTGTGCATGAACTCGAGCCGCTTACCCTCGTCCCGGATCGCATAGACGCGAAGCCAGCCCTCCTTGCAGCCCTTCGGCATGAGCGTCGTCTTGACGCCCGTGCCGACAACGAGCGACGGCTCACCGCCCATGCGCTCAAAGTAGCACACGGCGAGCGAAAAGGCCGCCTCGTCCTCGTCCAGCTCGAGAGTCTGCAGCGTCGTGTTCTGCAGCGGGTCGATGACGCGGATAAGACTGCCCCAGTGTCCTGCCGGCGCACGGACGCGGCCAAACTCTGCCGGCGGCAGCTCGAGTACGGCGAGCGCCTTCTCGTCGCCCTCGCGCTTCTTCTCCTCGGTCGCCTTCTCCATCGCCTGCGCCGACCACACGCGGTGGTCCGCCTCGATGCCGTAGAACACCGTGTTGTAAGGATACGACACAAACTTGCGCGGCGTGTACGACAGCGGCATGCTGTCCTGCTTCAGCTTGGTGCCGAGACGCGGGATCGTGAAGATCCGCAGCGTGTTGCCGCTGATACCAATGAGGCCATCGGGGCACATGGCCGCGGACAGGTTGCACGCGTACTCGAGCATGTCGTAGATCAGCGGCTGCGTCTGCAGCAGGTCCTGGTAAGTGTACAGAAGCCACGTGCGGGACGAGAACGCCATGACAGCGGGCGAGCCGTGCACTGCACTGCGGACGATGCGCGGCGGCTTGCTGCCGAGGAAGCGGAGGCGGGTGTCGGACAGCGAGCCGTCGACCGGGTCCACGACTGTTCGCAGAAGCACACCGTTGAGGAGACCAATCGTCAGGAACATGGTTGCACGGTTCTTGTCGATGGACGTGTCGAAGATCTCCGCGAGGCAAATGTCCGACGGCGGCGCAGTCAGCGCCTGCAGAGACAACGTCTCGAGCGTGTTATCCGGCTCAAGCGAGATGATGTGCACCGTCTGGTTGTCACATCCAACCGCGAGGTAGGGCGTCCGCCTTCGTCCTTCCGGCACATCGGCGATCGAAACACACGTAGCGTTTCCAGGCAGCGACTTGCGCTCCTGGTACTCGTTCAGCGATCCCTCCTCGTCGAGCTCAAAGTAGACGAGCTCCTGTGTGCTAAGCGCAATGACGACCTGATTCTTATTCGTGGTTGCCGAGACGATCGTTGTGCCTGCCGGAGCGTTCCACTCGTCGACGCGGTCGGCGGCGCGGATATGCCGAAGGCCAGCAGGGTGGACCTGCAGGAGACCGGCAGAGCCGAGCTGCTGCACGGCCAGCGTCGGGCCGGACGAGAGGAATCCAGTGTCGTTGACCTCCTCGATCGTCTCGCCGATTGACAGCACGAGCGTTCCGTTCGGGAACGAGAGCACAATGTACGAGTCGTACTCGTCGTCCTCGCTGAGCTTCAGGGTCCAGACAGCGTTCGGCACACCGGGCAGCGGCGACTCGACGAGCACATTGATGTCAAGGCCGTGCTTCAGGGAGCGGAACGTGGACCGCGGTCCACGACCACATGCGGCGTAGATTTGCGGCGTGTCCGAGGCGTTGCCGAGAAGGTTGACGACCTGAGCATCGAGAATCGGATCGAGCGACGAGAGCGTGTCCGCAAGGAGGAGATTCTGCAGTGGCCGCGGTTGGAAGAAGGCGTACGGGAGGTGCTCCTCGCCGAGGCCAAAGCCGGGGTAGTCGGTCGAGGACCACTCGCGTTCTCCGTCATCGTCCGCAAGGCTCTGGAACTGATACAGTCCCTGATCGCCAAACTCGCTCGCGACGAACAGATAACCACTCTTCAGGATGCAGAGCGAGGTTGCGACGGGCACCGTGTCAAAGTACTTGATTCGGAGGGCGCGGACGTCCTCGCCCTCGTGCTCGATCGTCGCTTTGAACAGGTCGCCGTCCTCGGACTGCAGAAGGAAGAAGAACGAGCCCTTGATCTTGTGCGTGACAGCGGCGACGATGATGATGCCGCGCGAAGATTGGCCTGGCTTCGCCATCGGATTCCGTCTCCGAGGGATCGGAACGCGGTGCGCCTCAGCATCCATGTGCTTCCAGATCACGTAGTCCTCCGTACACACCAGCACTCCGCCGGGTCCGTCAAACCGATCCGTGTTCGCGTTCTGTCCTCCGGGAACCTGGACGAGAAGGTTGGCGCGTCGGTCCGTCGGCTCGCTCCACTTGCGCACGACGTGGTTCAGGCCGAGGTCGAGCTCGTAGAACGTCAGGTGCTTCTCCGCCGCGCGGTACGCCTCGCCCGTTGCATCATGATCCGAGTCGCCGTAGTCGAGCTCAAGCGCCGCAAACATCGGGTTGTCGTAGCCAGTGTCGCATGCGATCATGTTGACCACAAGCGTGTGGTTCTTGTGCGCCTCAAGCGGAGATGACGGGTACACCTTGCCCTCCGTGTTGCGGTTCAGGATGTAGCACAACTTCTGCTTCTCGACAGCGCCGAACATCGCACTTCGGCCCTTCGGGTCGACGGCGAGGAACTGACCGGGAATCGTTCGTCGCGACCCCGACTTGCCGTACACCTCCTGGTACAGCGACTCGAAGTGCGGCGTCGGCGAGATCACGAGCTCGATGATCGACAGTCGTCCTGAGTCCGAGGAAAGGACGATGTAGTCCTTGCCCATGCCCGCGAGTCGGAAGGCGGCAACATTACGAACGGTGCCGAACGCCTGGATGTCAGCTCATACAACACAACGCGACAGCTCAATTCTCGTTCAACATACCTCTGAGCTACAGATAGAGTCCACTGTACGTCAGCTAACGTCCGAACTACTCGTCGATGACTCACGTTGTCCTGTCGACGGGTTGAGCTTCAAGATCTCGAGTCTCGTGCTCCCCCTAACGGCGAGGATCTCCTGGCCCTTGCCGGAGAAGGATCCGACGGCGGCGGCCGTGACAGACGTTGCGGGCTGCAACGTCAGGTTGAGGAGATGCATCGTCGGTAGATGCTTGAGGTGCCGTCGACGGTTTTGGTGGAGGTGAGTGTGTTCGAACTACTTGAAATCAGCCCTCGATCATGAGCAACCAAGGTTATGATGGCAACAAACGCGCATGAATGGCGGAGGCCACGTGTCTTTTTTATTTTCCTGTATTTTTCCCACTTCCTCCGGTCCTTGGGCCGTGAGCATCCAGAAAGGCACAGGCACATGCATATAGTGATGTTGGCTACGTTGGCTAGCAACAGGTTGGAAAGATGGAAACACAGCGAGACGACTTTCAGAAGATGTCCCAGGCAGGGTGCAAGCTGGGGTCCTCGGAGAACTCCTTCATGCGGATAGTCTCTGGACTGTCCTCGCCTTCGACCTTGACGCGGCACCTGTAGGCACCACGAGCAAACGTCTTGGCACCGGGGGCGTAGCCGTGGCAGGCAGCGACCTGGAAGGAATCGTAGTACGTGCTAGCAGCGAGGGCAGTGTCCTTGCCATATTCCTCCTCGAGCAGGCAGAGAACAACCGCGCACTCCTCCAGGACATCGGCAGGCATCATGCCCACCCGCAGGGGTTTGCCGATTTGGGCATTGAGCATTGCGATCTGGCGGCGACGCTCATCGCTCTCTGCCACCTTGTCGTCGGAGGCACTACACGCCTCACAATTGCACTCGAAGCCAAACTTGTTCTGCAGATGGGCGCGGCGCTCGGCCCTGCACCCGTCGAGGAAGTACCCAATCGTGATCTCCTCTCCCTTACTGATGTCGCGGAGGGCGTGGATTGTCTCCATCTCCAGGTTCTCATTCCAGCTATGGTGAGCGTTGGGGATGCAGCTGTGGTTGATCCGGCACAGAGTGGGATAGACTGCGCCTTTGGGCGAGTTGGCGCCCAGGGGGAGCGCGTTCCCGTCGAAGATTGCGAAGTTGGCGCAGGGGTGCGAGGGGTCTGCGTTGTGCAGTGACTGGAATGCGGCGCGGTCCTCCGCACTGAGTCCGACCAGGGCCTTGGTGATCTTGGCGTCGACCTCGGAAGGGTTGCCCGCGGTCATGACCATGTATGGCGCCTCTTTCATGATGCGCGTGCCACTGGGAATGTCGACGAGAGCGACAACGCCTTTACCCTTGCCGGAAATTTCGACAACCTCGACCATGCTGTTGGCGGCAGTGGCGGAGTTCGTAGGGGTTTGGGAAGAGGCGGAGGGTGCAGAGTTGTCTGCAATGGTGAGAGCCTCCAGGCTATAGGTGACTTCGGTGGCGGTGTCGACCGCGACTTCGGGCTTGACGGCGCCCTCCTTCGGGACAGCCTTCGCGAGCTGCGCCTTCTTCTTCTGCTTGGCCTTGTTGCGCTTGGCCGACTTGTTGGGCATCGTGTCAGGTTATGCGCTGTCAGATGCTAGTCGTGGGTAAGTGTGCAGTGAAATGAGAGGATGTCAGTCTGTAGTGCTTGGTGTGCTGGAACAGGAAGCGGGCGAGAGTGCGAAAGGAGGTCGCGACGCCGATAGATCTGGGCGATGATCGCTGTCGGTGTTAAAGTGAGTCCTCTGGCGAGCGTGTATCGGGCGCTAAGCATTAAAGTTGAGTTGAAGGCTTGAGCGCCCTTCCCTTTCTACACACGTGCTCTGTGGATGCAACGATGGGCATGTGGCAGTCGGACACGGGAGGTTAAAGACGTTACTCTGCCACGCACATACGGAACTAATACGACACGGACGGTCGGCCACAGCCATTGCGCGGCCGACAGACGTATCACTGATCCCTACCATTACGAGGCTTAGGAGCGCATACGCCAAAACACGGATCACTGACCGGGTCACACATGGTCTTCAATATCTCCTCCGCGTCAGGGTGATCGTAGCCCTGGGCGACAACGCGGATATCATAGGCCGCCTGAGCCTGCCGTTCGGCATGGAACTGCCGCCCCTCAAGAACCGCAATGTCGTAAGCGAGCTCGTAGATCTCGGCTCGCATAGCGCAGTCCGGCCCAAACTCGCCCTTGATGAGTTCCTGGACGTCGAGGTAATTTTGACGGATGGTGTCAATGTTGACAGGTATGTGGGGCACGCTCAGAGAACGGTGGAGCGCATCGGTGAGGTCCCGAATCCGGCGACGAGTACTGTCGCTGGCGCGAAGCTGGCGCTGCCCCAGCCCGCACACCTCACAGGCACAGTCGAATTTGAACCTCTTCTTCAACCACGCCTGGCGTTCCTCGCTCACGCCTGTGTGGCCGTAGTTGATTGTGATTTCCTCGCCGCTGCTGATGGTGCGGATGGCGTGCACCGTCTCCATGCCGAGGTTGTCGTTCCAGCAGATGTGGGAATTGGGCCGGCAGCTGTGGTTGATGCGGCTGATGTACTCGAACACTGCGCCTGCACCTTCCCCACGCGGCAAGGCGTTCGTGACGAATATCCCATGCAGTTTGTACTTGGTATCCCGGTGACAGTTGTAGAGGCCGAGCAGCGCCTTCTTCTTCCACGGCCCAAAGGATTGGATGGCTGCAGAAACGGCCGCCTCGATTTGAACAGGCTTTCCTAGCTTGACGACCAAGAGCGGCGCTTCCTTGAGAATGCGAGTGCCCTTGGGGATATCGGCTGTGGCGACCAGTCCTAGATCCTTGCCAGGGATGCTGCGGACCTCGAAGAGACACGGCTCCTCAGTCAGATAGTTGATGCCAGAGGCTGAACTGGGTCCCGCCCCAGAAGTACTGGTGGCCGACGCCGTGTCTTCATACTCGTTGGCAGCTCTGAGCTCGTCTCTATCGCGCTTCTCTTTGTTGCGCCGTGCCTTGTTGCGCTTTGCCGATTTGTTGGACATGGCTGTATGATCAGTTCGGTTGGATCAACTGATGAAGAAGTTAAAGCAAGCGAGTATCATTCTAGCTTGAAATTAGGTGAGGAACTTGCAGGGGCTTCGTGAGTGTGTGGAACAGAAACGTGCTCGTTATGACGGAGCAGCAACAGCAGGGTTTTGTGGCGTTTACTTGAAACCGAGCGTAGCCATCCAGCAGGGGTTGTTGTAACTGTGAGAACGTGGGCACAGTGAACAATAGGACTGTTAGTAGCCTTGCGCCGGTGCGTTGTCGCCTCTGGCTGCATCAGCGTGGGATTGAAAGCCCCTGTCGGGACCCCAACGGCCGCTGCGGATGCGAGCATCAGAAATGTTCCTTGACATCTATGGTGAAATGGTATCATGCATCCTTGCCATGGATGCGGTGGGGGTTCGATTCCCCCTGGATGTACTCTTTTGGCCTCTCGGGGCACAGAGGAAGGTTGGAGGACGGATCATTCAAGAGGAGAGTGAGGAGGTGCTCTTGACGGACGATTGGACATTGTTGGTGCGAGCCTGAGTCGTGCCCTGATCCGTGCCTCTCGCGCTCCCATTTTTGGGATCAGGGGGTAATGGTAGTGCATGAGCCTGTTCAGCGCCATATTCTGGGCTCCCGGGTAAGCAGTGTGCATGCACAGGTTTTGAGTGCTCGATCATGGCATGGGGAAATGTTGAGAGGCGCACAGCGCCTTCACGAATTTTCAGTAATTTCTTCGGGATTTTTGAGATTTCCTGCTGCTGCTCAGAAATCAGTTACACGAACCTGTAGCTTATCATGGACACTCCTTAGACCACTGCTATCATCCTCCAGCACCAATTGTCTCTCTATAATCCCTCAAACTCCCGGTGGAAGAAGACACAGAGTGTCACCCTGTGGGGCCGGACATAAACATCGTCTCTCCTGTATTTTTCCCACTTCCTCCGGTCCTTGGGCCGTGAGCATCCAGAAAGGCACAGGCACATGCATATAGTGATGTTGGCTACGTTGGCTAGCAACAGGTTGGAAAGATGGAAACACAGCGAGACGACTTTCAGAAGATGTCCCAGGCAGGGTGCAAGCTGGGGTCCTCGGAGAAACTCCCGGTGGAAGAAGACACAGAGTGTCACCCTGTGGGGCCGGACATAAACATCGTCTCTTCGCTAGTATATCGGTTAGTATAATCGCCTCTCAAACGAGACTTCTTCACTCAGAAGTGATCGCGATAGAGCAGGGTTCGACTCCCTGGCGGAGAACAAGGAACTGTACAGGTTCACTTTTTCTTTGGGCGGCTGCCAGCATCGTAGTATCATCAGCTCGCGTACATCACGCTATTGTCCGTCATCGTCCTCCTTCACTCCACATAGGTCGAGCTCGTCAATCGGTCAAAGATCAACGTCTAGCGCTCGTGCTCGCTGCGACCTAAATCGGGGTCGGTGAAGGACGCGGCGGGTCACCCTGAGGCAGCCAGGGATCGGCGGGAATCTCGAACTGCTGGTTCTTGTTTCCGTCAAAGCACTCCCAGAGCTGGGCCGTCTGTCCCGTCTGGCCATCCTTTACGTCAACGCACAAGCCCGAGCAGACGTGCTTGAGGTGGCCATCCTTCCAGATCCAGTCCTGGCTGGGCCGACTGGCAGAGCACTCCCAGATCTGGAGAGGGGTGCCGTTCTTCGCGTCTGCGGTCAGCGTTGTACCCTGCGCTCGGACACTAGGATGTATCGCGGGGGGTTCAAGAATACTCACCGGGCTCAACGTCGAGGCAGAAGTCTCCAAACTTCGGGTCGCTCTTGAGCTTCGTAATCTCGCCTGCCGTATTGAAGTCCCACACCGGGAGCCAGTAGATGCTGACGCTGCCCAGGCTAAGGCGTCAGTTGGGAAACAACAAGAACGCTCACATGTGCGGCCGCATGCCGTTCGACAAGCTCGATGGGAAGTCAAAGTAGCCGTTCGGCTTCGGCATGACTAGCAGTCCATAGCTGCCCTTTTGGACGTTAGACCACTTGATGGATGCTTTGTCGGCGTGCACTCCTGAGAGCAGCAGCAGAGCTGAAGTGAGGAACGCGAGCATGTTGACGGGTTGCTGCGGATCGGATCGTACAAGCGCTCGGGAAGATCAGTCGAGGAGTAGGCGTCGATAGCGGGGTGCAAGTGTTAGGCTGACTGGGGCCAAGATTAAGATGATCCGCAGCCATGCCTTGCCATGCCTTGGTCCTTAAGTAGCTATCCTAGGCTGGGATGAGGTGGGCAGGCACTCAATCACGGGTGCACAGGCCTGTTCGATTCGGGGTGACGTTTGAACAACAGGCTATCACCTGACCTCGGATGGCGTTACGTTACCCCGCTACTGGTCTCGGACATTCTTCACCAATGCCAGTATGCGCGTTCCCGCGCTCCGAGCGATGCGATCGAATTCGTGACGTCGGTAGCGCGGCTGTCGCGCACCGAGTGACGCGGGTTCCACCCTTTGTGATACCACACCCCATTCAATTGACCGCGATCGGATCCGAGATTGCACTGCTTTCACCGAGATACCAACTGAATCAGCGTGCGGACGAAGAACGGTCTCGTTTTCTCTGCATCCCCTGTCAGCTTCTAGTCTGAAGATAAGCTCAGAGAGGCAGGCATAAGCTCTACCATTCCAAAGGTAATCTCGATTAGCCTCGGCTGTCGACTATGGCGATGTATGCCAAGCCATCTCAACAGGCGTGTGACGGTCCACTTCTCCACCTCAAATTGCCCTCCCCAGACTGTTGTGACCAGGGACACGTCTCTACGGCCATTCCACTGGTTCTCCCGACATCAATGCCGACCTCTGAAGTGAGACATGCGAGCTCAGCCACCCTGCAAGCTCCTTCACCCCGGGACAAGCTCGTCTGTCTGGTCGTCTGGAACGGATCGTCAGCCTCTTCCCTGAGGAGTTAGTAACGCCACCATCTTCGATGCAATCATCCTCTGCATTGTCGTATCTGTAAACTGTACAACCCGCTCCAAAGTGTCCCTTATACCTTCGCCCTCAGCTTTCCTTTGGCTATCCGCATGCGAGCGAGAACGACACAACTGAGGGACAGCGCGACCGCTGCGCCGCTGAATAGCCCCGAGTCCCTATATCCCTCCCTGCCTCCGCCCTTGTTGGAGATGAGTGCGCCATTGATAGGCGGGCCAGCGAGGGCAAACAGCGCAACAGCGGCGTACATGAGCCCGACCCTTGCGCCGATCTCTGTGGGAGGCGAGATGTGCGCGACACACGTTGGACAGAGGGAGATAACGAATCCAGCAAGCATACCATAGAGCACGCTGAATGCGATGAGGACGGAGACGGAGTTGAGCGGGACCCACATCGCGAACAGGGTGAGCATGATGCCAACGTCGCCGAGGACCATCATGTTTAGGTGTCCTGCAAAATCGCCCACGAACGCTCCCAGCCGGCCCAGGGTAGAGCCAGCATTTAGGAAGGAGATCATGGACGCGGCGAGCGTAGGTGCCGCACCCAACCGGAGAGCATTCGTGGTCAGGTAGAAGAACGGCGTGAACATGCCGAGACCGCTGAGACCGATTCCGAGCGTGAAGATGGCAAAGTTGGTGTCGCTGAACTGGTGCCAGACGTGCGTGAGGGGCTGGAACCGCTTGCGCGGGAGCCGGCGGTGGATCAGCAGCGTCGCGAGGCAGAGCAGGAAGAGCACAATGAAGCCGCATGTCCGGATGGCCCACCCGAACCCGATCGCGTCGATCATCCGGTTGATCGCTATCGGCCAGACCGCGCCGCCGATACCGCTGCCGGTCATGCCGAGCGAGGTTGCGAGTGCCCTCTTGCGTGCGAACCAGTGCGACGGTGCCGCAACGGCGGGTGTGAAGATGAGCGACGAGCCGAGACCGAACAACAAGCCCTGGGAGAGCATGAGCTGGTAGTACTGCGTACACACTTGATGTCAGCTTTATCACTGGGACGAACTTACAGCTCGTCATCATAAGGCTGAAGGTGCACAGAACAGTACCCGTGATGAACACTGCCTCGCACCCAAACGCATCAAATAGTCGTCCGGCAAGTAGCCCGTTGAAGAAGAGGAGAAACTGCTGCAGCGCTCCGATCCAGGAGATCGTGCTCGCGCTGTACCCCTTGAGCTGGTTCTGCGCATAGTATGCCTGGAATACGCCGTACGCGTTCGTGATCCCGAACGTGGCCAGCGTGGCGCAGAACGACCCCGCGACTGTCATCCACGCCAGCGTGCCGCCATCGGGTGGTGGGCCAATGTCGAGCGCGGTCGGGGGTGTTTCTGGCGGATCGACGGGGGCAGCAACGGCCTTCTCGTCCACGGCGAAGGTGGGCTCCGCATGCTCGGCATGTTCGGCATAGTCGAGGACGGCGACGTCCTTCGCGTCCTTCTCGGTAACGGTGGCGACGGGGGTCGTGTCTCCCCTGGAATCCTTCATCGCCGAATCATGGGTGACATGGATGGATGCACTTCTTGATCGACGGAAACGTTGGACGGTGTCGTGAGCCCACCTGCCGGGGCGTGGCTTGCGGACATAGCCGAGTGTGGATGGTGTGATGACAAAGCTACGATGTCGCCGCGTTCGGGATGTCTTTGATAATCGGCGGCCGTCGTTCCTATATTCCTGCTCTGCTTTCGGTAACGCGAAGTGTCCCGGATTCAGAGGCAGTCAGCTGATCGTGCAAAGGACTGTAAGCGTAAGCGAGGGGTTGCAGGGCGGATCAGGGATGGATGCTGATAACACCCGTGGGGAACCTCCAGGCACGCGACTTCCGGAGAGGAGCCCCGGACGAGATATGATAAGATCTCTAACGGGATGGTCGCGGCTGTGAGCAAGAGCTGCGCACTGCGAATTAGAGGCTGGAAGACAAGAGGCTGAGTTGGCCATAAGGAACACTTGGGCCTGGGTTCCCACCCCGCCAGGCTCAGAGTGGACCTTCTACTCCATGTGCTGTGAGACCCCCTCACGACCGTCCCGCTGTTTGGCCAACTTAAAGCGCCTTCGCTGCCTTGACTCTTCGCCCTCAACTTCGTCAACTTGCCGATATCGAACAAAAACGCCTACCATGCTGTCTTTTGGAACAGACGGAGGGAGTGGGCCGAGTACCCAGACTGGCCATACCGATACGACTGCGTTACCAAGCCTGGGCCCGCCTTCGGCCCCGAAACCGCCATTCCGCACGTCTACAGAGCCACATACAGCTCCTCTAGGCTCATTCTATATTATGAGAATGTTCCATTTCGAAGTATTAGGCAGAAGCTCCGCGGCCTGGTCAAACAACAATAGTACGATCTCTATCTGACAGCATTCGTGTATGACGATGCGGAGTTGGGAGAGTGCACGGTAACCTGTGAGGCACTTTGTGCTGCCTTCAGGACCCTAGTGAACAACTGGCATGGCCTCGTTTGTGCTGAGGCAGAGGTCTTGAGCGCCATGCTCCTGTACCCCTACAAGCAATATCTCCATCGCTCTCCCGCGTTGCATCCTTCACAGATTCCAACCCTGACGGACGAAAGGGCTGGGGCCGCTTCGAGGTTATCGTTCCCGACGTTCAAAGGCAACTTCTGTCGGCTGCAGAATATTCTGGTCAATACCTGAGTTTCTCTCATATTTGAGAGACAGCAATCTTCTGCCGAACGGATTGCCCGGTACCCTGGCCAGGTAGACGACATCACCGCTCGCCTCAGGTCGATGGGACTGCACCTCATGAAGATGTTCTCCAACAAAACATCGACGACTATGTCTTCAGATCGGTCCAGGTTCAAACCAGCAAGGCACTGCAGCCTTCCTGCCGCGGACGAAGCTCAGAAAATGCTCAGAGGACTCACTCGCATCGCTCTCATATACAAGGGCTACAACGCTGAATGCATCAATGGTGCCTGTACTGCCTTTCACGGAGATGAAAAGCCCCAACCAATGTAGGAACCGCTGCTGATGATACTTGTGGGGAAGCATCAGGCACGCAGGTTTATTGGGGCTCCGGACAGATAAGGTCGATAAGATTAGACTGGAAAACGTGCACCTCATTTGTCCTCTTCATTCCAATTTTGCATGAGTTGCGAAGGCATCGGCTTGAAGGAGACTCCGCTGCGTGCGTAGTCGTATGTGCTGGGTTCTGAGTCCTCCAGTTTGGCCCAAAACATCAACCTTGAGATAAGAAAGGTTGACAGACAGAGCGGGCAGCGGACCGTCCTTTGGCTCGACGATTTCCAGAAGGACTTCGCCCTATATGTCTTGGTCGCGTATAGGATGAAGAAGAGGCACGAGGTCGGAGAGATGTCACTGTCACCGAAGATGTAGATCGCTTGGCCAACCACAAAGAGCCGCGAGTGCGCGACTGCATGTCATTACGGTAGTACTGCGGCAAATTCACGCATCAGGCTTCTCGCCCCAGTTCGGCAAGTGATCCTAGATGAGTGATGCTAAGCTCGGCTGAGTTGCTGAATAGTGCTCCATGCGGACTTGCCTTGCTTTATTGGGCGCAGCTGCGTGGCTCTTCATGGGTCTCATTAGCTTGCGGATAGCTGCGCGGCGTGATATTGCAGTGACCGCGCGCGGAGCAGACCCACGCACTTGGGCAGCGTGCGCAGCGCTACGCTGATACTGCAGGCACGTTCGCGTGAGTACGCGAAGCGGGGCTGACGCGACTGCTTTTCCCCTCAGTACTAGTATCTATCGGAACCCGAATCTGCTTGGAAGTCACCGACTCGCCTCCCTGCGCGCAAAAGTACAATGCCAGGTTGGGAGAAAACTCGACTCCGGATGCACAGTCTCATCAAGGACCAACTGTAGAATCCTGTCATTGCGGTTGACTGCAGCCTGCGCTGCCCGCGCAATGCTTTTTCTGTCTTCGTGGAAGCGATGCCTGTGAACTTGGTCAATGCTGGAGAAAATAAGGCGCGAGACGAGATCCTGCTCTTTTCCTTGCCCTCCTTTCACCTCGTTCACCACCCGTCGTACATCTAATGCCCGTCTTTATCCCTCTGAAGGTCTCTCCTCAACGTCCAGCCAAATCTTCGGCTCTGGACCAGAGCACTGCAACTACCACACGCCGCGTCACCCCGCCTCAAAGCGGGGCCGGCACCAGCCCCACCGCTCCGGTCAACGCCGAGCCCAACCCCCAGCCCGACGTCCAGCACGAACAGACGTCACAGTGCACCTGCACATGTCTCACGTGCAGCGAGCAAAGGCACAAATGCACCCACCTCGGACAGAAATGCTGGCGCGGCAACGGGCCTCGAGTCGGTCTTTTGCATTGTGAGCTACGCGGATTGTGCCATCTAACCACAGACGCATCGGTTGTTGCTCTCATCGGCTTCCTCTGTGCTGCGCTCGCGGCGGGACTCAAGCTCCCGGAAGGCAAGGCAGCGACCACGTACGTTTGCGAAGTCCTACACGAATAAGTCGGTGAACAGCCTAACACTTAGCGTTCCCCCGTTCTTCACCTTCCTGGCCGGCCTCGCCTTCACTGTCATCATGACCGTCAACCACTTTACAGGCTCGTCCTAGCAAGACGCCTACCGGTTCCGGGATTCTTCCGCCACCAATGTCCGCCTTGATGCTTCACGAGAACGCGATCTCCTTTTGCGCTTGCTGAGGTGTGCGGATGAGGAGAAGGAGAAGTTGCAGTGCGAGAACAACACTCTGCATAGGAAGGTCGACGCCCTCACTAAGGACGTCGAGAACCTTCAGCATTCGAACGACCTCCTCGTCGAGCAAACCCTCAACTTTACAAACAAGCTCCTTGATGCCTAATCATAAATTGATTAATGTATTCTGTTGAATTGGTGTGCCTTTGAACCATTCGAAGCGTGATGGCTTTGCAAATCTGTCAGGACGAACTCCTTCCCCTGTGAGTGGCAATGCAACGCGCCCCAACCGTCGGCAGGACAGGACGCCGAGCCCTGGTCTTTTCCTGGAACCGTTGCATGTGGTCTTAGTCGGCGCCTGCAGTGCAGGGAAGACAAGGTTGTGGGCGGTTGCACTCCTAGGCAATCAACGCCTCCGCACGGTCTACCGCGCTGTGTGTATGAGGGTTAGATATTGACGACATCACCTAAAGGCAAAGGCCCTGGACTCGAGCACAGCTCTCGCTGCCCATGCGACAGAGGACTGGTGTGGCTAGTGTCCCTGGTCGAGGACGCATGAAACTGGTGAAGGAGCCGCTCGTCGCAGCTGGATCGACTACTAGATGTTGAGTTAGCTTTGCAATTGGCGTTTTTGAATTGCTTGTGTAGCTATCTTACAGAGCTTGAACGATGTCAAATCTGCCATAACAACCGCGGCGACATGTAATAGGTTTTGCCTCAAGGAGGCCGACAGAATTGCTGCGGTAACGGCAACGGCCGTGCGTCATAGGATGAAGGATATCACTAGCGTTGGCCGGGCGATGGGGGTGGCTGGAGCTGCTCTGGATCGTATTTAAACTAAATTTCGTGGCCCATTTTCGCCTCCTCCAGACCCATCTGGTCTTCACAGCAACGTTTCACCGTCTCGACACGTACCACAGGACGCTGCTGGGCAACAAACCTCAGTAGTCACTCCACACCTAGAAATAGTTCCTCGGGCCGGCCCCAAATCTCCAATGTGGCCCTTCAGGAAGCCGAAGCCTGACTGGAAGGCCTGCCCCGACTGGCGCGATCGATACGACTTTGTTGTCAAGGGCACTGCCGACAGGAGCCCGGCCAAAGCCCGCCCCCACATCGTTTCTGCTCCCTACGAGCCCTCGAGGCCGGTCCTCTACTATCACAGGATCCGCTTCCGTTCAACGACCCACCGTCTCCGAGCAGCTTTGAGGGGTCAGAAGTACCGGTTCCACTTCACAGCTTTCGTGTACGACGAGCCAGAGCTGGGTCAGTGCACTGTCGCGCGGGAGGAGCTCTGCCAGGCATTCACGGCTCTCGTGCAGGCATGGCACAAGTTTCTGCGCCACTATGCCGAGTTTGAGTATGCCTGTAACACGTACCCGTTCAAGGGTTCGCCCTCGAAATCTGCCCAGCTGGAGGATATGGCAGACATTCTCACGGGCGGAGAGGGGCTGGGTCGGTTCTGCGTCCTGGTTCCCGATACATGGCTTCGTCTCCTGTCCGCAGCGAACTACTTCGGCCAGTACCTCAACTTCCTATCCGATATAGAGGACAGAGGAAAGCTCCCTCCGGGATGGAGACGATACCCCGGTCCCATGGAGGAAGCAAGCGTGCGACTGAAGGCCACCGGATGCTATCGCATGAAGGTCTGCAAGGGGACGATCGACGACTACGTCTTCCGCGCCACACGCATCATCAACAGCGACAAGCCGAGTAGCTTGCCAGTGGATGAGACGCTCGAGCTGCTCCGCGACATGACCCGGCGGGCTCTGCGGTACAAAGGTTACAGTGATGAGAACATTGACGGCATTTTCGCCGAGGCAGAGGAATGTCCCACCTCCTTTGTACCGCACACCCGGCTCTTGGACGTTGTGCCGAGCAGGCCACGCAAACCTTGGGAGAAGTACTTTGATCGTGTCGATCCTGGTTCTGAACCGGCCAAGGAACACCCTTCCGTTCTGCCTGCCACTCCTCCAGAGAACGCAAGTCCGCGCAAATCGGATATTGAACCTCCTCCTTACATGTGGCGTGACTTGTAGGACGTACGCATGTGTATGCATCCGTCTGATGTAACGCTCAGCTGCTTAGGTCGTCTCCGACTCCTTGACGTAAGTTGTGCAGTCAGTCGGCCGTGGACAGATTAGCAAGAAAAGCCTCAGAATACACACTAGGAGATCGGCGAGCGAGTCCGGCGGCAGACGAGACCGTCGCGGCTATCACTACGCTGCGCTCGAGGGAGTGCCGCAAAAGCCGAAAGGCGAGTGATGGGCACTCGGCCGGGCGTGGGAAAGTGATGCATGTTTGCGCGCCCTCTGAGCTCCTTCCGTGCTGGCTCAGCTGCGGGTAAGGCTGCGGCGCGTTGATCCACTGCGTATGCGGCGCAGCTGCCCTACCGACAGCTGTGGATGACGTTGATGCGCATGCGCGCAGAGGTGCTCTCCCTCAGAGATTGCAGGCCGCTGCGTTCTTGAACATCAGCGCAGTCCGCAGTACCTTCTCGTTCGTTCTTGCGGTTGCCAGACTGCAGGCTGAGGAGAGAAGGGGAATGCACGTGTCTCGCTTCGCTCATTCTTCACCCGATGCCTCTGTCCCAGCCTCTTCCGACTCTCGCCGATCTATCGTTTCTTCGCCGTGTCTTCTCCCGCAACCTCTCCGATCACTGCAGGTACCATGGTGCACCTGCAGTCAGCACAGCCTTTCCACTTAACGGGCCAGCATACATCAGCTTAAGCCCCACACTCTCCGAGCCGAGCCACACCTCCCCTACGTCGCACGCCCAGCGCCAACCTCGCACTAGCTCGGTCAAGATCTTGAGCGCGGCGGCTAATCAAACCGTACCACAGCCTTTGCGGCGCCTGCTACAGCCGCCAGTGATCGCACAAAGGAAGGGGCCGCTGGTGTGACAACACACTCTGGGTTGGATTCTTCAACTGTAGGTTGTTAAAAGGTTCGGGTTTAACCTTAGGGGTTTGTGGTTTCCTCGTCCCAGTCGGTCTCAGCGTCGGTTTCTCGTTCGTGTGCACGTACTGGATCCCGAAGGACAGGGCTGTAAAGTGTGGTGAGTGAGGAGCATCAGAAACTTATTCGAGGGAGTTAACGTCGTCCAGGATTCCAACTGTTGCTGGATCCGTGGGGTCATATCTCAAAGACATCGCCATGGAACAGTCTCGACTGGTGAGCGGCGGCGACTAGCAGTTGTCGTCGCTCCTGGCGCTGAGCGATAGCTCAACTAGAGAGCTTCGGAGCCAGATTGACGACCTGAAGATGGTGGCTCGTGAGCTTCGCGACATCGTTCGCACGAAGGAGCAGACGCACGTCGCCGCCATTGTCGAGCTCGAGATCCAGCGGCGCGACAACGAGGCTCTTCGACTCGAGCTCGAGAACCAGCGCCGCGAAAACGGAGCTCTGCGCCTCGAGCTTGAGCGGATCCAACGCGCCGCGAAGACAGACAACGTTGAGCGCGAGTTTTGAGGACAAGAAAGCTCGGCGGAGGGATGCCGCGGTAGTTGTCGCTTTCGTGAGCGTGAAGCGCGTGAACGTTCGGTTCTAGAGGACATAGGCATGTACATTATTGCGCACGTGTTGTATGGCGAGTCCGAGATGCTTGAACGAGAGGTCAGGAGTCAGTAACGGGGAGGTAGAAGCCGAGGTTGGAGCAAGACGACCCCGGCTGGGTAGTTGGCCGTGGGAGACTTGTGTTCTTTCCGCCACGTGTTCGTTGCATCTGGTGGAGGTCCATCGAGTGACGCGACATGAGCAGCGTCCGAGCCCAGCGCAACAACAACATCCAACCCGTCCCCAGCACCGACCGACCGACCATGTCCAAGGGAACGCGCTTCGTCACGTTCGCCGTCCCGGCCGTCATCGCCTACTTCCTCCTCCTTCTGCATGTGCTCCCGACCCCGTTCCTGGCGCAGGAGACTGCCGACCAGATCCTCCCTGTGGTGCGTTGCCCTGCCTCCTGTCGCGATCGGGATCATGTTTTGCTCCGATCAATCTCAGGAAGAGATGGGGATGAAGTAGAATAATGGAGGTGGTGTGAAGTTGTTTCGCAGTAACGAAAAGCTAACACCCAGATCCCGTGGTGGCTCCTCGTCGCGTTTGGCGCGTACTCGCTCTCGTCGCTCGGTCTCGGCCTCCTCCGCTTCCACGACACGCCGGAGGCGTACCAGTCGCTCCTTGGCGAGATTCAGCAGGCCAAGAACGAGCTTCGCGACCAGGGTGTCGAGGTCGACTAGATTTAGACAACTTCTTCCGCTCCCTCCTCCCCTTCTTCCGACCATCGCTCATGCCGCACCTCGCGCGCACTTCCACTCTCTCTCAGCATCTCGGTGCTCATCGTAGCTGTGGCTACACCACGAAATGTAAAATTCTGATCATAGAGCAGGCTGTGTGGCTCAATGTGCTTTGACTGACCGCGACCATGGAAAGAGAACGGGGAGAACGTGCGTAGTGCGCAGGCAGAATGCGGCTGAAAAGAAAGATAACATAACATAGTGGTACACAATACTCTGGATCGGCGTCTACTACTGTAAAAGACTGGCTGTGAAAAGTTGGACTATCCACTCAGGAGGTCCTGCATCTCGCGCTGCATGCGCGCCATCTCGGCCTCGTTCTCGGCCTCGTCTTCCGCGTCCGCCTGGCGTGTTAGCTTGCGATGAACATGCGTAGCTATGCTACGGGAGCGGACAGACGGTAGTCTGCCTGCAGTAGCGACACTTACCGGAAGTTCGCCCCCGACACGACCGGCCTGACCGAGTTTGCCGTCTGTGAGCTCGAACAGGACCTTGTCGACCTCCTCGTCGGCCTCCTCTTCGAGCTCCTCGTCGTCGAGCCCCTCCATCGTCTCCTCCATCATCTCCTCCATTATTCCGGACTGATGTTAGTTAGCTTGTACTTTCCTCCGTCTAGCTTGGTCGAATGACTACAGCCACTTGCTGTACATGTTGGCGAGTAACCAACTCACCTTCATCATCTCCATGGACATCTGGCGCATAGTCGCATTGAGCTGGGGCAACTTGACGAGTGCGTTCGTCGACTTCATGATCTCGGTCGACTTCTGGAATGCGCCCGTGACCTTGACCATGGACAGCTGGTGCTGAAGCTGCATCTGAACCGAGTTCAGGCGCGCTTTGGATGATACGAGGCGGTCGCGCTGCTTGTTCGAGCGCACGATATCCTTCGCTAGGATGCGCGCGCTCTTCACATCGTTCCGCTTCGCGAGCTGCTTCAGTTCAGAGCGCGACTTGGACGTGGCAAGGTCGAGCTGTCATGTTAGCTCAAGCGTTGCAAGTGCGGCGGCTCGCCTCGACATTATGCGGCAGGCTTCATAGAGGAGGCAGTCGGAGTTGCAACGTCCACTCATGCGCCCTCTGCACCACCCCTTGATAACGCTACTCACATTACGGATCTCACGATCCAGCTTGCGCTCCTCGCCACGCAGCTTCTGTCGCCACTCGCGTACTCGCTCTTCCGGTGTCGGGCCATAAAAGAACCGGTTGATGGACTTCATGGCGATGTCCACGGGATGCGATGGTACGAAAACAGGCGGGCGCTCGGCGGATGTGAGCAGGAGATGTTGACTGGAGAGCGAGGATGTCGCGAGAAGCCGGCGAAGAACAAAGGCGAGGATCGATGCAGCGCAGTCGTGTCTGCGATGAGCGGAGCGATGCTGGAGCCGGGGAGAGGATGAGCGATGATAACAGCAGCTTGGAGGAAGCAGCCGACGATGTCATGGGCGATTGACGCTTGGGTGGCGGGGCACGCCAACGCGGAGTTTGCGTAGTCTCCGCGGCGCAGTTGAGCCCCGCGTCCAGCGACCTGTCCTTGTTTTGGTGTCCGTTCTCACTATGCTGCAACATCTTCCTCCGTTTCACTCTCGGCACTCGATCCCGCCAACGGCGGTGCAGAGGTACCTATGTGGCTCCTCACTGTTGTCGGCCCGGTGCACGGGCAGCGACGTAAGTAGGCTCACAGGATACCGGCTAACAGCACCAGAATTCACGTTCGCCCTGGAACAGGACCGCTCATACACCATCGGTCGCGACAAGAATGCAGATATCCCCATCGACAGTAGAAGGCTTAAGACGAAAGAAGGGACGCTCCAGGTTGGACATTGGAAGCCCGACGAGGTGAGTTCCGCGTGCTGTGTTGTAGAACTGACCGCAGCGCCTGACACCGCCGACAATCCTCTACCACTCTGAACCGAAGAGGTCTGGCGCGCCTTCTCCGGTCAAGGTCCTTTCTCCTCTCAGCCCCGACGCCGAACCTACTGATCACGATGGCTACGACAAAATCGATTATCCGGGTGATGCAGATATACCGCTCGAGAAAGGACAAGGCATCGATTATGGTGCCGAGGCATGGTTCTAGTGAGTGACGGTATCGTCCGGTGTACCTGATAGCAGTCTGCGATGGGAGCCACTGCATTTCACAAACGACAAAATGAAGGACGTGGACGACGTCGAGGCTGGGTTTTTGCGGAAGTATTGTGAGTGGTTCTCGGTCGAGCAGAACTGACGGGAAGGTGTCTCGTGGGATCAGTCGTTCGACACCAAAAGTCCGCCCCACGTCGTTATCTCGCCGCTGTATCGCAATACCCAAGACTGCAACTTTGCAATGTGCTACGGTATTCCGATAGTCACTCCATCGTGGTTACAGCTATTGGGGTTCAAATTGAAAGCGTGCTGGAAGAAGAGTGCCGACTCCGAAGACAGCTTTCGCGTGCCTTCCCCCGACACCGAGGATGTGCGCCCAGCGCTCGACCCTCTTCTCAAGAACCGTCAGAGCGTGACTCTGTGGCGGGCCGATCCTTCCCGTCGGCGCATGTGGTCAAACTGGAACGTCTTGGAGCTGAAGAAGCCCAAGGGCGTGAGTTGTTTTTAGCAGGTAGCTGAACTGACCGCAGGCTCTCCTCGATGCCCGGTATTACACTGCGATGGGTGCGACTCTCGAGGAAGTGGAGGTTCTTAACCCACTGGTTACGACACCGCAGGCGTTCATCGAATTGATCGACCCCCTCGTTACCAAGGCGCACGACGACAACCGGGATGTCGTCGTTGTCTACCTTCCTCCCACGAAAAACGAGATGATCCAGAGGGGGGTTGACTTCAGCAATGTCATCCTCGAAGCATGTGCTAGGTATGGTTGAGCGTTGATGATTGCTGACTTTAGCCGGGGTATCCAGGTATCGTCGGGTTCCATATTGTGGAACGCGATGACCTTTGGCAGTGTCAGCAAGTATCTCGAAGAACTTGCTGCAAAAAGTGAGTGGGACAGCAGGATTTTTGGCTAATGGAGGAGAAGAACCCAATGCGCAAGTTGAGAGCACCCCTCAGCCGACAGCATCGGAATCGACATCTGCCCCGCAGCAAGCGCCCCCTCCCAGCTCACCACCGGTGCAGCCCGAACCCTCAGCGCCTAAGGGGCGACTCCCGAGGAGAGCTGCCGGTTCGCGATCCGTCTCGCGCGCTCCGTCAGTCCCGCCGCCAACTGCGCCTCCGCCTGATCCGACTCCTTTGATGGAGGAAGACAATGCTCCGACGCCTGGGCCGTCAACTACCACGGCCAGAAAGGTGAGCCCCTTGAATACTAGCCAGCTAATGTCAGCCTCTAAAGCGTCGAGCGGGTCGCGGAGCGCAGCGCATGGACATGGACATAGACGACGACTTTGCTGCTCCGACACCCATGTCCTCTCAACCATCACGTATCCCCGAGACTCAGCTCAGCGAAGCTGGCCACTCGATGGCATCCAGAGTGCCCGATTCTATGGACATGGACACTCAAGCCAGCCAACAGCCGAGCCAAGCTAACTCTGTATTCCCGTCGCAGAACCCCCCATCTAGGGTTCCAGCTAGGTCGTCGAGACTGAAGCGCCGAGCTGGTGTCGGGCCGACTCCGTCCACTTTCCTCGACGGACTGGATACCTCTGTCCATTACGAAGAAGAGCTTAAGAAGCAGGAGACGGCGAACGAGATTCGTGAGCTGTATGAGCAAAGCAAGAAGGAGAGTGCAAGCTTAGCTGGAATGTCACCAGCGAAACGGCCTCGCAGGAAAGGACCAGAGGACATCGCGGAGGAGGAAGCTGAGAGTGCTCCGCGCAGCCGCGACAGCCGCGAGAATCTCATGGACGTCGACGACGAGAACGACTTTGTCACCCGAGCCCTGCGCTCTGCAAAGGTGAAGAAGGAGGTCGTCTCACCGGCGAAACGGCCCAAGTCTCCGGAGAGGGCCGTTCAAGCGCCGGCCAAGAAGGTTCTCACCGCGGCTCAGGCTCGCCGCGCTCGTCTTGCTTCTTCTCCGAGGAGGACGAGCCTATCGAGGAGCCGAAAAGCCGCGGCAAGGCAGCAAAGGCCGCTTCAAAGTCGGCGTCACCAGCGAAGCGGGGGCCGAAGACTGAGATGACGAAAGACCCCGAGTTCCTGCAGGCTATCACCAGAGCCAAGAACAAGAGAAAGGAGATGGAGGAGCTTGACAAGGAGTTCAATGAGTTGCGCATTCCCAAGGCGAACAACAAGCGGGGAACCGACCCAGCAGTTCGCGCAAACCATATTTCCGACGACGGTCCTCACTACGAGATTCTGAATGACTTCGATGACGACCTCCGAGGAAACTTCATCGAGGTGGTGCGAAAGGACCTCTTCCGCAAGGACTCGCCGAAGGTGCCACAGATGGTTGAAGACGGGCGACCAAATTTCAAGAAGTTCAAGAAAGTGAGTTTCATGCACTCACTCAAGCTGACATGCAGAAAAACGTCGTGCGACGGGAGCCACTGCGCCTCAACCTTGCTGCACCGAACGTGCACAAGGCCGAGATGGGAGAGCGTAAGTGCATCAGTGCAGGGCCCTGCTAACGTCAGCCTACTGGGCGACCGAGGACGTTGCTACACAGCCCCGGACGCAACCATCCCAGAACTCGCACCCGCGCGGCGGAGGATCTTTCGAGGACGAGGATTCGGCACCCCTGAAGCCATCCTCGAGGCGTAAGCTCCTCAGCCAGATTCAGGAGGAGGGTGACAGCGACGACGAGGTGATGCCTTCAATGCGAAGCCGGCGTGGCAAGACCCCGGCGACTGGCAGCTCGTCCCGCCGCTCCACTCGCGCTAGCAGCGTGCAGTCCGAGGCGTCCACGACTGCAGCCCCTCCTGCCCGCACTCAGCGCGCTGCGCAGCGTACGCAACGTGCCCCGGCTAAGCGTGCGACCCAACGCGTTTTACTTGACGAATCGGACGACGACGAAGTGTTCGCCACAGCTCCCCCTCCACCCGCCACAGCTACGGGCCGGAGCAGCCGCTCGACGCGATCGCGAGGTGCCGAGGCACCCAGCTCGAGCACGCTGGCTGCGCCCTCCACGCGCACCCGTACGTCTCAGCGCACTACCCAGGCTACGCAGCGCCGCAAGCTGCTGGTGGACGACGACGATGACGATGATATCCAATTCGTGGGCGTGCAGAAGAAGAGGCGCCTTGGATAGATGTAACATAGCCTCATGTGTACCATATGCGAACTAGGTGATGTGAATACACACGCCGTGCAGGACGACATCGGACGTAAAGCCTCATACGGGTTCTGCGGTAGAAGTAGAAGCGGATCGAGTGTGCCATGTTACGAAGTGCGCCACAGAAGTGCTTCTCTGTGGTTAGTGACTGCTCGCTTAGCCAAGGCATCCCAGGGCGTCATCTAGACTTCGGTTGCTTCCCGAGATCTGGGGAAGAGTGATTGCTTCGTGAGTCCCGGATCCTCGTTACAATCCAGATCTGTAGATTGCCATCAAGAGGCTAGAGTCGATAAGATTGCGAGTCGACATTGCTTCCTAAGGGTGTGCACCAATGCATGGCGCTCACCACAGTGAAATCAGTTGCGTCCCAGCAGCAGGAGTGGGCCGGCGAAATCCGGCGCCACACTCGGAAACGCCGCAGCGGCAGCAGGAACGTGGTTTCAGGGCACGGTTGGTTGCGCTGCAGGGCTTGCAGAAAACTTGAGCCGCCTTCCAGCTTGCACTCTAACATCATCCTTTAAAGTGAGTTTCAGCGTGCTGCATCTGCCGCCTCCAAGACTTGGCGCTAACTATCAGAATGGCTCCTGTTGGAAAGCTCTACGGTGCCGCTGGTGCGTTGCTTCGGCGTGTTCCGCGACTCGAGATTTAGCGGCTCGGCAGGCTCTGAAGAACGCCAGAAAACACAAATTTCCGGGGCCGAGCCTGCCGATTCTTTTCGGATGTCGTGGAACGCCCACACACACATACGATGGAGCAGCAACTGACCCACAGGCAACCCCCGTTTCCGTCGTACCTACGCCACCGCCAAGGCGGCCGGTGTCGAGGTCGAGGTCGTCCCCTGCGTTATGGACGGCTCGTGGAAGACCGAGGAGTTCCTCAAGAAATTCCCCCTCGGCTACCTCCCCGCTTTCGAGGGCAAGGACGGCTTCAAGCTCCAGGAGTCCGGTGCCATCGCTGACTACCGTGAGTACGCGACTTTTGAGAGACCAAAGCGAGAGGAGAGGGAACGTGCTGGCACGGGTGCGAGGGCGCAAACGTGCCTCTTCGCACCTGTCTCGCAGTCACACAAACTTTCCTTCCTTTCCATGATGAGACCTTATCTTCAGTTATCCCTGTCTTAACATATACATGTCGACAGAACTTTGCGGGTGGTACCGCGTATCTCTGATCCTTTCCCTCTTCTCGCATCCCTTTGTGATGTTTTGAGAATGCGGCTAACAATTCACAGTCGGTGGCCTGAACCCCGAGTCTGGCATCGTCCCCACCGACGCCGAGAAGCTCGCCGACGTTCGTCAGTGGCAGTACTTCGCCGACCAGGAGCTCTTCGTCAAGTCGGCCCCTGCCTTCTACATGCTCATCGGCCGCATCCCCTACTCGAAGCCCGCCTTTGACGCCATCATCGCTGCCGTCACCCAGCGCCTCGAGGTCCTGAACGCCGAGCTCCTCCGCAAGACCTTCATCGTCGGCGAGCGCCTCACCATTGCCGACATCTTCCTCGCCTCGGCCCTCCTCTTCATCTTCTCCACCACCATTGACGCCACCATCCGCGCCAAGGTCCCCAACGTTGTCCGTTACTTCAACACCATCATCAACCACCCCAAGATTGCCGACGTCTTCGCTGAGCCCGCCGTCGAGCTCCTCCAGGAGCCCGCCGTCTTCAAGGGCCAGTCCAAGAAGAAGGAGGAGAAGAAGGAGAAGGCCCCTAAGGCTGAGAAGCCCAAGGCCGAGAAGGCCCCCAAGGCCAAGAAGGAGGCCGAGGAGGACCTTGCCCCTCCCCCTGACGTTCCCGCCGAGCCCAAGGCCAAGAACCCCCTTGACTCCCTCCCCAAGTCCAACTTCAACCTTGAGGAGTTCAAGCGTCAGTACTCGAACCTCGACACCCGTGGTGCCGGTGGCTCGCTCGAGTGGTTCTACAACAACTTTGACAAGGAGGGCTTCTCCGTCTGGCGCATCGACTTCCTCTACAACGAGGACCTCACCATGACCTTCATGTCTGCCAACCAGATCGGTGGTCTCTTCGCCCGCTGGGAGGCTTCGCGCAAGTACCTCTTCGGCTCGGTCGGTGTCCTTGGCAAGACCAACGACTCGATCATCACCGGTGTCCTCGTCCTCCGTGGCCAGGACGCCGACCCCGTCGTCTCGGTCGCCCCCGACTGGGAGTCGTACAAGTTCACCCGCATGGACCTCGACAAGCCCGAGGACAAGGAGTTCTTCGAGGGCGCCATGGCCTGGGACCTCAAGGTCGGCGACAAGGAGTGGGCCGACGGCAAGAACTTCAAGTAAGAAGTTCAGCGCACGTTGTAGACAGACAGGAGTCTTTAGATCCTAATCTTAGCTCAGTGTGTCGTATATATTAGCATGCACTGTGGTGTAATAGTGAGCGCATGAGCAGCGAGCGGGCGAGCGTCAGCGAGCACAGCGGGTGGGGGTAAGGCCACGCAAGAGCGTGTAGACTGCGAGAGGTCAGTGCCAGGTATCTCCATGCGAGTCCTTAGTCCATGCTCCAAAGGGGGTGCGATAATGTGTTACATTCTATATTTTACTGCGTGCTACGTCGTCATCGTCGTGGTATCTGAATCATGTACTGCCGCCTAAGCCGAGCCAGGGAGACGGTCAAGGCCCTTCTTGAACGCCTCATTGAACATGCGTCCGATGAGCATGCGGCGGATCTCCTGCGTGCCCGCGCCAACAGTGTACAGCCTCGAGTCGCGGAGGAGGCGGCCGACCTCGTACTCGTTGATGTATCCGTTTCCTCCGAAGCACTGCTGGGCGTCCATGGCGACCTCGACGGCCCGGTCCGAGGCGTAGAGGATGGCGCAGGCGCAGTCCTCGCGGGACACCTTGCCTGCGTCGGCGGCGCGCGCGACGGCATACACGTATGCACGCGAGGCCGAGAGCTTGGTGTACATGTCGGCAATCTTGCCCTGCATGAGCTCAAACTCGGCGATGGGGCGGCCGAACTGCTGACGGTCATGCGTGTACTCGAGCGTCATGTCGAGGGCGGCCTGCATGATACCGAGCGGGCCGCCGGAGAGGACGAGGCGCTCATAGTCGAGCCCACTCATCAGAACGGCGGCACCCGTGCCCGGGCCGCGGAGGACGTTCTCGGCAGGGATGCGGACGTTGTCGAAGAAGAGCTCGGCAGTGGGCGAGCCGCGCATGCCGAACTTGTCGAGCTTCTCGCCGACGGAGAAGCCCTCCCAGTCCCTCTGGACCAGGAAGGCCGTGATGCCCTTGGAGGGGGCGACGTTGGTGTCGCTCTTGGCGTAGATGAGGAAGGTCGACGCGTGCGGCGAGTTGGTGATCCAGCACTTGGACCCGTTGAGGAGGTAGCTTCCGTCCTCCTGCGGGTCGGCGCGGGTCTTCATCGAGACAACGTCCGAGCCGGCGTTCGGCTCAGACATGGCCAGCGAACCAATGTGCTCGCCCGTGAGCAGCTTGGGGAGGTACTTCTCGATCTGGGCCTCGTTTCCGTTGCGCACGAGCTGGTTCACCATCAGGTTCGAGTGCGCGCCGTACGAGAGACCGATCGACGCAGACGCGCGCGAGATCTCCTCCATCGCAATCGTGTGCTCGAGGTAGCCCAGCCCCAGTCCGCCCCACTTCTCCGGCACCGTCACGCCGAGAAGTCCCATCTCGCCAAACTTGGGGAAAATGTCCTCGGGCATCTCGTTCGTCTTGTCGATCTCGGCGGCGCGGGGCGCAATCTCCTTCTGCGCAAAGGCGTGGACGGCGTCGCGGAACTGGGAGTCAGCTGCAAAGAAAAGAGCAAGGCAGCTACACGCGTCGCGGTGCATGCTCGTCGCTGTCGTTCGCATGCACACGACTGGGGACTACTCACCTCCTCCTGCTGCGGCGTCAGGCCGGCGACGGGGCCGTTGTAGCCGGTAAAGGTGCGCACGGAGCGCAGAGAGGTGCGGGGCGCACGCGCGGCGACACGGAAAGCAGTGATGCGGAGCATGTCGGTGAGAGGTGAGTGTTGTGACAATGACCAAAGGCGAGAAACTTTGGAGAGCAACTGTTGTATTATGCACTTGCACTGTTGCACTGCTGGATGCCCGTTGTGCGGGGGTGAGGTCACTGTATGGGCGCAGGGGAGGGGCAGGCACACGGGCAGAGGAAACGGGGCCAAGATCCGGTCCGAGGTTGTTCTTGCCGACCAGTGCCGACCTGGGCGGTGGGCCGTTAATAGCCGAGCTTTAACCTCCCACCATACAGAAATCTCCATCCACGGAACTTGCACCGTAGCTTGCTCTTGACCATCGTCTCTGGCACTAGTCCCTGAGATCATGTGGGCATTTGGGCATTCTGGGTGCGCATAACGTGGCTCTGGAGTCCGGCTGGACCGAGCTCCCTCGGCGTTCACCATCTTCCACCACCGGAGCCCCCGCACGCCTCCACGAAAAGACTGTCTGTCATTGGCCATGGCGGTGCGTACCCCGCTAACAACATGGGTCTGCCGGAACCTCCGTCCTCGGCATGAACGATGTGATCGTAGTGGTCTGAAGAAGTGGTGCAGCTGATAAGCGACCATCGTTTCTGCTACCTTGCAGGGTAGCCGGCTTCTCATCGATCTCATCGGCAAGTTAGCTGCTAGATGCAGCCTCTCCGGATGACGCCTAGGCTGATCCATTCACGACCTATCTGTCCTTGCTGCATATCAGCCGACTAGGGGCCGCATTCAATGGGGCCGCTGTCTCTCAATGGCCACGTCTGACCCACCTGACCTCAAAGTTCGCATTGCCGCACGAACGCTCCTCTGAGCGCTCCATCTCCCGAGGCTTCGAAAACGAAACGACCTGTGCCCTCAACGACGATCAGACGTCCTCCACCTGCGCCCTGCTCGAAAACCTCCTGTCCCCTGATCCACACGTACTGACGCCCCGATCAGTGGCATTTCGTGCTCACATCATCCGTCCACATTTTATACGACTTTTCTCCACAACGGCTGCATCGATCCGCATGATTCTTCGATCTTTGGAACCCTCTTGGCCGGGGCAGTCGCAGAGACAGCGTAAAAACACGCGGGCATCAATGGTGTAGTCGCTATCATACTTCCTTCGGGTTCCTTGCGATCCGGATGAATCGTCCATTGGAAGTGGTCCTGGGTTCAAATCCCAGTTGGTGCCGCTTTTTGTTAACTTTGCGAGCTCTGAGTATAACAAAGGAGGGAAGGGGAGGCCCAAGCGCCGGGTTGCGGCTGCCTCGTGTTTGTTGCGCTCGTCTGTGGCGTTGGGAGGCGTCTTGGCGAGAGCTGACTCAACCAGAGAACCTCCCCACGGGGCCATAACCTCTTCTCCTTCTCGTCTCTTCAACACCTTTGAAGTGCAAGGATGAGTTTCAGCGTCACATTCAACCACCTGGAGGAGAGGATAGTAGAGCGCGGCGTGAATGCGAATGTGAGCTCGTCATCCTCTCCCATACTCTGCCTTCTCTCGACTGACGATCCAGGGGAAACGTTTCGAGCGCTTCGAATACGACAACGGACATCGGGGCAAGCGGACGTTCAAGTATGACTCTCCCCCGAGTTAGCTGACAGACAGTGAGCAGGACCGATCGTGGCGATACGAGTTCCCGGACGGCGGGTTCGGGTACAAGAACGAGAATGGGGCAGAGTACTACAAATCCCGTAAGCTTAAACGATTCAGGAGGGCTGACGCCAGACGACGGGCATGTCCGATACGAGAACGCGCGCGGCGGCGTAACATTTACCATCCGACAGGTTGGCGGACCTGAGCGCCAGATTCAGTGTGTGGACGAATGCTTCGGTCCCCCGGATGAGGACGGGTACGACGTGCACTTCTGCGGCGTGCCCAAGGCCATCGCGAATCGGCTCGACCATCCCGTCTGCTTCCCGCAACCGCCTTGGCCACGTTACAGGCCGTATCGGGTGCCGAGGTCTCAGGTCGGGCACCGTGGCCGGGGTGGCGAGTGGGTGATAAAGCACCCGGAGGAGACGAGCTGGTACGAAGAGGAAGTGGCTGGCGGCGTCGAGGGAGGGTGGGGTGGTAGGTATGTGCTCTGGGACGAGAGCATACTGCCCCCGGATTATGGATATGACGATCATGCGAGCGAGGAGGAAGAGAGCCAGTCTGGGCTGCAGCTTGAGACCCCGCCAGCCTCAGGCTCCACAACGCATGGTGCCCACCTGCAGCGCACTATTGCTGTTGCAGCCTGCGCACTCGAGGATGAGGCGAGCGACAACGACAACAAGGCCAAGAGTGAGAGCGAATGCGCGAGTGACAGTGGACCAGAGGATGACACGGCCGCCGTGGCTGCCGATACTCCAGGCGATGAAGCGACAGCATCCCCAAGCCTCGTTCATACAGCCGTCGTAACGCAGCGCAAAAGCCGAAAGCGAACGAGTTATTCGGCGGAGCTCGATGATGCTATATTTGAAGCGCAAATGGACAGCCCCAACTTCAATCCCGACGACTACTGCTCGCACATTGGCAGGAGGTTTGCCGACATGCCGCAGGACTTCCAGGACAGATACCGACAGAGAAGGATAGACCTCCGAATCAGGCAGGATGCTCTGCGTCGGAGCAATGTCTCGATGTGACCCTCGATGCAGTCCATAACCTTCGGTCTCGAGGTGGGGCATTGACGAAGGCGCCCTGCTTGCTGAGCCAGAAGCCACAGCTTCAGTCGTTGTAGGAAAGCCCGCTCCGCTCGCTTACGCCACGGCACCTGCGCCGACGCCGCCTTCTTCCCCTGAGAGCCCTCGTTTACCATCGGTCGCGTGGCCCAATGGCAAGGCGTCTGACTACGACTCAAGGACCTCACGGATCCAACTGAGTGTACCTATCAGGAGATTGCGGGTTCGATCCCCGTCGTGACCTTTTTGGGCTTCTCAGAAGAGAGCTATGCATCTCTGGAAGTCATTGCAGGAGCTGGAGGAGTGGAAAAAGTCGTCGGGAGGTGGGATGTGGTCAGCAGTGGTGGGTGTGGCACTTCTGGGCGTAATGAAAATTTTTCATCAGCTAGCGCTCTGCTCACCAGTGTGCAGGTTTTGCAATACCCTCATCCACGGTAGGCTTTCTTGTCTGTAACTGGGCTCCTCATGCATGCAGCCGCAGTGGTCTAAGGTGTGCACTTGGCGCTGGTTGCGAGACTGTCCCGCTAGCCCCACGCTGGTGCCGGCCCACCCCTCCACGCCTGTACTTTCCTCGCCAACGCAGGAGACCCTCTCCGACAACGCTGTCTTCTGCAGAACGTGACTGGCTTAAGCTTCGTGGGTAGATGGGACGACCGCAGCAGATAAGCCAGCCGCTTCTCTCGCTGTCAGAAGCGCTTAGCAACGCCTCGTTATATCAGTCGGTAGATAGTGTGACTCTTACGCAGCAACGCCGATTGATCACACAGTCATGGGTTCGAGCCCCATACGAGGCTCTCTTTTGGCTCCTTGGAGGTCTGCGTATGCTTTTCTGGACCTCTTGAAGGCCGTTCGAAGGTAGAGCAGGAGGAAGGGGAGTGTGCGGAGTTGCAGATCTCTCAGAAAATTTTGCTTCCGTTCCTCCGCCAGAAACGTCATCTTCCAACTCTCCGGGCAAAAAGCAGGTTTCCTGAGGATGGCAGAGCGCAGGAAAGCAGGCAAAAGGGTATTCGTGCTCGCACGCTGAGTCGAACAGCGGTCAGCTCGGAAGGGGATCAGAGGGAAGAACCACAACGAACGGTGATAACCACCTACACTATACGAGCTTCGAATCGGATTATCTGACCGCTGGGCGAGGGAAGGCCTATCTTATCGCCGCGACTCTGCGCCCGGATCGGTGGACTCCGTCTGTATGCTTGCTTAGGCGCCAGATCGGCCCGTGCGACTTCTTGGCTTCTTATCGAAGAATTGGGGATCTGATCGGCCAGACTCAGCTTCTTATCGACGCATCGCCATTCAGTGCTTGTCACATCTCACGTCCAGGACTGTCTGTTCGCCAAAGTTCAGATCGCGAAATGCGGGCTGGAGCAACACTCGGGGGCCATCTCTTCCTGCCGTTCCCACCTGCCCATCCATTATAGAGACTATGTACAACCACCTATTCTACACCTACCGATACAATCCGGGTACACCACTAAGCGAGTGCTCGGTCCTAGTCAGGCTTGAGCTTGACGCCCTCCTTTAGCTTCTCTTGGGGAATCCCCTCCAGCTTCATCGAATCGTCGCAGAACACGCACCCCTCTTTCCGCTCGTGCTGCTGGTGTTGCAGATACCGGAGTGCGTCCATGACGTCTGGCCACAGCTTGAGGGCTTTCTCACAGTGTGGTCTGTAGAATCCCCTCCGGCGGAGGAACAGAACGAGCTTCTCATGCTCCCGATGTTGCGCCAGTTGCTCGAGATAGATGACAGCTGCCTCTTTGGAGCTGTAGAGCTTCGCAGCTGTGACGCAGTCGTCGTATCGAAACCCCTCGTTCACGAGATCGCGCAAGAGTGCCTCTGGTGGTTTGCGGAATATCTGCGAGAAACGGGATCGTTCTACTGTCAGTTCTGCATGAAAGGAGGCTACGCACCCGGAGGAACGATGTAGTCGAGTGCCATCAATGCCATTTGGGAGGAGTGCAAGGGTAATCATGATGAGCTCTGATGGTATATGAGTAGGACGCGATCCGAGCACACCTGTCACACTCTGCTCGTCCGTCACGATCGCGCCGAGCACCGCGTGGTCAGACATGCCAAGACAAATTATCACATGACTATCTGTTGCTCCTACAATTGCGCCAGCCCATGCACAGCAGCGGTCAATATCCATCCATGCGGACTGTTCCTCGGCGAGCACTGCTATCTCTTCTTGTCGAGCGATAGCGCGTAGGGTGACTCCCGATTGGCTACCGAGTGGCTACCGAGTGGCCATCGAGGCATCTTCTCTGAGATCACCGACCAAAGCCGTCAAGATATTCTTGCAGGGAACGATGCACTCACGCCGCCATACATGCCCTCTTCTTCGTTTGACGCTGCAGGGCGACCGTAGTCGTGAGCATGTGTCTCGGGTACTGAATACAACAAGTGGGAACGGCTCGGCAACTTCCCCAGCCCCGGAAGTTCGGTTCGAAATATTTTACAATAAAACTAAGCCCGCCTGGTTGTTTTCGGGACAATGTCCTGCTAGGCAAGCCAAGGCTGGAATTATAACTGTAGAAGACTTTCCTGATAGTAGCTGCTGTCGGTCGGGCCATCCGCACGATGTAGCAAAGGTGACATCTACAGAGCCTGGGCGCCAATTTCTCCAAGACAAAGCCGATAAGCACACCCCCTCTCTCCCAGCTCCACCTGCCTGTATCAAAGGTAAGCCGTCACGTGATCACTCGGCAGAGGCTCATAGTAGAAGAGGATTCTCAACAAATGTCTGCCCGCCTAGCTCAGTTGGTTTAGAGCTTCCGACTTTTACCCGATAAAAGTGGCAGTCACCTGACGTGATCGGACGGTCGCGGGTTCGACCCCCGCGGTGGGCTGCGTTTTTGGGGCTCTGCGCAATGCGAGACCATGTTTTGTCGATCGCGAAACGGTGCGAAAATGGTTGGAGCATCGTCTTGACTCGAAGATGAGAGAGGGACGAGAGCATTTTGGAGAACCACGTTTTGCGTCTCTGTGGTATGTTAGGGATTTCTGTGGAGCCCCGCTAACCCACGCCGCCATCCGCCATCGCGTCTTCTAAACACCCGTCCACATTGCTGTCCTCGCCCATTCTCTCAGCCCAGCCTTCCCCTCGCAGACGGCGCAAGCCAACCTCGGTGTTGAGAATTGGTCTGACTTTCACTTACGTGCTCGAATAGCGTTGAACAGGTTATCAGAGCCACGCGGCCAGTCTCGCATCCCGACCCTCATCCACCGCCCAGCCACCACCTCTTCCTACCGCCATCGTCTCTCCCACCCTCCAACCGCCCAAAAACCTTTCTCAACCATGCAAGGTAGTCAAAAGAGTACATCCAGGGGGAATCGAACCCCCACCGCATCCATGGCAAGGATGCATGATACCATTTCACCATAGATGTCTTGCTGTAGTGGTCACGAACACAGGTGGCGCGGGGCCGCCGGGAGCGAGCGGAGGGGGAGCGACGGCGAAGGACAGTGAAGCGCACCCAATGACGAGTGCAAGGGGGCTCAGAAAGCTATTGGAAGTGGTAAGAAGGCAGGAAGTAGGGGAGTGGAGGAAGAAGGCATGACGAATGGAGTAGTGGTGGATGAAAGAGCGTTGGTCGACATATTCGGACCTCTTGACTGAGCTATATGAGCTGCCAATCTCAGGGCCGAACTGAAACGGCCTCCGTTCGGTGGCTCGGGGTACTGCACGGTCCGGTGGCCGTGACCTGGACTTCCTGTTGTCCTTGGGCTAGCGGTGGCCTGAGCACATTTTCTCGTGAGCAACTTGCTCTGAACCAGCAATCCGAGGGCGAGCAGCTACACTCCAGCTTCAGGTTAGCGAGCGCATACAGCCCGCAATGATCGGGTCAGGATGCGGAATGCGATAAGATTGTGCTGTGGCCCCGGAGCAGCATGTTGTGCTCCACATGGTGCCTCGTGTTCCTCAGCGACGGCGGTGCGTGCCTGAATCGTTACGTCCTCCAAGTCCTGCTCTAGCGTCGTTAGTAGAGAGCACTAAACATGTTAAGGTTTGGGTCAGTCGTATGAGCGTCGAGTTTGCAGACGTCGCATGCATCATATAAGCGCCGCCGTTTCGCCCCGCGACTCCACCCTTTCTCTCTCCGAACTTCTCATTCCATCAACACGAACTCATGAGCCAGCTCGACACACTTCCAAACCAGCCACCACCGGCCTACTCACGACACAGCTACGATGACCGGCTGGGCCTGGATCCCTTCGATGGCCCAGCGCCGGGAAGTCTGCAGGCGACGGCGAACCTCCGCGCCCCGCTGCAAGGAGCCGGAGGTCTCGGCGCAATTGGACTAGCAGACCAGCCGGGACAGGGACTGCCGACCCTCGAGATGACGGACGAGATATGGGACCCGAAGGAGGCGTCGCGGCGCGAGATGCAGCTGTACACGAGGCTGCAGCCGCGTAGGTGACTCTTACATTCTGTGCTGACGACAAGAACGCCCCGGCCTCCTGCGCGTGTTCTACAAGCCGAAAGAGGAGCTCGTCCGGCGACTCGAGGACGCAGGCGCCTCGTCCGAGGAGGCGCAAAAGGCAGCCATGTACATGCGCTCCGAGCGCGCATGTCTCGACTACATTGACGCGCTCCACGAGCGCAACCGTCTACGTGAAATCAAGGCGAAACTCGAAAGCAAGATCCGCTTCATCCGGGACCAGGAGTATGTGTGCTCGAACCGTGAAGCTATTGATGCCCTTCGGTGGTATCCTGATCCGAAGGAGGCGCTGCTGTACGTGCGGCACAAGCGGCATACCAGGCTGGATCCGGGCTGTGCGCAGTGTGTGCGAATCTTTGAAGCGGAGAGGCAGGGAGATCAGGCCGCCGCCGCGGCTTGGGAGAGGAGGGTTGCGCAGATGGGCCCACTGGAGAGGGAGAGGTATCTCAACACGCTGCGGCGGCCGAGCCAGCGGTGACACGTCCAGAACAGATGCTGAGGATGTCCTACGTTGTATGCATGTACTAATCCGCCGCTACCAGCAAGCGTTGCTAGTGGGCGTCGGAGCAATCCGGCAGCGTGCGGACGTGAGAGGCTTGTCCTGAATTCCGAAACGAGACCGAGAGGCACATGTCCTGTGCCGTCTCGCATTCAGTTGGATGTCAAGTGACCTGCACCGCCCGACGATCCATGACGTCGTATCGACGGCGGTGGCTGACATCCTGACAAGCGATGCGTGATAAGATTGTCCCACGTGCAAGAACCAGAGCCGGGCTCAAGCAGAAGGCCGCAGACCTGTTATCGTGCACCGTCCGCTCGTCTGGGGGGCCGCTCAATAGACAGGCAGTTGCGGCAGGCTGTGCACAGATTGTTTACAGGCTACTCCGCTTGTACCTGTTGTACGCCGACGCTGACAGAGTGACTATGACTCCGGGGGCGCCGAGTCGATGCCATCTTGCCGTCCCTCGCGGCTTGGTCGGACTCACGACGGCGCGGCGCGGCGTTCTCAGCGGCCGTCACGGCGGTGACCTCGGCGTCGGCGCTCGGAGGTATCGAGAACGAGTACTTCCGAGATAATGGGCCACATTCGAGTCTGTGGTCAAGTGGCACAAACGCCACCTCATAACAAGCGTATCCGGTATTCGGCGGTGTTCTCGGCGGTGGCTCATTTGGCGACAGCGGCGCTGACTTCGGAGGTGGCGTTCGGACGATGCACCATTGACCGCGCCAAGCCGCGACGAAGCCCATGACAGCAACTGCTCGTGACGCTCAGGTTCGATGACGCTGCGCCTCCACTTGATCTCGAGAGTCTCGACCTGGCCAGACTCAAGTTATCCGCGGCTATGAGTTACGCTGTACTCGTCATGAGTTCTTGCCTGCTCGTTGCCAACATCTATGCCAAGGTGTGGAGTCTCCGTGGGAAGGCAATGTTCGCCTCCACTCGTTGCCAACTAACTGCCAAGCTTTGCATCTTATCAGTGAAGGCCCAGGCAGGCCCATGGAGTTTCCGGACATCCGCTCGTCGAGCAGCCAGGAGTTACTAACCACTTCCTGCTATCACGGCTGGCGTCCGGAATGCGGCGTGCGGCTTTGAGATTGCGGCGGATGTGGTGGTGAGTCGTGCTCAGGGTGTGTGTGGCCAGGGTGACTGGCTGATTTGAGATTTGGCTGACCACACCCACCCAGGGTCCAAGTTGCGGCATCTCGTCCCAGGCTGATGTGGGTCACCGCGAGGTTCATCCGGCCCCACCCCAGGCACGCCAGACCGACATTTGAGATGTCGTTGAAACTCTATTCACCGGCTTTGAGATGCTTACAGGTGATGCTTTGAGAGACGGCCCCACGACCTAATCGCGCTTTGAGATGTCGGCCAGGCACACTAATGTCCGGCCGCACTTTGAGATAGGACTTTGAGATCCTGGTGACAGTCTTTGAGATGTAGCCTCACCATTTGAGATGTCACCTAGACTTTCCGACCACATCCCGATCCACCGGACCACGGTCACATACACTCATTCCACCGATGTGGCTTTGCTACTCTCCAGCAGACTCGACGAGAAATGCATATAAGAAGGACGAGAATGTTGCTGAACATTTCCCCCTCAGACTCAACAGTTCTCTCATCGTAGCACCTCAGCTCCTCACTGTAGCACCTCTGCTCCCTACCACTATCACCCCACACCTATAACACCCAACCAACATGAGCTTCTCTTCCACTTCCACCACCAGCTCCCGCCTCGCTCCCATCCCCAGCGTTGGTGACGCCGAGCTCTCCCGCTCCTCTTCTCTTCAGCGTGAGTCACCCCTTCATTCTACCCTTCGGCCTTCGCTAACATCCAACCTGCATCTCTCGCGCCTCTCACGGCTCCCGCACCTCGCGCACCTCTACCGTTGTCCCCGGCACGCCTCGCAAGTCCCTCGAGCGCCTCCCCTCTCACGTCAAGTGCACCTACTCCCCTCCCTCTTACGACGAGTCCAACCGTCAAACTTTTGGCACCGTCGACGAGTACGGCAACCAGTGGCGCTGCCGCCTTGGTGTCTGGTACGTCGTCCGTCAGAAGGGCCCGCGCAAGTCGAGCACCAAGCCCAGCGACGCTCCCGTAGTCATCAACGGAAAGGAGTGGCGCAAGCGCTTTGGTGTCTGGTGCGCTAGCCGCTCGTAAAGTCGTAGCGACGAGCAACGCCACGTTGCATTGCCAAATGCCACCTCCATCGGCAACGACGAGCAGGTGGCATCGGCAACGACTGCCCGCCCTACACTAGCGGGCAATCGCCAACGTTTTGCGGCAATGGCAACAGCGTAACGCCCCCTCCCTGGGCCGTCGACGAACCAAAATCCACGAAAACCAGCGAAAACATCGAAACACCACGTTCTAGAACGACTCTACTGCTCAGCCCCCGAAAACTCATCTTTACTTGGCTGCGTTCCTGGCTGAAATCGGCAACAGCCGCTGCCTAGATGACCACCATATCCTACTCCCACGACATACCCACAAACAGCCACCAAAGCTATCGGCAACTCCTCTCGAATACCCTGACGCCTCATCTACGGTATCTCTGAATCCGAGACGCCGGATCTTGCACTGCGGCGCAGCCCACTGCTACTCCATACTCTTTAGTCGTTTCCTCTAGTCTCTCTTCCTTCTCAACATTGGCAACGACGTGCCCGCCCCGACCGACGACGACACTGTTGTTCCTTGATTAGTAACTTGTACTTCTTAGTTTCTCATGTATTAGGTTCCATCGAACATTCTCAGCCTTCATCCGATAATAAGCTCCGAGGGCGTCACAGCCCACTTAGTCGGTCGGTGTGGCCCACTGCTGCGCACAGGGGACGTTAGGATGTAGAGGTGCACGAGGACAAGCAAATCCAACTGTGTGCCTGGATCACCGCCTCTGCGAAGTCGCGAAATGAATGAAATGATGTAAATTGGGAACAACCAAGGCGGTTGTGACGTACCCCCCGATTACTTGCACCCGTTTCACGCACCCGACACCGGACACCGGAGCATGCGGACCCACCCAGGCACAGTGAGGAGCTATAAAGATAGCATCAAGCTTGCCCACGCTCCAGCCTTCGTCTCACACTACCACGCCGCCCATACACACACCGGGCGGCATTGACAACACACACACGATTGACAACAGCGATTACTTTCCTTGCATTGTGAAGAGAACGGCTTTGCAACATGTCCAACGCCATGAGGATCCCCGCTCTCCCACCATCATACTCGACCGTCAGGCTCGTGAGGACCCTCGAGCCTGTATCACCGACCCTTCCCCCACTTCCGATCCAGGAGAGCCTCGAGCTCTCCTTCGAAGCGACGTTCGAAGCATTCGACTGTCTGACCGGTACGTCCTCGCAGCCCATCACACACTGACCGCAGTGCAAGAGGAAGGACCACCGACACCGCCGCCGGAGCCAGATTGCCCACCGGTCGTTGACCGAGCTCGCCCACCGGCCCCTGTTCCGGCGAACTTACGCCCACACTCCGATTCCCAGCGTGGCCCGCCCACAAGGCTAGCACCGCAACGCACCCGCTCCCGCTCAGCGACACTGCCCTCTCGCCACATCGAGGAGATGCACGAGCTAGCCGGCGAGCTGGACGAGCTCCCGACCTACGCCGAGTGTGCGCGGGACAGGCCGCCCCCGATCGGACCGCCAGTGCACGTCGTGCACCTCCAGGCCCCCCACGGCGTACACGTTGCGAACGGCGTGCAAGTGCGTAGCGGGCGGAGCCAATCCCTCGGCGCGGCCGTTGCGGGCTGGGCCGGCCCCGACCGCTCACCGCGCGACGGGTGGGTGCGCGACTCGGACGGGCAGTGGAGACAAGGACGCAGGCGCGCCGTTCCCGTTCCGGCGAGCAATCCCGCCCATCCGTCCAACTATCCTCTCAGCCCGCGGTCGCAGGCCCGGACACAGACGAGCCGCTCGCTCCCGTCTCGCTTGGGTCTTGAGCCTCGGCCGCACCCACCGCATTCGGGCCAGCACACCCAGAACCAGAGCCAGAGGGAGCAGGGACAGCGCCCGGGACACGGACAGATCCTCCTCCGCCCCCGCTCGAGGCAGAATAATGAGCCAGCCGGCAATGGCAAGGTGTGGCGGAAGAAGTTGGGTGTGTGGTACGTCGCCCGCAAGGAGGGATTCTTTGTCGAGACTGTCGGGCCGCAGGGCGAGAGATGGAGGCGGACGCTGGGAGTCTGGCACGTCGTCAGTGAGACGTGAGCGACGTCGCTAGAGCGACGGAGGCGGAGGCGTCACTCGACGTAGGAAGGCAGGCGACGGAAATGGCGGAGTGTCATGGAGAGAGACGCGGGGCTGCGGCGCCACCATGTCATCGGCGTCATGGTCTGCCGTGCCTCGACGTCACACTGTTGCATCGACAGCAGTCTGGCACGAACAGTGCCGGCAGCGACGACGAGGACATACCCACACATAGCCGCGGATCTTCTACGACATCGCACTGCAGTGCACTATGGCGACATTGCCAACCCTCAATGCATACGAGATACGATCCACGGACAATCGTCGAGGAAGGCGGAATTGTCGATAGACCAGATTCGCCAAACCAGGACCAGGACCAGGTTACCCACACCTTCACACACCTACATTCCTTGATCCCCCACTCGAGCGGAGCGGAATATTCCCTCCCCTCCCCACTCGACACTCCACAAGGAGCCAAACCTTGTACACACAGACATCTAGAAGCATCAGAAACGTGTATGCATCTTTTAGTCAGCTGACGTCTGGTTCCTGTGCCGTCACCAGTGTCTGCTCCCGACGAAGTCTGGACCACGGGCGGCCCAACAATGATTGCATTACAGAGCTGTAGGCAGCGGGTATCAGACTGGCTGAAAGTGCCGATACGAAGCAACTGATTGCCGATATCGAGTGCTGCGGGATTCGGTAGCCCGCTCAGCGCCTTGGGATCCTGCAGGGTTGCTTTGGTGCAGGGTCGCAGAAGGTCGAATCTGCAATCTCCCGTTTCGCTGGCTTGTTCGGATCATCATGGGTTATGGGCTCTTGCAATGTCGGATCCTGGACTCTGGATCCTCTGGAGTCTCGATTGCAACTCCCGATTGCAACTCTGGCTAGCCCGATTGTTGATTCCTGCGTTCATGAGTTCTGCCAGAATCAGGCGCCCCTGGGGGTCTATCAGAGCCTGCCATAGAGCTGTTTGAATCAAGTCAGTTGTTGTGAAGCCGGCCAGACATGTTATAGAAATCCGACGACCTGACCTGTCTTCGCTGACGCCGACTCCGAACGCAGCCCTGCTCCCTGACCCAACACAATGCCGCCGAGACACAATACGCCTCAACACCTCGGCGTATCTCTCGGTGTTGATCGTATTGTCTGTTTCAGCCCCGACCGTCAGCCTCGTTTCTCGCTACTCCTGCCAGAGCTGTGGCTGCAACAATTCGGTCGCACGTCTGCCATCGTCCATAGACGGATCTGCGGTCCGGCTCCGATTCCCGCATGCATTATCCGGCACCTCTTGTCCTCTGATGTCAGACGTAGACGTCATGCATCTGTACATCACGTGACTGGATGGACTCCGCAGCAAGAGGGCCGCAGATAAGGCGGCGCTTCGAGGGATATTCGCGTGGTCGCGTGAGAAATCCCGGCTTTCCTCAATCTCACCACAAGCCCGGGATAGACTAGGCGTGCTTGGCCCGCAGACATGGACACCGCAGACAACGCAGTCGCAGTCGCACGAGGCATGCTAAGCATTCCGATGCCTTGAGATGTCCAAGGCGTGCCGGGACGGCTTCATACCCTAGGTTGCCCGACTGGCTTACGGTTCACCTGACATCCGGGGACTGGAGCACATGACAATAGATAGCCGCGCCAGCGCATCTTCTTGTTAAGCATACTCGACCCTTCAGCGCATTGTTGCATTTTTCACATCACTTACTCTCCGCACACCTCAACGTGAAGGCAAATGAGCGACGACCTGTCTTTGCGCCTAATTCCTGGTAAGTCTCCACTTCCATCGCCACTCGCAGCTTTAGCAGTCCAGCCGTGTCTCCAGCCCCGTTCTTTGGGTCGGTCCGCTGACTACAGAACGCTCCCTCGTCTCGCGCCTCTTCCACCGGCCAGACGAGGCCGTCGTGCGCGACCTCATGTCTCGAGGGGCGACACGAGAAGAGGCCAGGCGTGCAGCCAAGGCGATGAAGACACCAGAGGGCGCGGCGGGATACCTCGCAGCCCACCGCGAACTGTGCGACCTGACGCACCCCTGCGAGTCTCCCGACCAGTGCTGGGAATACCACGGCAAGCCGCGGCGATCGGCGTCAGTCGCCACTCCCAGTGCGTCTGGTTACGCTGCGGGGTCCGGCGTCGCCTCTGGCTCGCGGAGCCGGCGGCAGACCACCGGCGGTCTCGAGGAGAAGGACGAGGCTGTCCTGTACCTCGCGTCGCACGGGTTCAGCGAGCGCACTGCCGCCTCAGCGCTCGCTTTCTGCGCCGGCGATCGGGACGCCGCCCTCTCCGCCCTCGAACACACGAGACACACCCGCGTCGTGCCCGAGTGCTCGCACTGCATCGCCCATCCGCCCGCGCAGGATCTCGACGCAGGTCCCTATGCCGGCGCAAACGTGCCCAACGCCGCGAACGCAGTGACGGACGAGCCAGCCCCGCCAGAGCAGGACGCAGACGAGCTGCCGCAGTACTCGAGTGCGAGGGAGTACAACAGGGCAAGGAGGCGGGAACAGAGGGAGGAGGAGCGTATTGAGGCTTTGATCCGACAGCATCATCAGCGCGGAAAGAAGAATCGGGAGAACTGGGGCAAGACTTGCCCGAGCTCGCAGATCGTCGCGGCGAGGGCGCGGCTCATGTTCAACCCGCGCGCGAGGTGGGACGACCTGCTCTACTGAGCGTCGGCGTCGGGCGCAGCAAACCCCTCACCCTCGAGCGCAGCGGCGACCGGCATGTCAAGCACACCGCGATGTATCCATAGACTCTCCGTACCATAGAAGCTCCCGGCACTGAGCGCATGAAAGTTGTTCCTGTATTCTCCACGCATTGCATGCAAACTTGCAGTGTTAGAATGGCAGAGAGCAAGAAGTCAGAGTATGACGACACAGCCGAATGCGGCTCTGCTGCGCCTGATGCTACGCCCTGTGCTGGCCCTTTTCTCGGCCTGCTGCGGTTGCGTCACGGCCTCAAGCTGTACAGGCTGGGCATGCTGGGCAAGTCTGGCCGGGCTCGGGAGCCTGTTCCAATTGACCTCCCCTGCAGGCGCAGTACGTGGCGTACTGGCGTAGATCACACCGCACGCCACGAACCACGATCTTATCGTGTGTGCGATGCGATCGAGAATGGAAAGTAACCGGGGAGTTGCGGAAAGCGAAGGCGTTCCTGATTAGATATACCTGACATAGGTAGAAGTTTACATTGAGTGAGCCGGGACGTTCCGACTGACTCTGACTCGGGACAGATCTGCGCTGCCGCAGCTGTAGCGGAAGGCTATAAAATATCAGCACGCGGCGCTGCACAGTCGTAAGAAGCAAGAGTTAGTTGGACGTCGGGTGCTCCCTGCCCGGGTGGCCAAGGCTAGCCGATTTGCCTATGCCTGACACTCGAACTGCGCCGCTCACCATGCGAGAATGGGTTCCAGATCCAGATGCACTCAGAATCGGGCGGAAATGAGTCACTGTGTGCGCGTGTGTATGTGCAGGCGAGGCAGTGCACCTGTAACGCCCCGTTTCCGTCGTCTCTCACACCTTAGCCCTCCGTCCTCTTTCTCTCCTCATCTCCTTCCACTCAACCCCTCAACATCCCCTATGTCTTCACACCCTGCTCTAAACACATCATTGTTCAGGCTATCTCCCCATCTCACTCCTGCCGAACGGACTCGCTGGCGCTCTCTCGGGCCGCTGTTCCCTCCCGACGGCCGCGCGCGAGACGCTTCCATCGGATCCGTCCATGACATCTATGGTGAAATGGTATCATGCATCCTTGCCACGTGCGATTGGATGCGGTGGGGGTTCGATTCCCCCTGGATGTACTCTTTTGGCTGACTCCTGTGCATGAGGAAGTCTTTTGGAGGGTTGGAGGAGACGAGGGATGACGGGAGGAGTCAGCTGGTGGTGGTGGACAGTGGTTGGTTGATTGGTGGTTGACGACGACTGGAGAGGAACCCTTCAGGTTTCAGAGCCCCGCACGCAGTAACAGGGGCAGGATTGTCCTGCTGATGCACAGGGAACCATTGTCACCCTGTGCTCTCTGCGTTGAACACCCTTGACCTTGAAGCGCGGCCCGACAGTACAGTGAAAGAGCTGGAAGGCCGGTCGGCTGAGACCTCCACCTGATCTTATCGGTCGGGCACTTCTACAGTCTGCCTTCACCCCGCGGTCCACCTCTTCCCATTCTGATCTCCGATTATCAATGCACTCTCCGATCTCTCACTGCAAGCGAGCTGCTCACCGAGGGCCGAGCTCCGAGTTGCGCAAAGCCGCTAGCCGCTCGCATCGGAGTTGGGTGAAGGCACAGCCTGTGAGCGTCCGCAGGACCTCGGTCATCACCGCACCCTGACGTCACAACCGACCTGGTCGTGTTGTGATCTCGGTCTCCCTCGCAACTATATCTCTCTTTCGCATTCGACTCGCATCCAACCTCACGAGACAACCTTCGATCGTCCACCTCGGCCTACCCTCCCATCGCTCTACACCCCGGCTGCATCTCCATCCGCAGCACCACCCGAATACCTGCACCTCCGCGTCGAATCATCCACCATGGGCTACCTGAAGCGACACATCGAGAAGAAGAAGGAGCAGCAGCGCAAGCAGGACGAGGAGCGTGTCCCCCTCGAGCGCGGCCTCCTCTACATCTGCGACGGATGGGAGGCGGACGTCTTCCGCTCCAAGAAGCAGTGGCAGGACCGCGTGCATCGGCGCGAGCAGCTCGCCATGGAGCTGACGCAGTGGATGGAGAACGAGGTCGTGCGCGACCAGGGCATGATCTCCTCCTGGGACCTGTACGCGGACGGCCTGACGACCGAGATTGGCGAGAATGTGCAGCAGGAGGATCCCGAGCTCGCCGACGCTCTCAAGTCGAACGAGGACGAGGAGGAGATGATCCAGCGCCTTACCCGCCAGGCACTCGAGTTTACCCAGAAGATGACGACGGCGCAGCGCGACGGAGGTGATATCCAGGGCATCCTCCAGTACGAGGAGAAGAAGGCCGAGAAGAAGGTTCACGACAACCTGACTGCCCCGTAGATTGGCATGCAATAGGCAGTGAAGGATAGATTGATGCGCGACTGATCGAAGCAGGGTAGTGGAGTACTCTGGGTGCTGGGTGGGGGCAACGAAGATACGTTGTTGAGTACTCACAATGCGGCACTGACGTCCTCCCCGAACCGAATGCGATGAGAGACTTTAATGGGCCGATGCGATGCACTGCTTCTGCAAGGTCTGGATCGACAGCCAAGCATCTCTTCGAGCACTGACCTTCGGCTGTCTAATCCTGGGGTAGCTTCTCCCGTAACGCAAGATTCGGGCCACGCTCGATGAGGTGTCGCCGAGCGACGTCGTAAGGTCGCCCATAGGTGCTCTTTTCTTATCTGCATGAGGACAGAGGTGCGTCGGCGTGTGCTACCTGCTGCCTGAGCACCAATATCCTCGAAGTCGAGCTGCAGGACCAGTGGCTGCACGCCATCGCGGGGCGTGACACGGACGCCAAAACCGGTGCCGCCTGCATGGGCTGTGCCCTCGCCCCGTCCATGCGTAGACATTACAAAGGCAGGGCGCAGCCGCCACCGTCGCCACCACCGCCCCTTTGGCCGCGATCGCTTCGTGCCCGATCATCCCTTCCTTTTCGCTCTTCTCCCTCTTCTCAAAAGGCCGCTTCCCCTGGTACCTTCCAGCTGTCGGTCTCATCGCTCCATCGCTGCTCGCCACTCTGCTCCGCCATCGAGCTCAACCTCTCCGCCCTCGACACGATAGCCACGATCGAACTCAGTGTTGCGCTTAGCGCTGCGAGAACTATGACAATTCCAAGCTCGTCACTGTACCACCAGCGGTTCGACCCGCGCCTGAATCCTGGTACGCCCCGTTCCCTTCCCTACCCCGCAGCTAGCCCGTCCTCAGCAAGCTAACAGCAGACCGCTCCCTCCTCCGACGTCTATTCATCATTCCGCCCTCAGCAGCCCAGTCGACTCTACAGCGTGCGGGTGTCCCCAAGTCTCTGGCCTGGAAAGCCCTCCGCCGCATGCGGACACAGCACGGCGCGCACGCCTACGCCGCCGCCGTGGCCGAGTACGCCCAGCACGCATCGGGTATTGCGTGGATCACGCGCAGTGCTGCTGTGACGGAATACCAGGCGCTATGTGCTCTAAGAGCATTCTCTGATCCTGCAGAGGCGAGGGACCACGTCCTGCACCAGACACACCGGGTGGCGTGGGCTGGATGCCGGTTTTGCGAACGCGAAGCAGCCGAAAGACAGAGGCGATACAGTGCAATCAGTGCTAGGAGCGGGATGAGCGGGCTCAAGCCCATCGAGGAGGGAGGACGAGGCGACGGACAAGCGGGGCGGAGCGCGATGGACGGCTACGACCAACTGTCGGACTACCCCCCGCCCTGTCCGCCTGCTATCGGCATAACGCCAGCGACGCCCATCATCCCCTCCCGACCTCTGACACCCGCCTCTCGCTCGAGTCTCTCGCACTCCCGCTCCGACATGATCTCGAAGGCCGACGTCTCAAAGTCGGACGTTGGGCACGGCCTCAAGAGAACACCGAGCTGGACGATCAAGGTGCAGACGCTGAAGAGACGGAACTCGGCCGAGGCGCCGGCTGGAGCGTTCAACGTTGTGGGCGTGCGCTACGCTCCGGCCCAGAAGGAGGAGAGGACGATGGCACAGCACCCGCCCAAGGAAGTCGTGACCGGTCTGGGCAACTCTATCGGATACTTGCCGCAGGATATCCGGCCTCTCGCATAGACATAAGTGAATCAGAAGTTCTTAGGTTCCGGGATGAAGGGTTGTAGGCTACTCTCACTGACCTTCTCACTCACTCGGCTCGCAGTACTGAGCCGTTGACCCCGCTCACGAGAGACGACGACTCCGGCCTGACCTCCACCTGACAAAACCAGGGCGAAGACTACGCCGCAGGGCACATCAACCCGGTCACCCAGCCACCGCCCCAATACACCCGCCTCCACCCTACCAGATCCCTACGAACCCTCAACTCAACCCTTACCATCCTCCCTCCCTCCTAAGTATCCAAGAAGCATCCCAGACGCAGCAAAAGATACATCCAGGGGGAATCGAACCCCCACCGCATCCATGGCAAGGATGCATGATACCATTTCACCATAGATGTTAAATGCTCTAATGGTCACGAACGGAGGTGCCGCGCGGAGGCCGGAAGCGCTTCGGCCGCTGCATTTTCGATTCCCTGTATCTAGTTGCTCTAGCATTAGTCCCAGAGGACTCAGCGAAGGTCCCCCAGACGGGTTAAGGGGAGTTGACTGCCTGCATAGTCCTGGGGCTGTTGATGAGTTCGCGCTGCGAGATCGAGGTGTCGATGTGCCCTGGAACCAAACAACCTCGGCAACATGTTGCCACCCCGTGATATCGACACTAGAGGCTGAGTAGTCGTCTGAGCGCTTCTCAACTGTTCACACTCTCATCTCACAACAATACAACTGGGACAAGTTTCGCTCGCCATGCTCCCGGCCGGATACCTGACGCCCGTCGAACAGCGACCGAACCCCGATCAAGAGCGCTACAAGGTGTGCCACGCCCTGCACAACGCCGATCTCCCTTGCGTCGTCTTCTTCGAGGACGCGATCGCTTACCACGGCGTGCCTTCGTGCTTGTTCGACCTGTACCTCCTCGTCAGCGACGTTCAAGCCGCTGCCGAAGTGCTAGCTAAGGACGCCGCCTGGGTGCACACCGAAAAGAGGAAGAACAAGATTGGCAACTCCACCGTCGACGTGCCCCAGATTCGCCTCGGACCGCCTAGTGACTCTAGTGATACCGCTACCTTGTTCCGAGTCACGCATGTTGTGCTGCTCAGAGCTGCGGACTGGTTCTACGACCTGCATGACGCAGAGGCGACATTCTTCCCTCCTCTCGTGCCTCTGCTGAACGCATTCTATCGAGTCCTCTTTGAGGGCACGCAAAAACAGCGGCGCTGGACGAGTCTCCAGCTCAGTTATCTCCACGGCCACACGTTGAACTGGAGGAACTGGAAAGATCAGCCCCGTATATCCCTCAAGGAGCTCGCGGAGCCCGCACGACCGGTTCACCAGGACTATCGAGATGGATACAGCTTCGCAGAGGCAATGAGGCGCCAGACCCTCGTTCGCGATGGCAAAGCCGAACCGGGCAGGTTGGGGACGGATTTCCCACCCAACCCCGATTATGAGAGCAGGTATGGCGTCCTCCCCGGACCATGGTCCTGGCATCCGTAGAGAGATAGAACTGCATCTCAGGTGCATCAGCCACTTTGCTTCGTCGAAACGAAGCAGAGTGACATCATCTCCATCCGTTCCGGTCGCACAGCCAAAATGCGGGTGCATACGCTGACGACGCGTTGATAGTTGAAACACGGGCATCGCATAGTTTACATGGTTACAAGACTTCGATCCGTTCTCTCTTTGCCGTCATATCGTTCTTCCTTCTGCGTTGGCTATCCTGTCCGTCCATCTAGTCAATCTTCACATGTGCCGTGGTCGTGGGTTCCACGGGCGGCTTCACGGGCGGCTTCACGGGCATAATGGTGTTGACAAGTGTCACGCTCGTGCCGAGGTATGAAGCGGGCCAGACGTGCTTGCTAGTTGATGAGGATGAGGTCGCAGACGACGTCTCCGTCTTCGTGCTCCCAGGCACGTTCGTGTTGACCGTAGCATTAGGGCGGCGCTTGCACCACCTGCCTCCGCCAGTGCAGTCGTATCTGCCTGTCAGCATCACCCTCGAGCGATACTTACCCGTCAGGACAGTACGAGCGCTTTCCATCCGGCTTGCCGAAGAGGGGCTCGTCGCCCTCGTCGCCGTCCTCACCCTGGTCATCCCCGTCCTCGTCGCCGTTATCGCCGTCATCCTCGCGATCCTTGCTCACGTCCTGGACCTGCTTGTCCGCCTCGGCCTGCTCCTCAGCCGTGTCGACGCTCTCGGTGTCTTGCCTGCGGACACGCGAACGGCGCTCGCGCGGCTCGGGTGCGCGCTGGCAGCATGCCGCCTTGAAGGGCGCGCAGTAGTACTGTCTCTTTCCATTTGGGCCCAGGGCCGAACCACATCCGACGCCCGCGAAGCCGCAGTTCGGGAACGTGCGCGGGGCGATCCAGGTCGCCTTGATCAGCTCGCCGTCTGTTGGCTGACACGGGTTTGGGTCGGGGTTCGGGTGCGGGGGCGAGCGGGCGAGCGGGCGAGCGCGAGGGCGCTCAGAGTGCTGAGCAGGACTGTGTGGAGAAGCATAATGTGGAGGACTGGGGGTTGTGACTGGAATCGGGGGCGGTGGGGGGGGTCTTATATGGGCGTCAATCGTGTTGTTGACGACTGCGCAGTGGCCCCGCGGCCCGCCAAGACCGCACTGCATAGTGGCCACAGAGGCCGTTAGAGACGACGATCGGTTGCTGCGTACGAGGAATGAAACGGGGTCGCAAAGTGGTCGCCTGACTGGACGACGGCGGGCTGCGGGACAGGGACCGCGCTTATCTCACCCACCCCTGCAGAGGATGTTGCGTAAGAGGTGCATTCCGTGTTCCAAACTGTGCAAGACGGAGGCTCGGTGCTGACGCCCAGCAGGGCTCGGAGCCGAAACTTACCGCCTGCCCGTCACCCGCCGTCAGACATAAGATGCCCGTCGAGACGCAAGAATCATCGGACAGGAGGTGGGCGGGGGGGGAAAGAACAAGCGGGCAGGAGGACGGCGGAGCAATGATGATTCCACCGCTCAGGGCTCGCGACAACAGAGCAGATATTGCTACCGTGAAACGACGGGAAGGCGTCAACGTTGCAACACGTGCAGATTCGTCGCAATGACCCATCTTGAGACGTTCAATCCTCGCCTCGATACCCTAGGGCATGCCTCGTCATCACTCTTCACGTCGATAAGCGGCTTTGCAACACTCCCATAAAACCCAGCGGAGTCAAGCGCTCACCAGTCCACCGACTTCAGCGGCGGCGTTAGTTCTCGGTCATCCCCGCGCAACTCCGCCTTCGCTTTGCTCATGGATTCGCATTATATCGGCCGAGGACACGATGCCGACTTACTTGCAATCTGCGCAGATGTTGCGTTCTCTTGGCACCAGCATCACGAGATCCCCTCATTACCATCTTACGTAAGATATAACCTCACACACTTCTCTGCCGCCTGCGCCGGCCGGCACAAGTCGCGCTAGCTGACCAAGCCCAAAATCGACTCTGCATTGTCTGAAGCGCTTGGCATAGAACTCCCCACGAGGTTATCGACCAATGGACGTGTTCTCTGCTGTTCGGTGTGTCGGCGTCCCACGACGTGCTCACTGTGGGTAAACCCCGACTTTCAGGGCGATTGGATGAACTCTTGTTATCGGGAAGATCCGGAACAACAAAAACCTCACCATGGATAATCTTTCAGCAGCCCAGTTTATCCTCCGGCATGTGGCTAGTTGTGGATCGTTGGGTCACCTGCCCACAACGCGCCCGCTACGGACTTGGGAACGCAAGCATGTTGCCCGCGGACAGTCTTATAAGCAGAAAGGGGGCTACTTAGACGTTCAGCCACTGTCGAAGAGCTCACACACTCCCACAGCCCCTTGCAACCGCTGGCTACCGACCACCACAAGCTTATGACTCACTTCTCGACCATCATTTCTATGGACTGTATCCCCAATGACTAAACAGCATCCCGCCGCCGTTCACGCCCTCGACTTTCCGGCGCACACTGCGCCGGCTGAAAAGGTCCTTGAAGCGCTTTCCGTTGATCCCGACACTGGTCTCTCCGAAGCCGAGGTCCAGAAACGCCTCACCGAATATGGTCCCAACCGCATCAAGCCCCCGCCCAAGGCGAGTCTCGGAAGATCTTCTTCCGGCAGGTCGCCAACGCTATGACGGTTATCCTGAGTACGTGCCATTGTTAGGAGCGGATACTAACTCTCAGTCGGCGCCATGGCCGTCTCTTTTGGCGTCATGGATTGGATCAGTGGAGGAGTGATTGCAGCCCTGATCATCCTGAACATCTCCGTCGGCACATGGACGGAGTGGGAGGCCGAGCGCATTGTCGCCAACCTGGCGACCGTTGGCGCACCGGAGGCCGTCGTCCGCCGCTCTCAGGGCACAATCACAATCAAGGTCGACGAGGTCGTTCCTGGCGACATTGTCCTGCTCAAGAATGGCGACATTGTGCCCGCCGATGGTCGCATTGTGGAGAACTCAAACCTCGAGGCCGATGAGGCGTTCCTGACCGGCGAATCTCTGCCGGTGCAGAAACAAGTCGAGCCCATCGAGGAGGCCGACTGTCCCGTCGGCGACCGCATCGATATGGTCTTCTCCGGCTCGACCGTGACCAAGGGCCGCGCCACAGTCGTCGTCACTGGGACTGGCATGGCGACCGAAATCGGCAAGATCGCCACTGCGCTACAGTCCAAAGCCGAGCGCACCGAGACCGGCTGGGCGGCGAGGTGGCACTGGGTCAAGGTCAAGCTTGGGCTCGCGGAGACGTCCCCGCTTCAGTACAAGCTGAACTCGCTTGCATTCTGCCTCCTGGCCGCAGCGATTGTCACGGCTATCGTAGTGCTCGCCACAACTGGATTCAAGAACATCCCCAAGTCCATGGCGACGTACACTGTCGCCGCTGCCGTGTCCATGCTTCCTGTGTCCATGGTGGCAGTCGTCTCCCTGACGCTGGCGCAGGCATCGGCCGCGCTGTCGCGCACCCACGTCCTCGTGCGCCGCATGGATGCCATTGAGGCGCTGGCGGGCATCGACAATGTATGTTCCGACATGACGGGAACGCTCACCGTCGGTCGCATGGTCGTGCGCAAAATGTGGGCCCAGGGTCGGACGTTCGACTTCGAAACGGGGCAGGATCCCTTCGAGCCGAAAGGCAGCGTGACGGAGGAGAAAGTTGTGGTGTCTCCTGGGGGCCAACTGCCGCACGAGCTGAAGAGTCTGGCGCTCTGCACCGCGCTTTGCAACCAGGCGACCATCGAGCAGGGCGAGGCCGGATGGACCGCTAATGGTGATCCCACCGAAACGGCGCTCCAGGTCGCGGCGCACAAGCTCGGTCTCGGCAAGCCGTCCCTGACTCCGGAATACGTTCAGATCGTGGAGCACCCCTTCGACTCGAGCGTGAAGCGCATGTCGATCGCGTATGCCCATGGCAACGACACTCTCTGTTTGCTCAAGGGCGCTGCTGAGCGTGTGCTTAATTGCTGCACGACTTGGGGCGGACAGGAGCTCACGTCTGCGGATCGTGACACGATCATGGACGAGGTCGAGAACCTTGCCAGCCAGGGCCTGCGCGTACTCGCGTTCGCGGATCGGATGGCGGATCCAGGTGTGGATGTGACGCAGCAGAGTCGCGAGGACTTTGAGTCTGCTCCATGGAACTTCCTTGGCCTCGCTGGAATCTATGACCCGCCTCGTGCCGAGTCTGCCGACGCTGTCGCCGACTGTGCTGTAGCCAAGATCAAGGTGCGCATGCTCACCGGCGACCACCCGAGTACCGCCACTGCTATCGCACTGCAGATCGGCATTCTCTCTCGTAACTACCCTCCCGGTGCAGTTATGACAGGACAGCAGTTCGACGCCCTGACTACGTCCGAGATTGATGCCCTGCCTGACCTGCCTACCGTTGTCGCACGCTGCGCGCCAGAGACCAAGGTCCGAATGGTCGACGCTTTGCATAGGCGACACGAGACGACAGCCATGACTGGCGACGGGGTCAACGACAGTCCAGCCCTGAAGCGCGCCGATGTCGGTGTTGCGATGGGCACAGGTTCCGACGTGGCGAAACAAGCTAGTCGCATCGTCCTAACCGACGATAACTTTGCCTCCATCGTGCGCGCGATTAGTAAGGGACGAAACGTATTCAAGAACCTCGCCAAGTTCCTCCTCTACCTCCTCAGCGGGAACGTGGGCGAGCTTGTCGTGCTCATCATCGGTCTTGCGTTCCGCGACCGCAACAATGAGAGCGTGTTCCCGCTGTCCCCCGTTGCTGCACTGTGGATCAATACTCTGACTGCTGGGCCGCCCGCCATGGCCCTCGGCCTCGAGCCAAGCAGCAAGGACAGCATGCGCCTTCCGCCCTCGGAGTATCGGACGATCTTCACGCGCGAGTTCCTCGCCGACCTCATGTTCTACGGCTGGTTGATGGGCGCCCAGGCACTGGTCAACTTCGTCATTGTCGTCTACGGGTATTTCCCGGGCAACCTCGGCGCGCACTGTAACGAGCAGGAGGCGGGGTGCGGTGATGTCTTCCGTGCGCGGGCGACCTGCATGGCGACACTGCAGATGGTCATGCTTCTGCACGCCTTCCAGTGCAAGCACGCAACGAGGTCTATCTTCCGTATTGACTTGAGGAACAATCCGACCCTGCTCTGGTGCGTCGTGGTGCTGGTGCTGAGCACGTTCCCCGTCATCTACATCCCCGTCATCAATAACAAGGTCTTCCTCATCGCGCCAATCGATTGGGAATGGGGTATCGTCTTCGGCCAGATCTTTGTGTACGGCTTTGCTTCGGAGGCTTACAAGTGGGCGAAGCGCAAGTTCATGCGGTGCCACCCGAAGCGAGACGCTGAGGAGGGAGCGGCGAGGGCGGCTATGCGCGAGATGGAGCAGGTCAACACGACCGGCACCACGGGAGCTGTGGATATGGACAAGACGGCGACCAATAGCAGCATGCCCACCACCCCGCTCGAGAAGAACTACTAGATCCCATAGACATCCTGAAAAGTGATCATTCCATGCACCACTCCCCACTCAACGTGAGAGGGTCTCTCGCAACCCCCTGTCCATCGTAAATGTCCTTACGTAAGGCACACCGGTCGGCCTTGTCCGACTCCGGCTAGCCGGCCAATGCTGAACCGTCGGAGCACGAAATCTCCATATCGCCCACTCACTCATCACTCACCATGCTTCCAAGACCGCAAGTCACGCAGGCGGGCCGTGCGGCACTGTCTTCGCTGTTGAAGCGCGAAGTGTCCGCGCATCGCATCCCCGCCACGTTCATGGGCGTGACGAACGCGGACGGCGAGCTCTTCTGGGCCCAGGCTGGACTCAAGGAGTTCGGCAATCCGGCATCAGGCGAGGTCGCCGAAGGCACGATGCTGCAGCTGTTCTCCATGACCAAGCTCGTCACTTCGGTGAACTGCGCTTCTGTGGTTAGAGCTAACCACAGGTGGCCGCGCTTCAGCTTGTCGATCGGGGCATGGCGGCGCTGGACGACCCGGACCTCCTCGATGAGCACATCCCCGAGATCTCAAAGCAGGACATTCTGGTCGCCTACGACGAGTCGGGACCGACCTACGTGCCGAAGAAGAAGCGTCTGACGTTGCGCATGCTCCTGTCCCACTCCAGCGGACTGGGATATGCCGGGCGCAACCCCCTGATCGGGCGTTGGCAGAAGGAGCACGACGCCGGTCGTCCGGGACAGGGGGCCAAGGAGTGGCTCGGCCCGCTGTGCTTCGAGCCGCAGACTCGGTGGCGCTATGGCACCTCGGTCGACTGGGCGGGTATCCTCCTCGAGCGCGTATCTGGTATGAAGCTCGGGGACTGGATGCAGGCGAACATCTTCGCGCCCCTCGGGATCACGAGCATCACGTTCGAGCCGTCGCCGGAGGCGCAGGCCAAGCTTATGACCATGACGTATCGGAAGGACAGGAAGGAGCTCAGTATCCCGGAGCCAGCGATGCGGCCGCAAGGCGGACACGCCGGTATCAAGCGCGACATGAACCGGCGTGGAAGACACAATGGCGGTGGCGGCCTGTACGGAACAGCGAGGGACTACCTCCGCTTCTTGCGCGGCGTGCTTGCGTCGCGTGGCGCCGCACCCGGAGAAGGTATCCTGTCAAGAGCCATGTTCGAGGAGCTGTTCACAAACGCCCTTCCGCCTCGCTCAGAGGGGACGAAGCCGTACGCCGACTGCGCCAAGAGCATGGCGTGGGGAACGTTCACAGACCCCGAGCTACTGAAGAATGACGGACAGGGTCTCTCCCACTCTGTCGGCTTCATGATCAGCACGATGGACTCATGTCACGGCCGCAAGGCGGGCAGTGGGACGTGGGACGTGAGTGCATTGGGACGATCGCGGCTCCGGCCGAGCAAGCCACGATGGCGCCGTAGCTGACGCACAGGGTGCTGCCAAGAGCGAGTACTGGGTCGACCCCACCAGCGGGATTGCGGCCGTATTCGCGACGAACCTGACATCGCCGAATCCGGATCACTACATGAAGATGTACAACGAGTTTGAGCGGACGCTTTACGACTCACTCGAGGAGGGCGCCAGCGACGCTGCGCCAGTGACCCTGCGATCCAATCTGTAGATGAACGTGAAATAGAATGCCATCGTCTTGTCAGTATCATCTGGGCGCCCGTTAGATTGGGATCGATCGCACGACAACACACCTCGATCTTTTCGAGTGACTTTCTATCTCTCCCACTTTACATCGTCACCTGCCAACCTCTCCAAGATCTGCCAGCACTTTTTCGGCTTCTCTACGGTCTCAGTAGCCCTCTGGGTCTCTCTGCATGGCCCCGGGACGCCGCACGCGCTCGCAATGGCACCGTCGGAGTCGCTTTCGACTGAAGTCGCCGACATCTATGGTGAAATGGTATCATGCATCCTTGCCACGAGCGATTGGATGCGGTGGGGGTTCGATTCCCCCTGGATGTATGCTTTTGGTCCCCTTCTCTACGTTTGCGGAGCGGGAAGACCGCTTTTATCGATAGGAAGTGGTTGCTGACTGGGTGACGGATGTGTTGGCGTGGGGGCAGGCAACGGTCTCTCAAACGAGCAGGTTCGGTGAAGGTTTCCGACAAAGGGCAGGGTGCTTGAGTGATTATTCCGATAGAGCTGCGCGGAGCAGCTGAGAGGCTAGCGGACGTATGCGTGTGCCGGCATCATCGCAGCCAGTGCGGTCGTGCTGATCACAGCTCCAATGTGCCACAACCGCCATCGTTTCGACAGCCCGCTCTCCATCGTTTCAGCTTCTCTTGCCGGCTGCAGACCACTTGAATGACTTCGAAAGCCTCCTCGATACCCCGCAGAGTGCATGAGGCGTCCCTAAAAGGCTCAGAGAAGGAAAAAGTTGACCTCTGGCGGGTTCGAACCGTCGACCTCTCGCGTCTCCATGTGAAGCGAACGCTCTAACCAACTGAGCTAAGTGGCCAGTGATTGCTCACGGCCTGGAGAGCGCGGGCGCGGCCACGGCCGCGGCGGCGGTGGCGTCGGCGTCGGCGTCGGCCTGTGGCTGAGCGCGTCGTGCGGTCCAGAAGATCGCCTTCAGCTGTTGCTTTGGGCGAGGGGCTCAAGATGGTGTGGGGAAATGGACGATTGCTTCCAAGGAGTTGCTGCAATCGTTCGCGTGGAGATCGCCATTCGATCGCCGGGGCTGTCTTAGCGAGCGATGGCAAGTCGACGTCATGCACGGAATGGAGGCGCTTCTATTCTCGGGTGGAAGCCGGAGTACACCTTCTTGGCGTCTGCTAAAGACCTCCGCCAAGTCGTCTTGTCGTACAGTCGTCAGCCTCGGCGTGAGAAAGCGAAGATCTGAACACACAGAGATGACGACAGAAGAGGTCGAGAACCTTGCCAGCCAGGGCCTGCGCGTACTCGCGTTCGCGGATCGGATGGCGGATCCAGGTGTGGATGTGACGCAGCAGAGTCGCGAGGACTTTGAGTCTGCTCCATGGAACTTCCTTGGCCTCGCTGGAATCTATGACCCGCCTCGTGCCGAGTCTGCCGACGCTGTCGCCGACTGTGCTGTAGCCAAGATCAAGGTGCGCATGCTCACCGGCGACCACCCGAGTACCGCCACTGCTATCGCACTGCAGATCGGCATTCTCTCTCGTAACTACCCTCCCGGTGCAGTTATGACAGGACAGCAGTTCGACGCCCTGACTACGTCCGAGATTGATGCCCTGCCTGACCTGCCTACCGTTGTCGCACGCTGCGCGCCAGAGACCAAGGTCCGAATGGTCGACGCTTTGCATAGGCGACACGAGACGACAGCCATGACTGGCGACGGGGTCAACGACAGTCCAGCCCTGAAGCGCGCCGATGTCGGTGTTGCGATGGGCACAGGTTCCGACGTGGCGAAACAAGCTAGTCGCATCGTCCTAACCGACGATAACTTTGCCTCCATCGTGCGCGCGATTAGTAAGGGACGAAACGTATTCAAGAACCTCGCCAAGTTCCTCCTCTACCTCCTCAGCGGGAACGTGGGCGAGCTTGTCGTGCTCATCATCGGTCTTGCGTTCCGCGACCGCAACAATGAGAGCGTGTTCCCGCTGTCCCCCGTTGCTGCACTGTGGATCAATACTCTGACTGCTGGGCCGCCCGCCATGGCCCTCGGCCTCGAGCCAAGCAGCAAGGACAGCATGCGCCTTCCGCCCTCGGAGTATCGGACGATCTTCACGCGCGAGTTCCTCGCCGACCTCATGTTCTACGGCTGGTTGATGGGCGCCCAGGCACTGGTCAACTTCGTCATTGTCGTCTACGGGTATTTCCCGGGCAACCTCGGCGCGCACTGTAACGAGCAGGAGGCGGGGTGCGGTGATGTCTTCCGTGCGCGGGCGACCTGCATGGCGACACTGCAGATGGTCATGCTTCTGCACGCCTTCCAGTGCAAGCACGCAACGAGGTCTATCTTCCGTATTGACTTGAGGAACAATCCGACCCTGCTCTGGTGCGTCGTGGTGCTGGTGCTGAGCACGTTCCCCGTCATCTACATCCCCGTCATCAATAACAAGGTCTTCCTCATCGCGCCAATCGATTGGGAATGGGGTATCGTCTTCGGCCAGATCTTTGTGTACGGCTTTGCTTCGGAGGCTTACAAGTGGGCGAAGCGCAAGTTCATGCGGTGCCACCCGAAGCGAGACGCTGAGGAGGGAGCGGCGAGGGCGGCTATGCGCGAGATGGAGCAGGTCAACACGACCGGCACCACGGGAGCTGTGGATATGGACAAGACGGCGACCAATAGCAGCATGCCCACCACCCCGCTCGAGAAGAACTACTAGATCCCATAGACATCCTGAAAAGTGATCATTCCATGCACCACTCCCCACTCAACGTGAGAGGGTCTCTCGCAACCCCCTGTCCATCGTAAATGTCCTTACGTAAGGCACACCGGTCGGCCTTGTCCGACTCCGGCTAGCCGGCCAATGCTGAACCGTCGGAGCACGAAATCTCCATATCGCCCACTCACTCATCACTCACCATGCTTCCAAGACCGCAAGTCACGCAGGCGGGCCGTGCGGCACTGTCTTCGCTGTTGAAGCCGCGGTCCACGAGCCACAGGAGCCAGACCACGGCCCCTGCAAACTTGACGAGACCGAAGATGCCCGTCGTCAGAAGGCCAGTGTTGGTTCCGGAGACGCCGATGCTCTTGAAGACGGTCGGAGCGTCTGTTGTCAGTTGGGGGCTCTGGTGGAGGTCTGGCACGTGATCTGCGAATCTGAGACAAGTGATCGGCGCTAGCCTCGGCTCTCGCGCGGTGCTCTGAACCCACGAATAAGCTGCAGAGGAGCTCGCTCCGGCGCTCTGGTCCGCGCCGAGGAAGGCACTCCGAGCTGCACATTTGCTCCTTCCCACCACTCACAGTAGTTGATCGCGTTGATGCCCGTGCCGTTCTGCATGGCGAACAGCATAACGGACAGGAACAGGCGGTACATGTACTTCTTGCTTGTGAAGAGCGTCTTCATCGGTCCGGCAATGCCGGGGCCAGCGTTCGCCTCGTCGGAACGGATGGCGGCCTCGATCTCAGCGAGCTCCTCAACGACATAGGGGTGGTCGCGGGGGAGGTTCCGGAGCCATGCGAGATTCTTGAGGGCCTTGACACCGTGTCCGCGGCTGGCGAGCCATCGCGGGCTCTCGGTCAAGATGAACGTGCCGAGGGCGAGCACTCCGCCGGGGATGATCTGTACACCGAACGGCACGCGCCACTGCTTCATGCTCGGAGCAATGTTGAGAGCAACGCCGTACGGCACCCAGAAGCCGATGACGGCGCCGATCTGCCATCCAAGCTCGTAGATACCGATCAGACGACCGCGGATTGCCGGCGGCGAAATCTCAGCGAGGTAGATCGGGCTCAGGTTCGAGCAGATGCCGACGCCGAGACCGGCAATGACACGGCCGGCGTACATGATACCAAGACCGGTTGAGGCCGAGGCAACGATCTGCAGCACGCCGCCGACGATGAAGATCACGCACGCGGCGAGCATGCCCCACCGACGTCCGAGATAGTGGCCAAGCACATAGCCCGAGAGCGCGCCGAAGAAGCACCCCGCCTGGTAGCACGAGACAATGTTGGCGGAGAGAAAGTCGGAGCGCGACTTGTCCAGCCCGAACTCGCCCTTGAACGAGCCGAGCGCGATCGAGGAGCCGATGAACGCGGACTACCGTCAGCGAGGCTTAGAGAGATAAACTCACGTCATACCCGATCAGGACAGACGCCCAGCACGCGATTGACGCGCAGAAGTACGGCCGCCATCCGTAGACCTGTTTCGGTGTCGGGCGGTCCTCGACGATTCGGAGGTTCACCATGTCTTTCTGAGATAAGATGAGACGTCGAGATCGAGACCGCGATGCATCAACAAAGTTTCCTCTCCCGGTGTCGGCTAATCCGTAGCCTGCTCGAGTCATTATTGTGATCGCCGGCCGTCTTGTGCAAGCTGCCGCTGGTTTTCCTCCACTCGCGCCGGCGCAAGGGGTTAGAATTCAACCCCTGACGGCGGCAGGCACCTGGGCAGCAGCTGAGGACCAGGTGGGGGCTCCATGTGCTTGGCCGCCAAAGCCGCAAGGGCCAATTCGTGATGGCGCCTGCTCGTCCGAGCACCTCATCTGTTCTGGTTGGCTGCAGACAGTGCGGGAGAGCTCAGCGGAGCGACGGAGCGAGCGGAGCCCTTGCCGACTTTTCCTCCTGCTCACGTCTCAGGCTCAGCGGGGGAACATCGCGATATCTATACTCCCGAGCCTGTCCAGGGTCGTTAACCGCTCTTTACCGGGGCCTCGCAAAATCAAGCTCTCGCTTGCCCACTCGTCTGCCCTCCAACTGTTGTTGCTGGGCATGCATCTGCAGAGAGTTTGTGCTGCTTCAGCTCCTCGTCTGGTGCGAAGAAGAGCGCGACGCGGGGTCTGTCGCCGGCGTTCACTCCTTTTGCCCAGATATCGGGCCGCGATTGGCCCCGTGATTCTCAGCTGACTCGGCATCTTCGCGGCGCACGAGCCTGGCGGTCGAGTGCCCTGACGTTCCCTGCCTCGACGGATCTGTGAAGGCCGACATTGCGGCTGGCGTGATCCAGTCAGAGATCTGCAACCAGCGTTTGGTGCCGGGCGTGTCGGTTGTCGGCGGCTGAGTTTAGACGCCGTTCGTACTCGGCCAACGATTTCTTCAACCTCCACTTTCACCACCACTCACCACCACTCACCACTACCACCGTTTTACGTTTGTACGACCGACCGGCGACATGACGATACAGCCCGAAGCCGCCGCTGCCGCCGAGGGCAGCACGCGCACCCAGTTCTACCTCTTCGGTTATCCCATCAGCCACTCCGCATCGCCCGCGTTCCACAATTGTCTCTTCGCCGCGTCCGGGCTTCCAAATCACTACCAGCTGCACGACACTGTGCACCCCGAGAATGTCGACACGGACGTCAAGAGTGACATGCTCCAGATCCTCCAGCAGGACACCTTTGGCGGGTGTAGCGTCACCATGTAAGCCTCCCTCCGCGTGTGAGCTGACTCCCAGGCCGCTCAAAGTCATGATAACGCGCTACCTCGACCGCCTGGACCCCGGCGCCTCCGAGATCGGCAGCGTGAACACAATCTACCTCGAGCGCGACGCCGCCGGCACTCTCAGGACAGTGGGGGAGAATACGGACTGGCTCGGTGTGCGGAACGCTATTGTCCAGTCTCTCCCCTCCTTTCAGCAAGCTCTCTCTCGACCGTTCGGCGACGACAAGGCCGGCTTCATCATCGGCGGAGGCGGCACGACGCGGGCAGCCGTGTATGCCCTGTCCCAGCTGGGTCTGAGTCCGATATACCTCTTGAACCGCGACGCTGGCGAGACAGAGGAAATCATCGCCTCGTTCCCGCAGTACGACCTGCGTCCCCTCACTCCCTCTCTTGTCCCGTCCATCGCCGACACGATTGCCGCAGGTGTGGGCGCGATTCCCTGCCTGCCACCACGAACCGAGGCCGAGCGGGCAGTGTACGCGACCGCGGAGGAGCTGTTCAGATCCGGGCCGAAGGGACGGCCCTTCCTCGAGATGTGCTACAAGCCTCGTCGGACGAAATTGTACGCCATGGCCGAGGGGGCCGGCTGGACGGCGATCACAGGCATTGAGGCCATGATCGAACAGGGGTTCGCGCAGCAGGAGCTGTGGTTGCTGCGCAGTGTTGCGCGGCCGTGGGACCGGACGGATCTGCCGGAGCACGCGAAGGAGAAGGCGCGGCAGCTCGTGAGGGGAATGGGCGACATCCCGCCGGCGGAGAGGGATAAGGCATAGAGTTTGAGACGTATGTAAGTGTATCATTAGTGCTTGAGAGTTTGAATTGTTGACCGGCGGAGAGTCTACTGATCGTCACACTCACCGCTGCTGACTGAGGGAGTTGCGAAGGCCCGGTACACGCGCTCGTGTATGTCGTTCCATTTCGTCTATTCTACAACGCGCGCCTCGTGATTCTACAGTTTGGGTCGCCCCCTGCGAACTTGGCTTCACCTCACAGCAGCTAGCAGATGACACACTTGTCACCCTCGCCAGCCTCATCGTCCGTGTCGGCGTAGATGCGGATCCCCGCATCCTTGGTCTGCACAAACGCACGGTCCGGGCCGGGCTCGTCGGTCGTATTGCGGTCCTTGCCGAGACGGATCGCCCAGGTTTGAGTGTGCTTCTCACTTGCGCCCGGCCACAAGACCGCGACGTCGCGCAAGCTGGGCGAGAGCTCCGCCTTCCCGCCCTTCACCCTTGCGGTGACGAGGCCGTCGAAGCCGTGGGGCAGCCAGAGATGGACGCGGCCTGGGGTCAGCTCAAACATACCGCCAGCTGGGCGAGACCCGAGCGGCGGTCCACCCTGGGGTCAGGGGAGACTCTACTGCTGGTCGCAATCTGCGTATCCAGAACCCCTGTCTACCAGGTCGACCGCCTCTGCGCCCGAAACGTCCACGAAGCACCGCCAAGCCATAGCGCGAGGGTGACTCACTATCATTAGTCTTGGCGTGAATCTCGACGGCCTGCCCCTCCTCACGCTGAACGCGGAGGCGAATGCTGCTGTCGTCGGTGACTGCCTCGACGACGGCGGCGCGAGGCACGGAGCCAGTGAGATAGATGGACGAGTCGATGCGCGCATCGTTCGTCTCGAGACGCACGTCGGGGCCGCGCTTGTTCTCCCCGATTGAGACGACATAGTCTTCCTTGATGCTCTTGTCGTTGCGCGTGATCGTGCTGGGGGTCAGCTATGGTCGGGGAATCATACAGCTGAGGCGGCAGAAAGGAAAGGGTGAAGTGCGAGGAAGAAGAACGGCTGGTGGCAAGCTCACAGAGGGGCGACAGCACGCTGAGCTCCAGGCGGGGGGATGCGGCGGTTGAACGCCTTTGACGGCGCGACGGCTGCTCCTCCTGTCTGCTGCGCCTGGGCGGGGGGTGTGGGACGAGAGACGGGTGCGGGCGGCGGCGGCTGCGTTGCAGGGGCGGCTGGCCTGGGGCTCGCGTTGTCCTCATAAGGCGGCGCATCATAGGAGGGCGGCATGTCGACGCTACCAGCGTCGATGGCGGCGGGGCCCGACTCGACGCGGGTGGTCTTCGAGGTGGTGTCGACAGCTTTGCCCATCATTGAACGAGGGATGGGTGATGGTAAAAGTGCAAGATGAGGATCGAGGTGAGAATGTCGTTTCGTCCACGCGCCGGTGATCGACAAGGCGGTACGCGCCGGCTGTTCGAGGGCGCGAAGGTGCGTGTCTTAGCCGGTGCTCGGCATTGCGTGCATCGCCTTTGATCTACTACCCGTCCAACGGTCCGCCTAGGCCGTAGTCTACCAGAGTCTCCGCATGCGCGCATGCATAGCCTCCCAAGGCGTAGCAGCATGCATCCAGCGCGCTGTTGACACGTCGCCACCCAGGTAGGCGACGATCTATCCGTCGAAGCCGTCACTTCGGATCCGACAACAACGGAATGCGGAGCACAGTGGCAGTGGCATGCCAAGAAGTCTTTCCCAGTTTTCGATCCTCCCTTCGTCCTTCATCTTCACATCCTTCCCTCATATTCGACCTGCACTTAAAGTAGGTTCAGGACGCAGAGCCAGAAGCATGTCTATTGAGGGCAGCAATGCCGCATGCACCCTCGCACCCCTGCCGCCGGCGCCGTGGCGCCGCCGCGCCCCTCACCGTCATCTCCCGATATCGGCCACTTAGCTCAGTTGGTTAGAGCGTATGCTTAACATGTGCAATCTTACGCATAAGGTCGGCGGTTCGACCCCGCCAGAGGTCATTCTTTTGGTCCTGGGGTCATGTAGACAGTAGCCGGGGCGTGCTGAGGTTGCTCTGCACTCTGAACACGAGAAGAACCGTGGCTGACCGAGGAAATGTCAGCGGAAATCGCAACCGTGCGCAGACGTAACCAGTTCGTGCATTAACCATGAACTTTGACAACTAACAAGACTGTACAATACGTAACCGACTTTGGAGATCTCAGCTATTCTCACACGCCCCTCCTCCTCTCCCTCCTCTCACGCTACGCTACTCGAAACACCACGCCTGCGGGTATTCTAACGCCATTGGGTATTCTTCCACTCCCACGCTTAGTGGTAAGTGCCAGGGGCACCGCCAAAGTAACCAGGGTCCTTGGGGATCTGGAAACGCTTGCACTTGTTGGGCGCGGCACAGCCCTTGTCGGCGTCGTTGCCCCACCAGTTGAACTCGACGTCGGTGAAGGTGAACGCGAGGAACTGGACGATGGCACTGATAGAGACACCGGCCGTCATGGCGGTCGCAAAGACGTAGTTGTAACGCGACCAGAAGGCGAGGTAGCGGCTCTTGAGCCAGTTCCAGGACAGAAGGGTGGTGACGACGAACGTCCACTTCATACCGAGCGTGTCGGGGAACCAGTACGCGCCGGTCGTGATGGCGACGACGTGGATGGAGCGCAGGAGGCGGCTCTTGGGCCAGATGCGCTGCAGGCCCCACACGCCGAGGACGAGGACGAGACCAAGCGGGAAGCCGAGCAGGAGCGTCCAGTAGTGCGAGCCCTTGCCGAAGACGCGCGCGGGGCCGAGCGTGCCCCAGAAAACCGAGGCGGTGTAGAACGTCCACTCGCCATAGCAGTAGAAGCGGAACTTGGGCTCGTCGGTGCACACGCCCTCGAAGGACATCTGCCAATTCAGGACGGCGGTCGTGACAAAGGCACAGATCAGCGAGCCGACACACTGGACGATGAAGCTAGCGCGGGGGGGCACCTTGGCATAATGGCCGAGCTTGAGGTCACGGACGAACGCGAGCGACTTGGCAGTCGTGACGTAGCCGTACATCTTGAAGAAGTTCATGCTGAGCGCATTGCCGCCAGACATCATACCACCAATGAACTCGGCGAGCACGTTGAGCGTTACCTCGGTCTCGGCGACGGCGCTGACGACACCGACAGGAATGACGAAGATCAGGGCAAATATGGTACCGTAGACAACGACGGCGCCGGAGGTTCCAGTGGGGTACGCCTCGACACCGACGACACCAAGCACGATCGAGGCACAGAACACGAAGAAGTACCACCAATCAGGTGCCTCGGGGTACTTGCGCATGAGACGGTAGTGCACGTCCTCGCCAATGGCATCGGGGTCGACCTCCTTCACGTCCTTGCGGCGGAGGATGAAGTTCTTGGCCTGGGTGAAGGTGCCGGCGTAGGCAATCTTGAGCTCGTGCCAGTGGTACAAGGGCGCATAGGTCAGGACGGCTGTGTACTTGGCGAAGAAGAAGAGGTAGTTGACGAGGTTGGACGCGGCCATCCACGGCTCCGAGTACTTCTGATACTTGGCCATGTCGAAGAGCGAGTTCTCGTTGATGATCTTCTTGACGTCGTACGACTTGCCGCGGTTGTCGAACGTCTTGTTGCTCATCATGGGGAGGTAGGACGTGTTGTACGCGTTGGTGTAGTAGAACGCAATGATGACCATACCCGAGAGGAACATGCCGACGAACTGGGACACGACCGAGAACGTGGGCGTCGTGAGCGCGAAACCATAGTTCCAGTCAAACGTCGGCCAGGGGTTGATGCCGAGGCCGGACCGGATCGAGGTGATGTTGGCAAGGTCAATGTTGTTGGGGGCAATCCACGCAATCCAGTTGAAGTACGTGAGGAAGCCGGCAAAGGTGTTGGGGAGCCAGAAGTAGAAGAACATGCACACGAACGTAATGTAGAAGAGGCGCATACGGGTCGAGGTGTAGATCTTCTTGCCGGGACCGGGGATCGGGGTGCCCTCGTCGTTGTGGAAACCCTTGTTCAGCGCGAGCGTGCCGAGCTCATCGGGCCAGACGCAGTACGAGGGCCAGACGAGGAAGCGGCGCGCGAGACCCGCAAGACCGAAGCCGAGGAACGACGTCGCGAGCGTGTTCGTGATCTGGTAGCCGTACTTGCGCGCATAGTCGCGGTTGAACCACTGCGGCAGAGCGGCAACAAAGACAATGTCCGACATGTACGGCGAGCCCATGCCGACGTTGGCCATGATGACGACGCACATGTGCTCCTTGCGGTTGAACGGGCCAGGGTTGAGTGTGTAGCGCTTGCCGCGGAAGGTGAAGCCCCAGTCGGGGAGAACCTAGGCGAGGAACACACCGAAGGGGTACGTGATAAGCTGGATGACAGAGGACGGAATACCAATGGACGGGAAACGAATGGTGAAGAGCTGGTTCACGAACGAGCCGAGACAGCAGGACAGAATGCCGATGATCCAGACACGCGACGTGAGCGCGGGGATACTCATGTCGTCGGTCGTGTCGACGGAACCACGGACCATGGCGTAGGGCGAGTTCTCAGTACAGAGGATAGCCTCGACGCGCATCGCGAGGATAAGCTCGGCGTGCTTGTCGGGGTGCTCGCGGACATCGGGGTCGTCGAGGAACTCGGTGATCTGCTCGAGGGTGGCCAGGTCAAAGTTCTGGTCGTGCTTGTGCATCTTGCGGATCTGCGAGAGGATGCGGCGGGCACGGTCCTCGGGCATGGTCGGGAGAAGCGCCTCGGCGGCGAGAATGTCCTTCTCTGTCGCATGGAGACGGCGGCGATACGCAATGTCGAGGTCCTCGGCCTCGCCAAAGGGCGCGGTCACCGTGACCTGAGCGGTTAGCTGTGATGCACGAAGCGAAGGCAACTCACCTCGGCGCCGAGGTAGTCCTTTTTCTCGTCATAGGGAACGCTCTTCTCATCGTAGTGAAGAGGCTCGGGCGAGTCGTGGTCGCTGTACTTCTCCTGTTCGCCCATGGTGAACGAGCCAGACTGAGGTGGGGAGAAAGAGATACGAGATACAAGATACGCGAGGGCGTGGGGAATCGCAGTCGCTCGCACGACTGGCTCCACTTATAGATCGACGGAGGAGCAGAGTGCCATGGGGGGATCCCGGGTACAGACCAGCCCAAAGGCTAGGTCGCCGGATGGACGATACCGGATCTCTCTCGAGCCCAGATCCGGGAGCGCAGAGTGGGCTGCAGCTGGAGCGCTGCGTGCACTGCGTGCATCGCTGCCCGGGGCGCTTAGTGCCATTCTGCAGATACCAGCTGGAAACCAGGACATGGGGCGGGTGACCAGCTGAGAGCGGCTGAGTGCTTGGCGGTAGCGCGTGTGGCCCGAAGACGGGCTAATCTGAGCGGCCGTGGTTATCGCATCCTTCGCGGCGAGAGAGCATTGAGGGGCAGCAAGGAAGTGCCTCGCAAGGTTCGTTAGCGCGCTAGTGCCAGGTACCACAGGTCCTTCAGCCCCTAACGCCCGTAAGGCCCTTCGTACGCACTGCGAGATACGCACGAGAGGCTAAAGGATAGGGAGAAACGGCGAACTGCTCCTCTCACTCGTCCGCTCGTCAGTTCTGGGCTAGATGAGGCACTTGACCGGACTGGTACTGGTACTGGGCCGTGGGTTGGCGCTAGAGTCAATGGAGAGATTGCAGCATCGCGCCAGCTCGTGAGATCAGATTCAGATTCAGAGATTGGACATTGCGCTAGAGCGATTGGAACAAGACAGGCACTGGATCACGAAAACCGGCAAAGCGATTGGGTAAAACCGTCCCGGGTGCTTTCAGGTGCTGAAGGGGAATCCGCCGCTCGTGTTGTGAGTGGGGCGGAAGGCGTTGCACGGTCCGACCACCCGGGGAGCTGGTGGGGCTGCAGTAACCCGTGGCCCCGCGGGGATAAGCACTGCACATGTCGCCCCGAGCGTCGTGCGATCGTGCATAGAGCAGGGTCAGCAGGGCTAGCAATGTCTGCCTGATATCTGGCGGATACCTGAAGGTATGAATCGTGTGGGTTCTCGTTGGCTCGTAGGAAAAGAACGCAGAAGGGGAGCATGCGGCGTCGGAACCGCGATAGACGCCGATAACGGGAACCCTGGGTGTGTGGGCCAGGCACGAGCAAGCGCGAAATGTCAGCCGCGGCTATGGCGATGCGTGCTCCATGTGGGTCGTGGGCGCTAGTCACATGAGGTGAGCCACTGTGGCTCTTTTGCTGTCGCGATCAAGCACGCCGATCACGCCGAACCACTTCCAAAGCCCACTCGATACGCCATCCCGCCCATAAGGCCCCTGGGCTTCTGCTATTCCTAGCCTCAACTCCATCCTGGGCTCCTGGTTCCTTACACCCATCACCCCATCCGCCCGCCGCGGACGCTATATCCATCCGCACCCAGCATGTCAGCATCCGGGCCAGACCTCTTGCGATCGTGATCGCAAATCGGGCAGGATGCATCACGAGCATACGAGCACGTAAATGCGTCAACCCCCGCGTGACATGTAACCCGTCGGTGTTCATTGGTTACTGGACATTGGTTCTAGGTCGCCGTTCATCCGGGCCGGATACTCCTCATGTCAGCTCATGTAGGTCATGTCAGCGCATGTAGGCATAAGGCATTCGGCGGCAAAGGCACGCGGCACACGGCACTGGCTAGAGGCACACGGCATGCACGAGACAGCGGTACACCGAGGCACAGCCGGCACAGAGGCATGCTGGGCTGGTGTCGTGCTTCGAAATGCTCCAGCTTCGGTTGGATATTGAGGATTCCGCACTACCTCGAAAGGAGCGTGCCATGGACCTGCGCTAGTGGATTCGCCTCGGCGTGCCCGGCCCGCACGGCGTTCAAGACACCGCCTTGGACGTCCCTCCGTGAAGCCTCTACGTGCAGCCTCTCTCTGCAGGCTGCGGCTGGCTGACTGCTCGGGATGGGGGGAAGTGCTGGTCTTGAACATTGGACACCAGAATTGGCAAGCTAACCATCCGTGGTCATGTTCGGATGCACGCAGTTGGTTCACTTGGTCTCTTGGTGTTATTCTGGTCTACGGCAGACACGCGGACGGCACGGATGGTGCTCGGTGGTTATTCTGGTCTACGGCAGACACGCGGACGGCACGGATGGTGCTCGGTGGTTATTCTGGGACAAGGCCTGGCTTCCTTTCGATCCCTTCATCCATCACTGCCTCTGGTTGCGGAGAGCGCTGGATCACAGCGAGAGGAAGGAAAGGAGCCCCACCCGGTACACAAGGCGGGGATCCGGGAATCGCGATCAGGGGGCCGGTTTTTGCGACATGGGAGAGCGCGAATCCCGCAGACTCATTGCACGGCCGAGCGGTCCGGTCCACTCGGCGGATCGGCGGACGTACCGGGTGCGGATTGGTGTGCGGCGGACGTACGATATGCGCTGGTTTTCGGAGGTGACGGACCGAGCACCAAGCAGAGGCAGCAGGGGACGGAGTAGAGTGGATAACGCCAGGTCATGTGATAGGCCCGGGAGAAGCTCGGCGTAACCGTCTCGCCTTCCCTTGTGTCCCCTGAACACTTCAGCACCAGGGACAGCGAAGAAGCATGGAGGTCCAGACGGATCGGCGACTAAGCCTCATAGGCGACTACGGGGCAAACTCGGGTCGACCCATACCCGTCCTCCAGTCTCCTCGTTTCCCCCCATCTTTGCCCACTTGAAGCCGAAGGGCGGACGAACGGACGAGGTGCGGGCCAGCGTGACGCCGGTGGAGCACCGCAAATGTATCGCGTGGGTCGCTGCGCGATGGAAAAGGGTTAGTTACCCAAAAGCCAGTTTCTGTTTTCCAATGTCAGGCAGGACTTCCGCGCTAGTGTTGAGTGTTGAGCAGCTGAAGCTGGAGTAGCTGGAGCATGGAGCAGCTGCCCGAGAGGCGTTCAGGCGTCCACGGCGTTTAAGTCAGGTCAACAAGGATCCAGGCACGGTATGATCGGTCCGCGCGCCGAAGCCAACGGGTACTCAACTATCGCCCAAGAATCATGATGATCACACCATACCGAGGAGAGTCTTGTGCATTACTCTGAAAGGGGAGGCGATGCACTAGCCCACTACGCTCTTGCCCTCCTGGCCCCCTGCCCTTCAGTCCTTCAGCCCTTCAGTCCTGGGCCCCGCACGCCGAACACTCCCAGAAGCAGAGCAGAGCGCATCGGCGAACGTGCGTGCATTCCTCTACTTCTGTCGTGAGCTAGGTTACTTTCGGTTCGTGGGGCCGCAATACCCTTTGCTAGTTGCTGAGACATCACGGGGCCCGAAGTTCCCAAGTTAGCGCTCACCTCTCAACCGCGCGATCAAGATCGACGAGCCTCGAGCGCGGTTAGCGCCACGTCAGCCGACCATTCAGCTAACCGTGTCGAGCGACCGTCTTTGACCCGTCTTTGAAACTGGTGAGTGAGGAGTGGCCAGGTCGGGAGAGGGCGGCGGGGCCAGGGGACTCGGGGGACTCCGGGGGCTTCGGGGGCTCCGGGCTGAACGCCGATCGATCCGCAGCACCGGTGCTCCGCTCGGAATGCTGCGAGACCGAGCCGTAGTGGTCGCTGTGTGGCCAGACTTGGCCTAGCGCAAGTGCACCAGACCCGCCAACGCCATCGCGCCAGGCGGGAGACGATGAAAGCGATGCATAACCGGGAGAAAGGCGAGATGGACAATATAGTGGTAACCTAGGGAGATCGGGGGGATGGGTCATGGCATGGTCCGGGTAGCGCGATTGGCGCGACTGGCGATGCGGGCTAGCGCCACGGGCTAGCGGGGTAAGATAGAGGGGAAGCGTATCGATAAAAGGCCAGTGGGGGACTGTTCACATGAATGGAAACGCATGGAGGCGTCTTTCGGCTCGGGACTTCGCACCTCGACACAGGTCTAGACGGGCGACATGGGCGCCGAGGGCCCCTTTTCCATGCGGCTGTTGCGGCTCCGGTCCGCGTCGGACGGGGCAGAGAGTGCAGATGGGGCCGACTGAACGGTAGGTGCTCCGCCCGAGTTGGCGCTCGACGACCCGGCCCACTCGGGATTGTACACTGGCGGCGCCTCTGTGACGACGACCTCGTTCGAGTGGCTCGTCAGCCCCGAGTCCGTGTGCTGCAGGTGGTGATACGTCACGGGGCGCGGCTGGACCTTGGCGTCGAGCGCGGCGATGCCCACCGTGCTCGTGCTTGCGGCGAGGTAGCCCTCATCGTCGGGGTTCTGCACCGCGAGGGGGCTGAATGGCGAGCCAGGCGTCATGCCAAGGAGAGGTTCCGAGGTCGACCCGCTGCTCTGGTGGCTTGCACTTGGCGGCGTCGGGATGGCGTAGCACTGCTGCTGCGTGTGGTACTGCTGCTGCTGCCCGTGCTGATAAGCGCCCAGGCCCGCGATACCAGCCGACGTCGCGCTAGGAGCGTAGGCCATGGGGATGCTGCCCGAGGAACGGTAGCCGGCGCCAGTGCTCATGCTCATGGGAGGCGAGTGCGGCGAGTCGTGGTACGGCTCGACATCGTGGACGTTAACCATGTCGCCCGGGTCGCTCTCCATGTCGACGGGGTTGTTGTTGGTCGCCTGCTTCTTGCGCCGACGCAGGCAGCACCACACGAGGAGACAAGCGAGCGCCAGCGCCGCAACCGAGCCGATCACGATGCCCGCAATCGCCCCTGCGCTGAGACCTGAACCCCCGCTTCCACCGTGCGCCTCGTACAGCTTGAACTGCGACACATCGAGGTACGCGTCGTGCATGTTGGTGACCTTGATCGTGTGCGGCTTGCCCGGGTCGAGCATCGTCTCGTACATCGAGATGTTCTGGACCGTGTACAAGTTGAACGCATTGCCGTTGAAGCGCGTCAGGCCGTACGCTGGCGGGTCGATCTCGACGGCAAAGTCGTAATGGTCCACATCGACCGCTCCCCACACCTCGACACGCCCGATGCCCTTGGGGATCTTGGCGCTGATCGAGGTCCCGTTGTACTGGGACACGGCGCGGTTCCACTTGACCACCACTGGCGACGTTAGCGATGGAGCTCTGAAACACGGCAGAATCCTTCTGGATGGACTCACAGCTCTTGTCGTAGTTGGTCGACTGGTTCTCGCCGTCCCACTGCCCGTCGACGGCGACATCGTACTCGCCACCGTTAGTGACGCGCTTGTTGTCATCGCTCAGATCAACGACGGCCGTAGGGTTGCTCGACCTGGCTATTAGCGCACTGACGTTGCTGGTCACTCACTCTTCCTTGCCAGTATCAATCTCAAAGCGGCCAATGGCAAAGCCGCCCTGCTGCACCTCGACGGTGAGATGGTGTCGTCCGAACTCGAGGTCGCGGATCGAGCACTGTAGCAAGGTTGCGTCACCGGTACTGCGGCAGTCCTGCTCCTTGCCGTCGAGCTTGAGCTTGGCGAAACCAGTACCCAGCTTCTCGCCGGGATTCGGGTCAGGGCCGATCAGGACGATGCCCGTGCCGACGAACGAGATCTCGGCCGTTGGGTAGTTGTCAATACCCTGGACCTTGACAAAGGTGTAGTGCTGGTCGGTCGGCTTGCGCAGATCCCACGGCCTGTACTCGGTCACCTGGGGAAAGGTCGTGTTCCAAGCGTTTAGTCCGCGGTTTGGATCCCAGCGGTCGTCACTCTCGGCACGATCACCGTACAGAGGCGGGGTGTAGGTAATCATTGGGCTGACATTGTCCACTATGACCTTGGCGGCGATGGCTTCGGTCGCTGCCCAGCCGAGAAGAACGAGGGCGGCAGGCCCGATCATGGCGGCGTCGGTGCGCAGGGAAGGAAGGCTTGGAGTATAGGTGCTCCGCGCTAGGGGGGAGGGGGGCCGGGTCGTGACCTCGGGGCGGATCGTCGGGGTGTGAGTTCGGCAGATCAGGATCTAGGTCGTGAGCGGCGTGGTGGAGAGGGAAGGAGAAGAAGAATGGGCGGGGAAGGTCGTGAGAAGGACGATGAATGCGATGAGAGCGATGCAATGTGTTGTGGGAGAGAACAATGGTGACAATGGAGTCGTCGAGAATGTCAAAGGAGTCGAGTACCTCTTGGCCGGGGCGAGAACGGGTTCAGAGTGTTCTGTGTGCGGTCCGGTGCGAGGGGCCATGCATTCAGTGTGTGTGTGTGGTGGGAGCAACTGGGAGACGAGGACGCGAAGCGGTGCGGGCAGCGGTGATCGAGGAACAGAGCTACGCTTCATGGCGTTGCGTCTCTCTTGCCCCCGCGGTCATGTGCGTGTGACCGCCCTGGCAGCGGCCAGCTACAGCATAAACTTTCGTCCATGCTATTTGCGAACCTCCATTGGGCCTCTGTGGTGCTGTCGAGCTGTCACTGTGCATGCATAGGGGATACGGGCAGGCAATGCGAAGCCCGGTCGCCAACATAGAGGAAGGCCATTGTCCTCGTTGCTTTCGACGGTGCGAGCGTGCCCGTCCGAACCCCTGGGCAGATCTCGCTGTGCGCCTCTGCAGCTCTGCAGCGTGCACCACGGTCTGAAAGTGCACTGCCCGTAGTCATAGTGTGCGACCTAGTCCATGAGTCCAGTCTGGCCCTCCGGCTCATGCACGGACGTCTGGGGGGTCTTGGCGGCGCAGCGGGCAGTGAGTGAGTGACCATAGCTGCGTGGATCTGACCGGAGGGATGGAATGGGGCGCAAGCCCTGTGTGTGCCCAGAGCCCTTCCTGGTGCGACGTTCTCTCCAAAGATCTCTCCACTACTTCATAGCCCGAACAGCTGAGCAAGAGCGCGGCATGCGGGATCACAATCAGACATTGCGCACTGCGTCATAATTGCAGCAATGGATGTCGGACCGACACGGCCCGCGAGATTAAAGAGTGCTCCTAGTCCTGGTACCAGCGCTCGAGAAGACGAGGAAGGGGGATGGCGATTCTGCGCCCGATGAATTGTGTAGGTTTGCTCTAGCTGGCCTTAGCTCGGTTTCGGATCCGTGACCGCTTCCTACGATGCAGGCGCGAGATGTGAGAGAGATACCGAGAAACTGTCGAGCGAACGGAGTCAGATAGACGCACCTTGCTCCAGATCTCTGTACGCCTCGGGCTGAGACACACTCGTGCCCTCTTGCCCTGTCGTCGGTGGAGGCCGAGGTGCCTTGCCGCAGACACGGGGCCTCGCCCTCGATCGTCGTCAACCCTGGCAGAGGGCGCGCGGAGGCATCGAGGCATGACCCCCGCAGCCAGTATCAGGACCGATCCGTGCCTTTGGTATCCATGTCAGAGCTTGTCTGTACCCTGTCGATCCTTCGTCACTTCCTCGCCACGATCGCCACCCAACTAAAAATGACGCGCCGCCAAGCTCCACCACAGAGACATCTCGTGATCAGTCTTCCGCCGGACCCACTCCTCCACACTGCGTCGTATCGATCCGTACCCCAGCGACTAGTAGTGCTCCACAGGCATCGCTAGACTCGCCTCAAGCACCTCGGGGAAGGGTCGAGTTTTAGTCCCGCCGAAACCCCACCGAAACCAGGCGATTTCGGTCAGGTTTCGTCCGCCAACGAAACTTGACTGAAACCTGGCCGAATCTGTCAGTTTTGCCCCTACGAAACCTGACCGAAATTCAGTTTCGCCTACGAAACCTGACCGAAACTAGTGGGATCAGGTTACCGGGGGTGAGATTGGGCTGGGTGGCAAAAAATCAGTGACAAGGAGAGGATACATGGTAAAAAAAAACTCCTTTGAGAATCGAACGCAGGATTCTTGATCTTTGCCTAAACCAACTAACACGTACACCAAAGCAACAGTGGTGAATGGGATAAGACTGTCCTACATACTCTGAGGGGGGGGGCCGCGAAACCCTGAATCTGAGCGTTTAATGCTGTTTAGTGCATGTGCCTTGCTCTAGCATGCATCAGACCCTATGCAACTAGTGCGAGGTTTCCATAGGTATTTCGGCAGAGGAAACCCTAAGTGAGACAGGTTTAGGTCGGGTTTCCGCCGACGAAAACGGGACCTGCCCACGAGGTGCCTCAAGCTTAGAGCGGCCGGCGCGCCAGCTGATCCTCAAGCCTCAGACGCATCTTCTGTCGGCCGAAAGAATGTGCCTCCGTGCCTTCCTCCACCGACGACAGCAGAAGACAGTGCACGCGCACAGCACTCCGCATCTTATCTCCCCACTTCCCTCCCAGAGCAGCGGTACTCTGCACCGCTTGGCTTGTGCTCGTGTGCCAGATACTAGACATGTTCTGAGCACCGCCAACATTCACCTTCTGGATCTTCCTGTGCAAGAAAACTCGCGCACCTGTGCACCTGTCCGCTGTACGCTGTCCGCAGTGTCTTGGCGTAATGTTCCGAATCCCTGGCGCGTGACGCAGATAAGGTCGAGGCGGTGCTTCCCCAACTCCAAACAACTGGGATTCGGGACCGGGTGGCGAGGAAGGCTCCAGGAAGTCAAGGAGTAGGGATAGTTGATCCGGGACACAAGCTCGGAAGCGTTCTCAGATCGTGCTGCACGGATGGAACAGAAGCTCAACGCTTGCCCTATCGTTCGGACAATTTCGATCTCGCGATCCATGAATCGTTTGATGCCTTGACCTGAGACACGAGACAGATCCCTAGCAGCTGAGATGAGAGATCTGTCGGGACACCAGCGTGCCGGATTCTCGACTCGATTGCATTCTCCGATCTCGCCTAATCCCACCAACAGCGTCCACACGTCCTTGTCGTCTTCTATCGTTGATGCCTGCCTTCGACCTTTCTCATCCTCTCCCTTGCCCAGTCATCTTCTTTCTCTCCTTCTCCTGCAATATGCCGCTCACCCAAGGGACAGAGGGCTCAGAGGCAAAAGAATGACCTCTGGCGGGGTCGAACCGCCGACCTTATGCGTATCACTCGCGTGTTAAGCATACGCTCTAACCAACTGAGCTAAGTGGCCCTGAGCTGTTGGTGATCGTGCCTTGCGCCCTCGGCGCTGCGCCCGCGCCGGCCGGCGCGTCGATCGCCGCCCCTCTCACCTCAGTACACGCTCTCCCTCCAGCAATGGCGGTACGCTTAACGCCAACAGTGACAAGGCCTTGGGAAGAAGCGTAGTATCTGTGAAGCTTACAGCAGGCTCATATCCATCCGACAAGTGTTGTGGTTTATTTCGGGATGAAGGACACAGGAACAAGGTTTGTTGTTGCTGTGGACTGATAGGCATCGCGGTGATCGGCCTCGCGCCGCTCTCCAATCGCCGGGATCGTCCCTGAGTCCGTCAAGCCGTCGGACCGAGTGCCCGTCTAGACCGAGACCCTTGCGACGATCACGACATGATAGGATCACCTCGCCAGGCCCATATAGCGACAGTCTGACAATTACAGTAGCGGCTTGGTGAGACGAGAGGCTAAAGCGAAGTGCATGAACCCAACTTGGGTTAGGCCCTCGCAGCACAGCCTGGTGTCCCTCGTTTCTCTCACACACGCGCAACAGCACACCCTTATTCACAGCGTTTTGCATCGTCATTAATCGTGTCCTATCATTAAAGCCCCTTCTATTCCCACATTCTAATCAAAACGTTTCTAGTTCTTCTCCGAGCGCTGAACGGTGGGAGCAGCCTCGGAACCTCCCGCCGCCGAGGCGGACGATCCAGGCGCCCAGTCCGGGTTGTAAGTCGGGGGCGTCTCCTCGATCATGACTCCCGAGCCCTCGGCGTGGGCGACGGGGACGGGGAGCGCGCCGCCGTCCGTGTGATGGACGTGCTGGACCATGACTGGCGGCGCGGGATTCTTGGCGCTGAGCGCGGCAATCCCCACCGTGTTCGAGGGGTAGTGGTCGGGGTTGTGCAGCGTCAGGGACGGAGTCGTGCTGTACCGCGCGCTCGCGCTCATGGGGTCGGAGGACGAGGAACTCGCCGTGCCGATCGGGAGGTATGACTGCGTCATCGGAGCGGAGCCAACGGAGCTGGTCACGGTGCCGGGGCCGGGAGCGAAGCCTGCAGCGACGCCGGCGACGCCAGCGACGCCGGCAGCGGGGACGCCAGAGGGGACCTGGGACACGGGCCGCTGCACCTCGAACGGCTCGACGTGGTCGCCGAGCCCGTGGTCCGACTCGAGATCCATTGGGCCCTGCTTCTGCGCTTTCTGACGGCGGCGGTAGAGGAGCCAGCCGAGCAACCCCAGGCCGGCGAGACCAGCGACGGAGCATCCGACCGCAATGCCCACGATGGCACCCGTGCTGAGCCCGCCGCCGCCCGCCTCCTTCGTCCTGTAGAACACCACCTCGCTGATGTCCAGGTACGCGCCCGTCGCAGCCTTGTTCGTGATGGCCATCTTGTACTCCTGCTTTGCGTCCAGCGCCAGGTCGAACATGGACACGTTCTGGACCGTGAACAGGTTCCACGCGCTGAGGTCGAAGGACGCCTGGCCCTGCGGCGGCGCGGGGGTCAGCGTGACCTGGAATTCGTTGTGGTCTATGTCCACGGCGCCCAGGAGCGAGACCCGGCTCGTGCCAGAGGGCACGGTGAGGGAGACGACGGAGCCTTGCGCCTTGGTCGTGGCGCGGACCCACTTTTGGGCGCCGGACGAGTCTTGCGAGGTCGCTACGCCGCTCCACTGCCCGTCCCAGTCCAGAGTGCCGTCGCGGTTCAGCATGTCGTCGCCGGTCGCGAGGCTGAGGCGGTCCGGAGCCTCCCTGCTTGTCAGCTCGAGCTCGGATGTGACTTACTCCTTGCGGCCCGTGAAAACGTCAAAGTGGTCGAGCGCAAACGAGCCCTGCGCGACCTCGATCGTGAAGTTGTGCGGGCCATAGGACACTTCTTTATTGCACCGCATGCGCATCCCGTCCTGGCTATCCTGGCAGTCGCCAATGTAGTTTCCGTCGAGATACATGCGCACGGTGCCAGTGGGAATGTCGGGCTTCTTGCCCACGTTGGGGCCGACGACGGCGACCTCGTTCCCGACGAAGATGATCGAGGCACTCGGCGCAGCCTGCCCCTCCACGTACGTCGCCCAGGTGTAGTGCGGGTCTTCGAACTTTTTCAGGTCGAACACCTGCCACGGCTGGTTCAGGAAGGCGGTGCGCCAGGCATTCTTCCCGCTGTTGGGCTCCCAGACCGGCTCGGTGTAGTTTGTAGAACGCTTGCCCGGGAGAGGGGGGTTGTACGTGATGATCGGGTTCAGGTTGTCGATTTCGTACGTCACGTCTTGCGCGACGGCGGCGTATGCGCGCGTCGCACAGCCGAGGAGGGCGAGACCTGCAAGGGCGATCATTTTGGTTCTTCGGAAGGCCGCGTGCTTGTTTCACCAGATCTTGAGGTGGGTCTGATCTCCGGGATCGACAGACTCTTCGACAGACTTGTACTCCGCCAGCGGTCGGTCGATGGACAAGTGGGGATTGTTGAGAAAGAAGGAGAATTGTGGAACCTCAGACGCTAGGATTTCTATGGCCCAGGAGACAAGGTGTGGTCGGTGCGGCCAGTGCGGAGGTGCGGAGACAGTGCTTGGACGGTGCGGTGGCCCGAGTGGAAGGAGCACAGCGGCGGTCGGATGTGAGCAAGGAATGGCAGTGGCGTAAGGTACATCGAAGGGTGTTCGGTTGTGAGTATCTCATGGCTGAGGAAGCTACACGCACAGAGCGGCCCTCGGATACGGGAACTGGCCACTATCCATGCTCCAGGTGAGTCCGGAAATCACGAAGTGGTTTTTAATTTGCTCTGCAATCCCGGAGCCGTTCCAACCGAGCGCAACCATGGCGTCGAGGGCAAAGGTACAGGACATACACATCGAATGAAAGGGGGATGCCCGAAAAGCCGTTTCCATGCATATCGGTCTGTTGTCAGTTGGGGGCTCTGTGCATCAGTAACTGCTTCTGAAGCGTAAACCATCCTCCGAAGGTGAGCTCCTCTCCCCTTCTGCCGTCGCTGAGCACATTGATTGGGGAGGGGTTTCTGCTCAAACACCTTAACACTGGGACCGAGAACGCACGGGTCACGAGGTGAAAGCACTGTGTGCGCACGGGTGTGCAAGTTTCTGGGTCTGGTGTCCTAATACAAGGTCTGGAGAGGGACAGTGCGCTGATCGTATGGCCCAGCCCAGCATTGAAGTCTGGGCCGCGACATCATCCTCTCCTTTGTGGGAACGCCCAAAGGTGTGGTAGGGATCATCTGTGATGTAATCGAGAGTTGTCCACAACGGGATCCAAAACCAAACTCAAGATCTCCAGTATTTCTCGGGCGGCTTCTTCACGAGAAGAGCAAAAGGGACTGACCTCTGGCGGGGTCGAACCGCCGACCTTATGCGTAAAGCACGAGCTGTTAAGCATACGCTCTAACCAACTGAGCTAAGTGGCCGATGTGCTTGCACGAGGGCGCAGGCACGGCGCGCGCCCTCGCCCCCCCGGGGGCGCCAACCTTCCCTGTGCACATGCTTGCATTACCAACAGAGAAGAGCTCATGCAGAAGATGTGAACGTTGCAACAGTGTGAGTGCAGGTATCCGAGTGCAGGAGCGCTCCTCGAAAGTCGAGAAGCGCATTGGTGGGGTTCATGAGATTATTGAATGCACGATGTTATCTTATCAGGGTTCAGGAACGTGACGTCAGGATACCCTTCCCCCAATAGGCCCCCATAGAGCTCCCGCCTCTGCTTGCTGTTTTCGCAGTCTTTCAGCCTCTGCCCCAAGCGCACAACACCTGAGATGCTGTCATAAGCTCCGCCTCTCATTTCGCCGACACCCCCTATTGACACCCACATGTGCGTGATGCATGGTGGCCCTGTGGAAGAACGTCACACCTTCAATCTACCTTACTTCCATGGCTTCAAGAATCTCTATGGTTGGAACGGACTCGTAAGAGATTTGGCGCATCGTGTCGACGTCCTCCCGAATGGCTTCCCCGTACCCAGTACAATCCTTCAATTCGTCGTAGCGGTTGCAATCGGTGAGAACCATGAGAGCGGTCGGATGCGCTGAGACGTGGTAAAGCTCGGCAATGTAGAGTGGCCACAGTGGGCTCTCTGGTGAGAGGCGGGCGAGATCAGATCGTCCATCGCCGGCCAGAGGAAGCCTGATGTTTCCCTTCGTTGTCAGCGTTCAGCTATTTCAGTCAACCGCTGCGAGCATTCGCTACTCACCTGGATCATGTCCTTGCTCAGGCGAAGCTCGGTCCCATCGCCGAGATCCCAACGGGGGAGGCAGTTGCTGTGAAACTCGCCCTCGTACCCGGGCCGGACCTCGGCGAAGGAGGAGAATGGTATCCAGGGGTATGGATCCCACAACGAGTACCTCCGAGCGCTGCCGTCCACGAAGATGCTTCCATTAGCTTGTCTTACATCAACCGAGACCAAGTGCAACTCACCCTCGTGCCCTCTCGCGCGACGCCATCAGCTGAAGCACCCCTCTCCGGACTGCTGCCTCGCAGCGCCCCTTCATCTCTCTGTCCCGTTCAGTCAGCGGTTGAGTAGACTCTGGTGGCCGCCAGTACCAGGGGATTGCGGGTTCATTTGGGTTCAGAGGCTTCGTTGATCCTAGAACAGCGAGGTACGCCTTGACGTCTGGGACCCTGCTGGTTAGTATAAAGACAAACTTCCAGCGAGGCTGTGAACTTACTCATCGTAGCAGTGCCCAGGATCGAGGTCGAAGGTGCAGTTGTCATGCACCAGAGATGATGACCAGGGGAAAAGGCGCCGTCCGGGAATCCAATCATTGTCGTTCTCTACTGCGTCTGCCTCGTCATCCACTGCTCCTGGCACCACCGGCATCGTAACGCCCTCTCGTTCGGGGTTGTCGAGGACTGTATCAGGGGTGGTACGAGTGGGAGTAGACGATGATGGGCGGGTGGGCCGTCCAGGTGAGGCGGGGGGTGTACCGGGCATCTTGATCCGGTGGCCAGTCCGACATGTGAGCGACGTCAAAGCAGCATCAGATTGTTTAGTTCTGGTTGACTCGTTGGTATGGTACGTGTAACTGGCATACTTGATCCCCCTGGTTTAACGTGAACTGGAAGGAGGATTCGGGGCCCCGCTGATCTGGCAGGACCCGGACGCAGCCATACCTTAAGGGTTACGGTAGCAGCGGGGGGGGGGACCGCTTGGAATATCATACTAGCACTCTCCTTCAAGATCGCTTCGCAGACTCCCCGAAGTTTCTCAGCTCGTCGAACTTGTCGCAGTCAATGAGATGCATGAGAGCGGTTGCATGCGCTGGTACATGGTAGAGCAAGCCATCGCTGACCGGATAAGCGGGTGAATGTGTTTCCCAACAACTGCAGGGTCGCCCTGATATCAAGGACCCTGCGCGGCAGCAGAGGGATGCTTAATAGTCAACCAAACTCATTCCTCAGTGTGTCAGCTCGAAGGAGCAGTTAGTGTGCATGGCAGGCAACTCTTAGGGGAAGAGCCTGGCTGGGAGCCCCGTCAGTTGTCGTTGGGCTCCGTTACTACTGGACTGGTGTCGACTCGACTCGACGATCGGAGAGGCTTAGTTTAACAGAATAACCGAGAAGAAAGCTTTTATCTTATCACTGAGGCTTAACTCAAGCCACTGAATGTTTCCTGACTCTTCAATCTCGTCGAACACCACCACGCTGCTTTGCAGAGCTTCTGCTTGAGTTTCAGCTTCATTCCGCTTCCAGACGTTAAACTATGCGGCCATACAGGCTCTTTAGTGTCGTGTCTTGAGTGTTTGTCTCACTCGCTCACTCAAATGCGTCTGGAGCACGCATATAGCCGACTGATCACGTAGTAGGGGAAGCTGAGATTTGTGCCCTACCCCACACTTTGATCGCTCCATCACCTCACGTCACTTCACTGCAATGCCCAGCGCTGCCAATTCTCAAGGAAACTATGTTGAAGAGCATCGAGGTTCCAAAAGTACTGGAAGAAGCATTGCGGCCCCAAGGGGAAGAGCATCGAAGTTGTACATGCGGACGTCGTCTGGCTACTTCTCCCATACCGCTTCTGCCCACTGATAACGACGACGCTCCAGATTCGCTCTATCGAGGACTAAGCCTGACGAGTGACCTTCGGCGAAGACCAAGAATGGGCGAAACGCGTCGAACTCGTGCGTGAGGCGGAGGGAGCGGAGGAAGAGGACAACGTCGGCCGTGGCGAGCAGGATTCTACAGTCGCTGGCATCGACGACGGTGGTCAGCTGGTTCAGGATCCGGGTGTCTCCATTCCCTACTGGCGGCACCGAAGGCTCGGGCAGGAGCTCGACAAGTGGCGGCCGGTTCGCCTTGATGGCCTTGATGCGAGCTCTGCACGGCGCTTCTTCGCCAGTAGACCTGGAAGGTCCGGCGGCCAGCAGCTCTTCTTGCACTGCGCGCAGATAGAGGACGGAGAAGGGAGGAAAGATGCCCTCGACACCGACGAAAGCCCTGGGAGCGGGTAGGTGTTCGACGATAAAGCCGATGATGCTGCCGGGGCAGATATTGGTGTCCAGCACGAGCTTGCGAGCCGATGGTGCTTGCGGCTTGCTCGGCTCGGCCTCCTCGCAACGCTCCCCCTGCTGGATCTTCTCCCGCTTCTCCTCCTGCTTCTCCTGCTCCTCCGCCTTTCTCTGCTTCAGCTCCCTCTTCAGGTCGCCCGTGACGGTCTTGCTAAACTGGGGCGCGAAGACAGAAGAGACCTGTTGCTGGTCATGAAACGTCTGCCTTATCTGCTCCAGCAATATCTCGTTCGAGAACACCACCAGTGCAGTGCTAGATGGTGCATGCACGAGTGCACCGCGGATCGCGCTGGTGGCGGAGCCAATCCGGGCAGCAGCTGTCTCTTCGGGAGAGTCGATCGAACTGCTCAGACCGCCGTCGGTCTTCGAAACAAGTCAGCAGTTTGCCTCATGCTACTACTCACCAGCGGGTCGCCCGAGACGATGATGCTGTCTACGTTTGCGATCCTCGCGTCGACCAGAAGATTGCAGGCGCCGCGGATGACCTTCCTCCGGCGACCGCTTTCCTTCCACCTGTCGAGGAGATCGAGTGTCGCCGCCGAGAGAACCCATTACAGGTCCACGTCCGTCGCCCATCTCGAAGATCACAGCTTGTATTTCGACTACGTATCAGACGACGCAGTCGACGTCGATGATGACCCTGAACGCATCGTAGAAACTGGAGATGTGGGCGGTGCGTGTGAATGGTAAAGGCAACGAAGACAGTTAGCAGAGGTAGACATAGAGGGTGCCCATCGTGGCTACGTGGCTCGAAACCAGCAGAGAGTCTGCGGATGCAGCTGCGCCTTGCCAGACCGGGCCTACTCGCAGGCCTACCAAGGGCTTCATCAGTCGTCGTGCATCTATGGTTTTTTGGAAGACCAAATTCTGGGGCATGACCTCCACATTGTCTCGGACGCCCTCCTTGTACGATACTCAGCGCAGTTGCGAATGTTAGAGAGTATAAATTACATCGATTCTTCAATTCTTCAACGTGGTCCTAAAACTACAGTACTAGTACGCGCGCCTTCGTCATGAAGCTGAGACGGCGAGCCCCTGACGCCCAGCAGACCATACCGCCCCCGCCCACTGTCGCCGGCGGAGGTTGAGGTCAGTGAGGTCGAGAGGGATACCGGAAGCATGACCCGAGCCGTTGACGAGGAGGGGGCGAAGAAGCGGTTCGATGGACGAGAGTGCGAGCGACCTCAGATGCATGATCTTGTCATTCGAGGCGAAGACGACGGTGGTGAGGCTTTGATGAATGTACTCTCTGAGCTCATTCAGGATGCGGGTGTCGCCCCGACCCGGCGTCGGCACAGAGGGTGGGGGGAGGAAGGTGACGAGGGGTGGAGGCGAACCCGACAGTGCCAGCAAACGAGCCCGACAAGGAGCCTTTTCCCCTGCCCTTCGAGACGGTCTCGCGGCGCTCAGCTCCACCTGCACTGCGTGCAGAATGACCACGCGAAATGGCTTCAGAGCGTCATCGACTCCCGCGAACGCTCCAGCAGCAGGCAGGTGCTCGACGACGAAGCCGCCTGTAGACCCAGGGAAGACGTTGGCGTCGAGCGTCAGGATGGGAGGTTGGGAAGATGGGTGGTCGATGGCACCCTCAGCGCTTACTCCCTCTCCCCCTGCCTTCGCCGACTCCCCGCTCGCGCTCTGGCCTTCCATTTCGCTACCGCCGCCATTGATCCCCTCACCAGGCTCCATCTTCGTCGGAGTTGTTGCCGAGCGTTCGCTGCTGGCCGCGGCTCGCTTCCGCCGCACCTTCGCCTTGAACCCCGCCTCATTGGATTTGTTGAGTCGCTCGACGTGAAGGAGCTCGATGCGGGCGTCGTTGGCCAGAGAGTCCTTGAGGTTCTTGTACAAAACGCTGTTCCCGACGGCGACGATGAGGGTGGAAGTGGTCGACGCGTGGATTGCCGCCAGTATTCCAGCATGTTGCGCCTCGGCTGTCGCCTCTGACCTCCTCCGGCCACCACTCTCCTTCCACCTGTCCAGCAGATCCAGTGTCGCCGCCGAGAGAACCCATCTCAGGTCCACGTCATCCATCCCGAGAAGGACAGCCTGTACTTCGGCTGCTCTGTACACGAAGCAGTCGATGTCCATGACAAGGTTGACGAGCATGGTGATATCGAGAGGCGAAGGTGGTGTGTGTGAATGGAGGAGGTAGCGAAAATCGTTAGCAGAGGTAGCCAACGTGTATCGTGTGCGCCCCTCGTGGTTGCGGAGCTCGTAACCAGCAGTCCGTGTGCGATCCAGCTGCGCTTTCCATGACCTTGCATACTTTCACCATGCACTCGCAGGTATACCAAGTGCTTCATACATCATAGTACATCTATGGTTCTTAACTCAACCAAACTGGGAAGGAAAGAGTCAGAATTCTGGCGCATGACTTCCACATTGTCTATGACAGCCTCTCTGTACTCGGCACAGTCCTTGAGCTTGTCATAGAGCTGGCAGTCAATGAAGAGCGAAAGATGAACAGGGTGCGTCGTCAGGTGGTAGAGACGGGCGATGAAGATTGGCCAGAGAGGGTCCATCGGACTGAGCGCAGCCATGTCTTCGCGCATGTCGCCCACGAGAGGCAGTCGGACGTTTCCCTGCCTACGTCAGTATACCGCTCGGACTACCAGTGACCTCCATGCTAGACTTACTCGGACCATGTGTTCACTGATATACAGGTGGTCTTCTTCCTCTTCACGACTGTTAGACAGACAGGAGACCCGAAATGAGGCGTACTGACCCGGCCGAACGGAGCCGAAGGGGGAAGCGGGTATCCAAGGGTAAGGATTCCAGAGGGAACATGCTGGAGCGTGCGCATCAACGAATACCCTGTCATCAGCACAATGTACGAGACCACATAAGCGACACTCACCCTCTCTTCTCCATCCTCCGTCTTTCGAGATGCTCAACACCACGACGCACCGCGTCCTCACACGCCGTCTTCAGACGCTGCTCCTCGGGCGAGATGGAGGAGTAAGACCTCGGCGGACGCCAGAACCATGGAATCGCTGGAGCATCGGATGACAGAGGCTGTCTTGCGCCGAGCACGGCTAGGTATGCCTTTATATCAGGCACTCTGTCTATCAGTGCAAAGATCGGGGACCAGGGAAGGGCATGGTGGCAAACGTACTCGTCATAGTTGTGACCTGATATAAGATCGAATGAGCAGTTGTCGTGGACAACGGGCGAGTCCCAGGCAAATAATCTCGGGCCCGGAACCCACGCACTCACCGTCGCTGGGATATTTACCTCCTCGTTCACGACACTGGCGACGTTGCAAGTGGGCTTCATTTGTGAGAGGCGGGTGAAGGCGACTTTTGTTTGGTTCCAAACATGACTCGAAGTGCTTGATGTCATATGTACTTCATCCCCCTGGTTAAGGGGCACGAGACAGGCCGGGGGAAATCTGTAGCTCCGCTCGGGCGCGGAGTTACATGTCTGGACAAATGCATGTTCACCATCGATTCGAGTACAATCTGAGTCTGCATAGCGTGGAAAGATTGAAAGCTAGTCCGTGTGAAGGCTGAACAGCCGGACAGTTGTCACACGGTTGTCGACAACACGATCAGTGGAATGCAAGGGGAGAGAGAGTAATCGCAATTTGAGCTTCACTCCGAACAAGCCATCTGTCGACAACCTCATTCCAACCTGCAATTAGGATGTGATGCAACCGCATACTCCATGCATCGTCCGCAACCCCTGTCTAAACCACGTCTATAGTCCTGAGGATATCCATGTTGGGAACGCTCTCATACGAGATATTGCGCATTATGTCAACTTCCTCTGAAATCGCATCTGTGTACGAGGCGCAGTTGCTGAGTTCGTCATGACGACTGCAGTCAATGAGGGGCATGAGCGCGGTTGGGTGAGCTGAGACGTGGTAGAGCCGGGCGATATACACTGGCCAAAGAGGATCCTCTGGCGACAACTTAGCCAGATCTGGCCGACCGTCGCCGGCGAGTGGAAGCCTGATGTTACCCTTAGTTGTGAGCACTTTGCCTCCCTCAGTACAACAACTTACCCGTAGCATGTCGGCGCTCAAGGAGAGGCCAGTCCCGTCGTCCGAGCATCCTTCGGCGAGACATTCGCTTCGGAAATCCCCCTCGTATCCTGGCTGTACACCGGCCCACGGAGACGATGGTATCCAGCTGTATGGATACCACAAAGAGTATGAACGCGCATAGCTGTCGACAAAGATTCTTCCATGAGCACGACTCAGGCTGAGCAAGTGAGTCACTCACCCCTTGTTCCTCTCACGTCTCCTCAGCAGTTGTTGCACGCCTCGGCGTACTGCCGCGTCGCAGCGCTCCTTCAGCTCCACCTCTTGCTGAGACAAAGGAAATGTCGTTCCTGGAGGCCGCCAGAACCAAGGGATAGCCGGCTCGTCGAGCTTCGAGGGCTTGGGCGATCCCAGAAGTGCAAGATATGCCTTGATGTCGGGGAGTCTGCTCGTCAGCACATGTCGAAGTTGGTCTAGAAAGCGCAGCAAACACACTCGTCGTAGCTGTGCTCCGGGAGCAGCTCAAAGGACAGGTTGTCGTGCACGATTGGCGAGTCCCACGGGAAGAGCCTGGAACCAGGCACCCAGTCAGTCGTTGCCGCCATTGGGCCGTTCTGAGTGACTGGTGAAACGGTGGTTGTCTAAGCAAGACTGATGAGAACAACGCGGCGCATAACCATCCTACGCGTCAGCCTGCTTCGACTCGATCGACTCTGACCCCAGTTGAGTCAGCACTTAGCGTGAAATGTAGGACAGCCGGTCCGCAGTTGTCGACTCAGCAGACACGAGCCTCGGCTCGACCGAGGCAGCCAGGGCTGAAAGCACTATCTTATCAGCTGAATCCTGGGTGCTGTCATCTAGCAGGAGCAGATACATCGCAAGGTTGAAGTTCCGGTAAGCGGCATCATGCGATCATGCAGCGCCTCCACTTGAGGAATCTGCAGTTTCATTCTGCTTCCATCCTTGTCGCACTGCAGCCTTAGAACTCTGACGCCCTTTAAGCTTGCATGTTTGTCTTCGTTGACTTGTACATCCTGCATCCGCTCCACTACCCAACATGTCGTCGCCGGACGCATCCTCTCGCAAGCGGGCTCGTATCAGCGAACCTGGTGCCAGCGCTCCGCTCAGTCGCCCGGTCCTGGCCGAGCTCCTAAAGTCCTTCTCGCAGGAGGAGGTCCTGAACTTTCTGCTGGATTCGGCAGCTCGTGACCCGCAAGTGAGCGACGACGTGCAGGCCGCATTCGAAAAGCGCAAGAAGGCCGAGTCGGAGCGTTCGCGTGACTTCGACCACTTCTCCAAGTCGATCTGGAAGGACCTGAACGTCACGTACGACCGCGCGTCAGGCCGCCGACAGTATGACGCCGGCTACGAGGTCTGTGCGGACATCGAAAGCACGTTCTACACGATCGCGAAGGAGACCCCTGCCTATGCAACCTCAGGGACGAAGCTCAGCGCGCTCGAGACGATGCGCAAGATCCTGAAGAGTCTTGTCCTCTCGCAAGGCGAGGTGCCCAAGGTTGCCCGGAACAACTTCTACTCCATTGAGGAAATGATCGCCGTCGCCAAGACGTTCAACAAGCAAGAGGCTGGAATGGCGAGACGCAGGGGACTCGTTGCCAGACTGGAGGAGCTTAGGGGTCTGCAGGCGGACTACCTGGAGGTGTGGGACGTGCAGAACGTGATCGACATCGTGAGACAGGCAATCGCCAGCGTCCTAGCTGACACCAGCTGGCCAAGAAGGAGGCCGAAGCAACCTGACTGCCCTGCCGTCTTGAAGCAGAATCACTCGTCGCCAGGAACACGAACACGGGCAAGGGGACACTGTCGCATATGGTCTAATGATTATACTTTCACACATCTTTGTTTTTGGTTCTGTAATCTTCTGAGCATACAAATGCAACAAGTTGGGGCCGGCGTTTAGTTACCGACGGTGCAGCCCCAGGGGCTTCCATCGGCACCGTCTCCGCCGCGGCCTGCCGATC